AGAGTTAAAGCACAACTTGCTTCGAAGGACTGCTGAAAAAGAAAGGTCTTTGTCAACAGAGAGGAAGCCTCAGCTCTGCAGGGAGCTGCACAAAATTGGGCCGACACTACTGCTTGTATGGCTCTTGTCGGAGACAATCTGTGCTTGTCCCCCAACCCAACAGCAGCATTTTGCACACACCCCCAGAGCTTCCCTGTAGCCTTATGAGGCTTTTCCCTCGGGTGGGAAAAATATTGCATCCGGGAAAGGAAAAATGGGAGTCAACAGACACTCAAGGAATAGTTTCGGAGAAAAAGCTTTATTTCTACCATCCATGAACTGGTAGAAGGAGCAAGTGTGATAACTCAGAAAAAGCATGCACGAGTTCACAGTCATGTGCACAGAGTATAGAATCATAGAGTTGGAAGAGACCACAAGGGCCATCGAGTCCAACCCCCTGCCAAGCAGGAAACACCATCAGAGCACTCCTGACATATGGTTGTCAAGCCTCTGCTTAAAGACCTCCAAAGAAGGAGACTCCACCACACTCCTTGGCAGCAAATTCCACTGTCGAACAGCTCTTACTGTCAGGAAGTTCTTCCTAATGTTTAGGTGGAATCTTCTTTCTTGTAGTTTGGATCCATTGCTCCGTGTCCGCTTCTCTGGAGCAGCGGAAAACAACCTTTCTCCCTCCTCTATGTGACATCCTTTTATATATTTGAACATGGCTATCATATCACCCCTTAACCTCCTCTTCTCCAGGCTAAACATGCCCAGCTCCCTTAGCCGTTCCTCATAAGGCATCGTTTCCAGGCCTTTGACCATTTTGGTTGCCCTCCTCTGGACACGTTCCAGTTTGTCAGTGTCCTTCTTGAACTGTGGTGCCCAGAACTGGACACAGTACTCCAGGTGAGGTCTGACCAGAGCAGAATACAGTGGCACTATTACTTCCCTTGATCTAGATGCTATACTCCTATTGATGCAGCCCAGAATTGCATTGGCTTTTTTAGCTGCCGCGTCCCATTCCAGTTCCCTCCCCTTTCTCCTCCCTCAGGAGTCCTGCCTTGAGTTCCCCTGAGCATGAACAGAAAGCTGTCTTGGACTATTGGACTCTTGGCAACCTTCCCAGGAAAGGGGACTGGGAGCCAAGGCGTCGAGGAGCCCTGGTGGTTCAGCATGTCCAAGATGTTGCAACCAAATGAGATAAAAGTCAGTTCTCAGGCCTGCTTTGAACAGTGTCTATTCATTAGCTTTTTGAAGCCTTCTTGTACTGAGAAAAAGTAACATTTTGCCTATGTACCAGCATCTTGTGAGAATCCACAGAAAAGCTGTAGCTGTGAATTTTTAGAAGACAAAAGGAATTTTGGACAGTTTTGAGGCCTGGTTGGGGGGGTGACTTTGGGCCTAGGTGGGGTCACCTGTCCTCACCTTCCTTCATCCCCAGCAGGCCCAAGGGTAGCTGCCCCACACAGAGCTGCAGATCACATCAATCTGATGTGCCTGGTGAGGTTAAGTCAACGCATGCTAAGCAACACGCAAGCCACAATCTTCTCTCTGGTTTTTCTATAGCCTCCCAGAATATGTGTTGTTAATACTGAGGCCTGTGTTCTCTACTCATTATTGCATAGCACCATCTACAGTCACGTCTGTGCTGCAAACAAGCCAAAGGAAGACAGACTTGTGAAGTAACGGGGCATACATACATACAAACACACACAGAGGTGTTCCAGCACCTCTCTTTTTTTATCAAACCAGCAGCATATATGCATTTATTCTGGCCTATAGTTGCCTGGCAGCATCTTAAAAAGCAGAGACATCACCTTGCCAATAAAGGTCCATATAGTTAAAGCTATGGTTTTCCCAGTAGTGATGTATGGAAGGGAGAGCTGGACCATAAAGAAGGCTGATCGCCGAAGAATTGATGCTTTTGAATTATGGTGCTGAAGGAAGGTGAGGACAGGTGACCCCACCTAGGCCCGAAGTCCCCCCCCCCCAACCAGGCCTCAAAACTGTCCAAAATTCCTTTTGTCTTCTAAAAATCCACAGCTAAAGCTTTCCTCTGCTTATTCTCACAAGATGCTGTGCATAGGCAAAATGTTACTTTTAAAGGCTAATGAATAGACTGTGTCAATGCCAAGAATACTCAGGCCTGAGAACTGAATCTTATCTCATTCTAGTTGCAACATCTTTGGACATGCTGAACCGCTTTCATTCCCCCTTTCCTGGGAAGGGTGCCAAGAGTCCAAAAGAGTCCCAAGACAGGGGAGCTTTCTGTTCATGCTCAGAGGAACTCATGGGCAGGACTCCTGGAAAAGGAGGAGAAAGGGGAGGGAACTGGAAGGGGTATATATGCTCTGTGCAAATGACTGTGAACTCGTGCATGTTTTTGTGAACTATCACACTTGCTCCTTTTACCAGTTCATGGTTGGTAGAAATAAAGTTTTTTCTCCGAAACTATTCCTTGAGTGTCGTGTTGACTCCCACTCTCTTTCCTGGGCGCAATATTTTTCCCACCCGAGGGCAAAGCCTCATAAGGCTACAGTGCTGGAGGAGACTCTTGAAAGTCCCAAGGACTGCAAGAAGATCAAACCTCTCCATTCTTAAGGAAATCAACCCCGAGTGCTCACTGGAAGGACAGATCCTGAAGCTGAGGCTCCAATACTCTGGCCACCTCATGAGAAGAGAAGACTCCCTGGAAAAGACCCTGATGTTGGGAAAGATTGAGGGCACAAGGAGAAGGGGAAGACAGAGGATGAGATGGTTGGATAGTGTTCTCAAAGCTACCAGCATGAGTTTGACCAAACTGCATGAGGCAGTGGAAGACAAGAGTGCCTGGCGTGCTCTGGTCCATGGGGTCACGAAGAGTCGAACACGACTAAACGACTAAACAACAACAACAACATAGTTGCCTGGCCCTAAGGAACTACAGCAGGGATCGCCGACCCAGCACTCAAGGGTGCCATGGCACCTGCAAACACCTTCCTAGGGCACCAACGAACTATGTTTGGGACTAATCAAAGAGGCAAAAATATCCCAGGAGCCATAATTCCCAGCTTTCATTTGAAAACAAAAAAAGTTTCTAGCATTTCTGGAATCTTGTGAAGTGAAACATACATATACTGTATATCATTCCTCTCAAAAAAAATTTTTTTGAGAGCCAGCTCCACTCTCTCCATGCCCCTCTCTCCCCCACCCCACCCCTGTGCCCGAAAAATTCCTGCAGATGCCTATATATGTGAAAGAGGGAGATGTACACTTTTGAGAAAGTTTTGAATTTGTTATCTGTGTATGTGTGGTTTGTGAGATGCACTTGGACTGAGAAAGACAAAGAGATGTATATTCGAAGTGTGTGAGAGAGAGCACGCATGAGGGGATGCATGAATGTACGTGCCTGGTGTGGTCGCTTTGTATATTTTCCCTGGTACTGAATATTGTTCCCTGTTGTTATTAAGCTGCAACATCATCACTGTGTGTTCATGTGAGAAAGAAATGGGGGCACCTCAGCAATGATTTATTTTTTTATTTCTTATTTGTCACTCAGCCCAGCCTTCATGTGTCATGATACGAACACAGGTGTGTCATATCCCATTACCTGCTTTTGAAGGCAGAATGGCTGCTACCAGTAGATGTATTTAGAAACACAAGCAGCCCTGCTTCAGCCCTGCAGTTCTCGCCATCGCTTTCCATGGGGTGGTCTTGGCAAAATCTCTCCTGGCTTCAGACCTAGAGACAATGAATAGGAAAGGCTCTCCACCAGCATCACCACAGACTTCATAATAATTTTCTTATTTATACCCTGCCCATCTTCCACTAAACTCAGCCTGCCAACTTCCATGGGTTTCATCACGCACGTGCACAACCCCTTTTCACCTTTTACACATCACGTGCAAGCATATGCAAACACCATTTCTCCTTGGCCACATTCGAAACCTCTTGTTCACGAACAAGCGGCAGTCAACATCCATGAAGGTCACCAGTGGGGCCACATTTGCTCCCCCATTCATTTACATTCATGTCCCCAGATTGACGCGGGTGGCGCTGTGGGTAAAACCTCAGTGCCTAGGACTTGCTGATCACAAGGTCGGCGGTTCGAATCCCCACGGCGGGGTGAGCTCCCGTCGTTCGGTCCCAGCTCCTGTCCACCTAGCAGTTCGAAAGCACCCTTAAGTGCAAGTAGATAAATAGGTACCGCTTTATAGCGGGAAGGTAAGCGGCGTTTCCGTGTGCTGTGCTGGTGCTGGCTTGCCAGAGCAGCTTCGTCACGCTGGCCACGTGACCCGGAAGTGTCTTTGGACGGCGCCGGCTCACGGCCTCTAGAGCGAGATGAGCACGCACCCCTAGAGTGGGACACGACTGGCCCGTACGGACAAGGGTATCTTTACCTTTACCTTTACCCCAGATTCAGTCCACAAATATCCACCAGTTCCTATTGACCAGCTTTTCTGAAGGTGAACTGGAACCCGCTTGCATATCCACAGGCACCACCTTGCTGCGGGCATTGCACGGGCATTGCTCCAGCTTCCACCCACCAACCAACAGCTGTCCAGCTTCCATGAGGTCCACCTCTAGACTTCAGCCATCTTCCGCCCATAGCAATCCCTCTCAGCAAAGGAACTTGTCTACTTATTAGTCCACTCAAGGGACTCCACTCATCTATAGTCCAACCCGCTGCAATACAGGAATATTATTATTATTAATTGAATTTATACACCGCCCTATACCCGGAGTTCACGGGTCTCGAACTCACGACCCTAGCATTAAAGAGTCTCAACACTCTGCCGGCTGCGCCATCCACAACCTCCCCGCCGACTTCTCGTCCCACGCGTCGCCTAGCCGGCTTACCTGACGAAAAAAACCGGGAACCGGAAGTTTCGCTTGCGAACCATTACGACCGCGAGCTCTTTGGCCGGCGCCGCTCCCCCTCTCTCCCTCCTGCCCCGCCTACCTCAGGAGCCCGGCGCGCGGCCGGAACTTTAGAGCGCCGCTTCCTGGAGGTGCGGGGGAAGCGTGTCCCCGTTGCACGATGCGGAAGTGAGCCGCGGCTGGCGGCGGGGTTACAGCGGGGTTCCATCCGGGTCCGGATAGGGAAACGATGTGGGGGGCTGGAGGGGGCCGGGGCTAGGATCCTTCCCCGTTCCTGGCGGGGGGTGGGGAGAGGAAGAGCCTTCCGGGGGCTGGTCCTGTGTCCGCCCCGGGAGGTGTTGGGGCGAGGCTCGGCGTGAGGCGCCCTTTGGGCGGGGGGGATTCCCGGGGGGGGGGGGGAGGCCTCAGGAAAGGTGACCCTCAGCAAGACTAGGGTGGGGGTGGGGGGTCAGGGTCCCCATGAGGGGAAGCAAAGGGGGCTCCTCGGAAATTTTCAGGTGCCCCGAGGAAACCGAGTGAGGGGCTTCGAGTCCCGGGAGCGTTTCCAGCTCTCCGCCCCCCGCAGGATTTTGAATGGGCTCCGTCCTGAGGGGAAGCTAGGAGAGGGTCGGAGTTGGGATCGGGGCCCCTGAGAAGCCTATAGGGCCCAGTGGATAGCCCCCCCCCCGGGTGTGCGCGTGGTGTTTTCCCCCTAGGGGGGTTTAGAAAGCCATGGCCACCCGGCGTTTAACAGACGCCTTCTTGTTGTTGCGGAACAACGCGATCCAAAGCCGGCAGCTGCTGGCCGAGCAAGTGAGTAGTTACGGCTCCTCCAGCCCTCTGACTTCACGTAGCATGGCTGCTGCGGTGAGTCTCCCTTCGTCCTACTGTATCCCACATTTCGCTGTTTCTTAAGTGCCAGCTGCGTTGTAGGGCTGTCAGGCGGCAAGCATGCCATCCTTGTGTCTTCTTTCCCCCTTTCCTCAACCTCTCTACTTGCCTGTATCCTCTATATGTATATAAAGAAATGTGTTTGCTCCAATAGGTGTTTGCTCCCCCGCTCCCAGTTCAATGTCCACTGTTAGGATTTACATGCATTGAGGGGCACCCTGGCTTTTAAGGAACTACCCTGTTCCAAAACTGATGTGCTTGCATTAAAAACAGCTGTTGTAGCAAAGGGAGTTTTCTAATGGTAGGTCGGTTAACACCCTGCAAGCAGAAAAACTAGGTTTGCTCCCAGTGTATGTTCAGCAAGGAACTGCAGCCAGTCACAGCTAGTCAATTTTTATTGTGCTTTTAGACACAGAAGTGAATGTTTTTCTTTCCCTGTTTTCCTGTCAAATTGCAGACTTGGAACATGTCTGATTTTACTTAAGTCATCTTTAAGAGTTTTGAAAGCTTCATATGGGATTATTTCACATGGCAGCCTCCAATTTCTTTTGTCTTGCTAATGTTCTTGGAAGATGTCCAGTTGAATAATTTTTATTTTGTCCTGGGCACACATAGAATTCCCCGACATTTGACCCAGCCATCCAAGTTCTGGGCATCCAATTCTGCAGTGTTCCCCTTGAGTACTGTACATTATTTTTCTCATAATAAGGAGTATGGCAATCATTCACTTATGGGGGGAAATAAAGTTGTGCACTTGGATACTCTGCTGGGATTCCCGTTCTGTGTCTCAGCTATTTTTGTTCCATGGAAATCTAGGAGCATCAACAATTAAGCCAGCCCCTTTCTGCAGTCCCTCCTTCTGCAAAGTACTGCCTGAATTGTTTCTTGTCACTTGAACTGATTTAGATAGATAAATGTGGCAATTAAAAGTGGGTGTAGCCTTGAATCTCCCAATACATGCCTATGCTTTCTTTTGATCTGCTGAGTGTTCTTGAGCAAGTTACTCTGGTTCAATGTCCTGTTCTGTTAAAGGGGAAAGAGTATCCTTGCTGTTTTTCTAAAGCACTCTGAAGTTGAACAGACAACCTATTAAAAAAACCAATTGCTATAATATATCCCAATATCCATTTCTTTCTTTTTTTGTCAACTTTCCCTTCTCCATCTTTATGTTACAATTAATTTGGTAAAATGTGATAGGAAGATATTCCTAGATGCCAGAATAAAATCATTTATTTTAGTCTGAATCAAATCTTTAGGCACCAACTTGGTGCTGAAATTAGGATAGGTTAGGGATTTTGCTCCTCATAAGTACACATGCCACTATAATGTCTGTCTGTCTGTCTTTTCTTTCCCTCTGTGTGTGTGTGTGTGTGTTTTAATATCAGTCACCTCTCTTTCGATTGATTTTGCTTACTTTTCAGCTTACTGCTACAGTATTATGCTTCATTATTACACCACTATGATTCCGTTCATAAAACATTAAATTGTTGCCCTCTCCTCTTTTCCCCAATTGTATTCTCCTTTAGTGAGTGAAAAATAAGCTTAATTTACACTGATCTCTGAGGCACCAGTGCAAGGAACAATATCTTGTTTTGTTCTGTTTTGTGCTATGCAACTGCTGAGTGTTGAACTGGTGTGCAAGTGTTTCTCTACACGTTGAAAATTAGTTGAAAACTGCATGCAGGTTCTATGTTGTTAGACTGTTGCCTAGTTACAGTGCAGTCCTTCCTATGCATGCCCACTCAAAAGTAAGTCCCAGTGAGTTCAGTGGGGCTTGCTCCCAGGAAAGTGGGTATAGGATTGCAGTCATAGTTTTTTGTTGTCCTCCAGCTCTGTTTTTGTTAGGCCAGAGATAAAATGTATCCTCATGCTAGAAATGTGTTTAAAAGAAAACACCAGTACCGTAATTTATACCTTTAAACAATACTTTGAAGTACAGGCAAATTGACATCTTACCAGCTGATTTGCACAAAATTATATAGGCTTCTTCAGACATTTAGAGACTCTTGTAATTTAAAAGAAAGTGTCTATTGTGGGTTTGGATAGATAATAAAAGATCCTAATTACCGTTTCCCTGGTGATCAAGTACTTTTGTGTACATAACTGCTATGTTATACCACATGGGAATAGTTTATTTTGAAGGCTGTATGTTAGAATGGGGGGAAACTGCCTGATTCCTATATAATTTATTACAGCCAATGTAAAAAAAATTGATTAACTTGGTTATTACTAAATTCTTTTGGCAGCCCCTCTTAAGAGTTTTAAGCCCTCTTATAATGTCTCTTCCTTTCTACCTGAAGAAGAGACCCCCCCCCCCGCATTTTTGCAATGCACTTTGCCCAACTGGTCAGAATTGGACTCCTGCTCCTATCAGATCATGTTAATGTTGATTTGCATGCTGCTTTTTCAGCCAAAGGCTGGTAGCTGATAAGAGAAGAAAAACACATAATACAACAAAATAAAAGTCAATCAATATTAATGCTCGGTAGTTAAGGAGCTAGTAAATATATAACAGATGGAAGAATGGAACTCTGATGAAAAGGAATGAGAATAATCATTTGTTAAAAAGAGAGACGTAAGGGAGCCTTTTCAAAACCTGTTGGCTACTGCGAAGAAGCCCCTGTCCATGTACTCACCAAATTAACCTCAGATAATGATGAGGCACAGAGACTTCTTGGAAGGTCTTAACAAGCATACAGTATCATAAGGAAGTAAGCATTCAGATAATCTGGGACTGGGATGAGCAATACAAACCTTTCTGTGGGGAATTTGGATTGAGCAGAGGTGCAGAAAGGTTAAGCATCCTGTCTCCTATTGAGACTCCATTTTAGTGCTCCATTTTAGGAGATCTTCATCCTCTTTGTTCTCACTTTTCCACGTTTAACCAGGGTGGCTGCAGTAGGTAGATTGCTATACGCCTCTCGTTTGACTGTCTACCGTGGGCAGCTGTGTCTCTCGCAGGCATTACTGAAATCACATTATCTGAAAACTGTAAAAAGTCTGTGGGGTCCAGGGCCCTTCTAAAAAGGAGGAAGAGTGAATGAACGAATGAACGAGCCACAAGCTAAGAGCCATATTGTATGGCATGTGGTCTGTTTCATTCACACTGGAGAAGAGATTGGAGTGGAGCAAGATCTACTTCCCATGTTATACATTTCCTATGTGAAAGCACATCTGTGTAGCATGGGATCCATAGATCATCATGTCTGACAATCACACTTGTGTGCATTTTGCACACACAGTGGAAGGAGTTGGCCAATCACAGCTTCCTTACATGTGTGCCTGTTGTCAAACTTGATGATCTACAGATGGGTTTCTACTTCTCGACACACATGTTTTCCGGGTAGCTTGTAAGTATCACTTCCCAACCTTGGGCCCCCAGGTGGTGTTCTACAATCCCTGTCATCTCTGACTGCTGGCTCTGCTGGCTAGGGATGATGGGATTTGTAGTCCAACAACATCTGGGGGCACAAGGTTGAGAAGGCTGCTCTAAAGAAAGAGGCAAATTGCTGGGTATTGGGGAAATACATGCACTTTTCAGCATGTGCCATTGTGGGATGCTGTAATAGAAGTTTCAAAGGCTGTTTTGTTCTCAGGGAGTTCAACACAGCATGCACATGAAAAGATCAAGTTATAGATACTTTAAAACTTGAGTCCAGATCCTGGAACATTTGCCATTGCTGTTTGAAATTGCATGTGGAATAATCACTATTAAAAACACAGTATGAAAGGTTTTCTTCTTTTAAAAAGACAGTCACTATTAATATGAATAAAATATCCCTGTATGAACAGTTCTTTAACTCTGTGTTAAACCAAGGGCTCAATTGACATTTCCATATTCCTTACTGTAAAATAAGCAGATTTTTTTCTGGCTGGTAACCAACACAAACCAGATCAGTTGTGTTCTGTATTCATTTCCTATTTGATCCAGAAAATCCATCTATCTTTAAAAAGGCCTGCAGTAAATACATATTTTGCATTAATGCACTTTCTGTATGAATAGGCAGTTCTTCAGGCTTAAATTTCAACTCTTCCCATTCCATTGACTCAACTGTGTAAATAGTTTGCTTTGTAACCAGCAACTTGTGAAATCAAATTTATACCATTTTAAATTTTTTTTTTCCCAATGGCAAAGGTCACATCTGGCAGGGTAGTTCCAATGTGCTTTACTTTGGCACTGCCCTGCCATTTCTTCCCAATTGTTTGTCCAGATTATAATTATAATTTCATGGGCATCTGCAGTTTTAATTCTGCTTTGTAAAGTCTCAAGCTAATAATAGTAAGTAATAATAATAATAATAAGTAAGTGCCTGGTCAAATGCAGGTTCTTTCCAAAAGGGTAATAGAATAAAAATGGTTACTTAAGTATAAAAGAGCATCATATTTGCAAACTGTGTGCTAATGTGGGTAGAAAATAAATGTTGTTTTAGGCCCTGGTTCAAATAATGTCAAAGCCAGCTGTTGTTCCTTTGCTCAATTTGAACTAAGTAAGAGGAACTTACCACCTGTGGATGCACAGGAGGGGCAGGAAATGAGAGTTGGCCAGCGGATCGGATCCTTATCTCCCCAATCCATCACATGCCAAATTTGGCAGGTGGACAGTGCTACCCATCCGTCAATCACCTGATGTCACAGTGACATCAGTTGATAGGTGCTTGACGTCCCCCTTTTTTCAGGATTTCAGAGTGTCACACAGGACTCGCTTGATACAAAGCACTGAGTAGGGCTCTGAGCAAGGGGCTTGCAATACAGAAGAAGCCTGCCTGTCTCTTGTTGGTTATATTCCTAACAGAAATGCTCACCCTGCATTCTTTTCCTTTTGCAAATGCTGTTGTCTATTCCTGTTGTGAGTTTACAGTCGTACCTCGGAAGTCAAACAGAATCCGTTCTGGAAATCCGTTCGACTTCCAAAGCGCGGCTTCTGCAACTAATTGGAAGCCGCAGAAGCCCCATCGGACATTTGGCTTCCAAAAGAACGTTCGAAAACAGGAACACTCACTTCCAGTTTTCGATTGTTCGGGAGCTGAAACGTTCGACTCCCAAGGCAATCAGAAGCCGAGGTATGACTGTATATTTAAATCCTTCCGAATAGCCAAACTAGGTGATATGACCAGCCTTTTAACCTGACTGTACACTTTATTTCTAAAGCTAGACATGCTGACCAAAAAATATATATGCAAAGATAAAAATTCCTGACTGTCGTTCAGCCTTTCGCAACCCTGGTGCCTCCAAGTGCTGACTGGGGCTGATGGTAGTTGTAGAGCAAAATACAAGGTTGGGGAAGGCTGCTATAGTTCATTGGGATAAAATTCACAGCCGAAATGCACTAGCCAACTTCTAATTCACTAGCCCAATGCAGGATGCATTTGTTAACAGATAGCCATTAATAACGTATTTTTTAAAAGTAAAATACTGTTAGAAAGCTGGGATGTACCCAAAGTCCATGGCTAAAGAGGTTCCTTTGCCCAACGCCTGCTATTTCACTTGCTCCTGGCCAGGGCACTTGCCTTTAAACATGTGCCAAAAATATGTTTCTAATGGGCTTTGCAGGTTCCAACCCAGAGAATTCTTTTCCTCTTTCATTCTCCTTATGCCGTGGGGTGGGGTGTTATCACCACACCTTCAGCTTTGTCCTATCACGCACCCCCTTCCTTAGCTGCTGCGAGGCAAGGCTGAGGCCTCACTGGGCTTAGCAGGTGAGGAAGACGGAGCATAGCACTAAGCTGGAGATGCAGGACGGCCTGTGTCAAATGTAAATGGAATTTTCCAGGTTTCAGCCAGTTTTGAATGAACACTTTATAGCCAAGCAATGTTCTGTGAATAATGCCTGTCTTTCTTGAATGGATTACCCACACATAATTTCTTGAGCCTCCTCTGTTCAGAAATCCAGTCTGAGCTCGGGGGATTTTTACATGCAAGGAGGCTGCATAGGCACAAGCCTGTTCATTGAAATGTTTCTCTGTGCATAATGCTCAGTGGGTTCCCTTCAGCTACCATCTCATGGCTGCTAAATGTTACCACTGCCATGCCCAGTAACCACAGTTTGCAATTAATTAAATTGGAATGTGTAGATACCCCCCAAACTCTCAGATTCTGTGAATTAGTTTAGAGTAGAATACATGACTGTCGTTACCGATCGCAGTTTGCACTGGATCTGGGTTCTAACCTGCGTTTAATTTTTATTTACTTTTTTTTTAAAAAAGCTAGTTATGTAAGGTTTTAAAAATGTGTATTTTTTTGCAGATCAAGAAAATTGATTTGAAATGATTTGAAAAGGGGAAATATGGACCTATCCACAAAGCTAAATGCTAGTCCACTTAAAAGCTGAAACTGCTTTTAGAAGACTGTTTTGTTGCATTGATAAACTGGCAATGTTGATCAATAAAATTCCTTTGTTTCTTCAACTGACTGTACCCTGTGCTCTGTCCTGTTCTTTTGTTTCCCTCTCTTACACTTTTGCTGTCCCTATATGGATGGGGCTGATGGGACCTACAATCCACCACAGGAGCTGGATGAGGTATAGTCCACTTTGTCTAATGCTGCTCTTCTTTCATGGAAAATGTCAAAGGAAGTTGCCTTATACCAGTCTAGCTGGGGGGCTATCAGAGCTCGGTTACTGTAGGGCAGCATGAAAGGCTGCTTTGGTAGTGGGGTGTATCTTTGAGGTTTTGCAGCTAGCTTGCATGCTTTACTTCCATATAACTGAAATGATCTCCCCCCCCCCCCCATGAATGCTGAGGTGGTCAAGCCTACATTCATAGTTAGATTGAATATGGAGAGGAGAGGAGAAAACCCATTGAGTCACAACACCACCACCCCCCCCACAAAAACCCCCAGGCACAAATTCATCATAACACTTGACTAATACGATGAACTGGGCTGCTTTTGGGTCAGATTTGAAGTTGTGATAGGTTTCAAACATAGATTGCCACCGCAGATAGAAAATATCTTGACCATCATATCAAGAAACTTCTAAGGCCAATGGGGGGGGGGGAGCTGACCGAGGTTCACTCAGTACATCTTAGGCTGCAACTCTAAGCACATTTTCTATTAAGTTATTATAATAATATCACTAAATTATTATTTATATGCCTCCCATTTGACTGGGTTGCCCCATTGGACTTAGTAGGACTTGCTTAGGATGGCACAGATAGTCAAATCTATTCTGTTTGTTTCACATCTCTGTCCTGTCAGTGGTCAGGGTTTGCTTGCATTTTCTCCTTTCAACAGCTCAGTGAGGTACCTTAGGCTGAAAGAAAGTGACTCACTCACTCAAGGTCACCCGGTTTGCTTCGTGGATGGGTTTGGAATTAAATTTCCATCTCTGTCTCGACACTTTAGCCAAAGGATAGGGAGCCTGTGACCCTCCAGGTGTTGTTGGGCTGCTAGCAGCCAGCAGCTCCATCCACCATGGTAAATGGCCATGGCTGATGAAAGTTGTGGTCCAAAATAAGACCTGGAGGACTGCATGCACCCCAGACCTGTTCTGGCCACTGTACAACACTGTGTTTGTAAAGACCCTGCGCGTGTGCTTTGTCATTTGTTTAGTTAAAAATCCTACATAGAATCATAGAATTGTAGAGTTGGAAGGGACCCTGAGAATCATCTAGTCCAATGCAGGAATATGCAGCTGTCACCTATACTGCTTTTCAGGCAAGCCTCACAAAGCAGTTTACATTATACTGTTGGGGAACAATAAGCACAATTTAAAACACTGTAAATGAAGCAGCAAAAACCATTTACAAGGAAAATAAGCATTTTGAAAGCTGGATCTAGCAGGGTTTTGGGAGGGAGAGGCTGCCTCAGCCAGAATACCAAGAGTGAGATAATGGGCTGAGTTCCAAGGTTTGTTGTTTTCTTTGCCTTCTCTCTTGCTATTATTTTCAAGAAAGGACAATGTACTATAGCACCCAAATACGTTATATCAAAGATCCTTTAAGGCCCAAGGATGTGGGAAACGGGTTTTCTAGGTGTTGGTTTTGCTGCAGGGGAAGAAATAGCATGTGCAGAAGGGTGATGCCTGCACTGTCCCAGGATGTTTTCCATAAGCATGCGGATCTGCCCCATGGCCTGAGATTCAGCACAACCCAGTCAGAAAACTGTCAACTGCTCCCTTCACCTCCCAGAGATTATACAACTAGCTGCAGTGCTTCCATTTTGAGATGGGAGCCCTGGCGACCTCTGGGCAGAACTAACTCATTGTTACTGGCCTCTTTGCAATGCTTTCTCTCCCTACCCACCTCCCCAAAGGTAAGTGGAAATATTATTGAGATTAAAGAAAGAAATCCAGGTAAAGATTCACCAGGGGTTGGGAGCTGCAGACATGCTTGTTCAGGTGTTCACATTTAAATATGTGAAGGGGGAAACAAAATAACACAGGTAGTACCAAGTGTGCCTGAGACTTGACTTGTACATTATTATCTTAGGCTTAGAGCGTTCATTCTTCCTTTGACCCCTCTTCCCAGTGGAGCTCTCAGTCCATTCTTCCATGCAGAGTCACAGCTGCTCGGCTTAAGCATTTTTCTAGGATTGAAGCCATCTCTTCCCTTGTGAAAGGGTAATGTAGAGTAGAAATCACCCCTGTTCCCCAGCATTCCCTTCATGGTTTCTAAAAGTACAGCACGCGAACAAGGTTTAAAAATAATGTCCAATTGGTGTTTTCATTTGGGAATGAAAGAAACTCGGAGTCTAGTTTTTGTACAACATCTCTTAAGTTTTAAGTCTATAAATTGGAAGACACAAGTCTCACTTGCATTAAAGCTAATGGTGGTGTTGTGAGCTGTGAACTGCACACAGTATCTGCGTTTTGTGAAATCGCTTTCAGCAGCCGAGTTCTGTGAAAATGTTTCCTAGACTCCCCTCCCACCAAAATGAGATGTTTCTAATTTACAGTTTTAAAGTGATATGTCGAGCACCATATTTGCTTGAGGATATCTTAATCCGGCACTTCCTTTAATTTTAAAAGCAGAATTCCCCATCTTTTGTATAGCTTCCTGAAGGAACAATGCCTTTCCATTTGTTGCTTTGCCAGGAGCGACCTACAGCCAGCCATGCCTAGCGAGAGGAAGTAGACAGGATTTAGCTGGAAAGGCAGTGCCTCAGAATTATATCGCAGAGACGGATAGTGAAGTTCTGTTCTTAGGCCTGTTGCTTCTTTAGCAGCTTAAGGTAGGGATTTCCTCTCTCCCTCTGCTTCAATTTCCTCCACTATGACTATTTACTGAGGGGACAGAGAATTGGACTTCAGGCCTGCACCATCTCGAAGGCTTGAGGTGGGTTACAAAATGCGCAAATTAGATCAAACGCATACTTAAAATTCTTGGCTTTAGTCAGGCTAGGTAGAACAATGTAGGCAACACTTACAAAACATCTTTGATTTGGGGTGGGGAAGGGTGTCCTTAAACTTTGGGGCTGCTTACAAGACAGAGCTGCCAGGACTGTGTGGCCCACTGGGCATATCCAAGCAAACCCTCTGCCCACGATTAGAGAGCTGCATATCTTTAGAATGAGGACATAACATCTTTGAAAAGAAAACACCAAGACCAAGCTTTCTTTTTAGTAGCTCTCAGTCTTGGGAGCCCAGGAAGCTGCGTCAGACCGCTGGTCCATCCAGCTCAGTATTATCTCTGTCTAGGATAGCAGACCAGGTGCTTTCCCAGATCTACCTGGAAATCAAACCTGGGGCCTTCAAGGAACACAAAGCAGATGCTCTAACTACTGAGATACCAGCCCTTCCCCATGGCAGCCCTTCAGAACCTTATTGAATGTGTTAAGCTTGCATTCCTTTATTACAGAGTACCTATGTATAACCAGGAAGGTGGCACTTAAAAAGAAAACCCATATCCTTTTTATTTTCATTGGTTTTGCTTCAGTAGCCCTTTGTGGCATTAAACTGACAATAGGTGGCCAAGAGTGGATGTTGGTTAGTTGATGGGACAAGCCTTTCCACCCTTTGAATGCTGTTTCCTCTTTGTCCCATTCTCCTGCCCACCCGCAACTTTTGATTTGGGTAGATATTTTTTATATATATATATATATATATATATATATATATATATATATATATATAAGTTGGCTTAGTTTTATGCAGGGTCCTTTACTCAGGAAGGGTAATGTATTGACTGTTTGGGAGCTGATAAGTTGCAAAAGCTATGAATGCGATGGCTGGCTCATAAGAGGTTTAAATGTTTTAAGTACCCGTACAGAGCCAGAATCCTTACTGTAAAGTGGTAGGTTTTCACTGTAACGTCGGAGAACCCTTTCCACACCAATTTGTCTACTGAGAAACCTTTTGCTTGCCTCTGTTAACTGCAGAGGAACAGTTCAGGGGAAAAGGAATATGTCTGAGGTGCACACTTGGTTCATAAAAATGCTGGCCAGGGCTTTTAGGCCTTGCATGAATGGAGAACGTGTCCAAAAACACACCCAGCTTTTCTCTGTAAATCTGAACTGCAGGGGAATGATCAGTAATGACGGGCAAGGTGGCCAGGGAAGCTTTCTCTGCCATAGCTGGCTTTCTTCTTGGAGAACCACTGCTAAGAGTTCAAGAAGCCTGCGAATTCCCAGAAACACCTTTGCCTAAAGTCAAGGTATCTTGGCCTTTTACTCTGGGTTGTAATCTGATAAACTAACCATTCTTTGTATACTTTCAACAGCTTGCAGATGACCGCATGGCACTGGTGTCGGGGATCAGTTTAGACCCTGAAGCAGCTATCTGTGTAACTAAGAGGCTACCTCCAAAATGGATTGATGGAGTGGAAGAAGTGAGTTTACATGCCATGGGTGCAACTTAACGTCTAGCTGTCTTTCTGGGAAAGCAGCAGTAAAACTTCTTAATATCTACTTGTTCATTTAATTTATGTATATATATATGTCTTCCATTGTTCTGGGCAAAACACAAAAGTTAGAAATCCACAGTTATCGAAAAGACATGGGGTGATGTTCAGTTAAATTTTACTTGGAGTAGACCCATTGAAAATTAATGTCCATGACTAAGTCGTTCCATTAATTTCAGTAGGTCTACTAGTTGAATACCACCCTTGAAGTAGGAACATATTGCAACCAGATTGTAAAATCACCAAATCAGCAGCAGTGATTCTTACTTCACATCATGAATGCTTAGCAAGGGAGGTGTGCTTTGTGTTGCCAGTGAGGAAGCCAGCAAAATGACTTTTTCCTTTCAAAAAAAGTACAAAAAAGTTTTGAACAAGTGGAGGCACTTGCTTTGCTTTCCCAAGATTCTCTCAGGGTCAGAGAACAACTTAAAACTATAGGCAATTGTACTACTAAAAGTTTTGGGGGAAACTTTGCCTCTGATAAAGTACCATCAGGTGCCTGGTCTTGTAAGTAACAACAGGTAACTTACACAAGTTTACAGGCATACAAACAAGCTTAAAATTTAAAAGAGAGTGGGAGGTTTTGTGTGCTAAAAAAACGCACCTAGCTGCTTTGCAGAAGACTGTCCTCTATATTGTGGCTTCCATTTCTTAGGGGCAGCAGATGTTGTCACCCCCTCAATATATCTTACGGCATTCTGTTTGCCTGGAACTTAATGGTAGTTGTTGAAAACTGTTTTACTAGTTCATCTGCATAGTCCTGCTGTGATTTCTGTTTCTAGATCTCAGAGTTGAGCTTGCTGGAAATTATTCTCTTGGATCTGAAAGCCTTGACCTCCTAATCCTAGAGGGGCTGGGGGCTGGCTTGGCTGTGGCTATCACACACAGAGAAGGAGATTGAGTTCAGGTTGGAATGGTGCAGTCATTTGACCATGAAGTAGGACTAGTTGTCACCAAATATAGCCCTTGACATCTCCTCTCTCACACACACAAACACACCCACCCACCAATTATATGGAGGAGGAATGGTCTAAACCAGGGGTCAGCAACCTTTTTCAGCTATGGGCCGATCCACTGTCCCTCAGACCATGTGGTGGGCTGGACTATATTTTTTTTGGGGGGGGGGAATGAACGAATTCCTATGCCCCACAAATAAGCCATGGATGCATTTTAAATGAAAGCACACATTCTACTCATGTAAAAACACCAGGCAGGCCCCACAAATAACCCAGAGATGCATTTTAAATAAAAAGACACAGTCTACTCATGTAAAAACACGCTGATTCCCAGACCGTCTGCGAGCCGGATTTAGAAGGCGATAGGGCCGCATCTGGCCCACGGGCCTTAGGTTACCTACCCCTAGTCTAAACTCAAGCCAGACTTGCTTTCCTCTAGTCATTGAATTGAAGCATCATGTCTGAAAGGTTGCTAAGAGAATGCTTGTGTGTACAAGGCAAAAATGGAGTGATTTCTCTATGGATAGCAAATATGATTTTGCTTAATCATGGTCCCATCATTTATCTGCTGTTGTTCAGAACCATACTAAATTTGCCCTAATTTTTATTGCTCTTTTAGATCCGGTATGAGCTCTCCAGGATAAAACAGAAGATGAAAGAATTAGCCAGTCTGCATGACAAGCATTTAAACAGGCCAACTCTGGATGACAGCAGTGAAGAAGAGCACGCAATAGAAATAACCACCCAAGAAATTACACAGGTGCCCATGAGGGGGTTTCTCTTTTCATAAATGAGTCTCGGTGTCTTTTTCAGTTCTTGTGCTAGCGTTTTCATTTTTCGATCAGTCAGTGACTGAAATTGCTACTGCAGCTCAGAGGCTAGTTTGCTTTATTTGTTAAATTTATTTGTTATGTTTACCTTCCTTGAAATAGTTTCATTGAGCTCTTGAAGTGGGTTATGAGTGGCTTTGGTTTGCCCTGGGCAAGATAAAGCAACTGACAAATTTAATCAATCAAATCTTTCTTGCTTAGGGAAATTAGCAAAAAGCTGTACAGCAACTGCAGTTAAAATATTTATTTGCACAAAGCACCTAAGTGGTTACTGCACTATGATAAGTTTATCGTGTGGCAAATAGTGATCTGAGTTCACCTGTTGTTCCTCCTGCCTGAGATCTGCAGAGAAGGCTTTATGCTCCTCTGAGCCATTAATTGCTTAGGTGAAAGAGAACAAGGTCTCTTTTCAATCCGGCCATCCCTTTATGGAATTTACGTTTAAGGAAGCTTTCTTTCCAACCTGTTCTCTGGTTGGTTCTTGTCAGTTTGCAAAGAGATTTCTGCTCTGGAAATCCTTTCCTAATATTGAGCTGGTTCTGATGATTGACTTTGTTGTTTCTAGTTTTTGTGATCTGTTATTGCTGCTCGCCATTTGCATGGGTTTAATGGCTTTGGAAGGTCTGGGCGAGTAATGTTTTTATACAGGAGTTTGATATGGTGATCTTGTTTTGTTTTGAGTAGCTTTTTGTGGAGAAGGCACCTGATAAATGCCCCAAAGAGAGGCAAGCAACTTCAAGAGAACCAAACAGATTGGTTCTCTTTGATTTAGGCAGACATTCCCAGCCACTTCATTTCCACCATTGTACAATGGGAATAAGCAGGGACTTAACACACACAATTTACTGTAAGGATAGATTAGGTCTAGGCATTAAAATATTTGCACAATTCATACAACTCTGTAAGTGATAGCTGAATAATAATATTTCAGTTAGAATGCTAATTTCTTAATTGTGTTTTTTTTTTAAGAATTGTGCAAATGGAAGGGCTCTTCTACTACTAGAAATTTCTTCTCTTCTGTCTCCCCCCACAAGTTGTTCCACAGGTGTCAACGAGCAGTCCAGACGTTACACAGCAAGTCTCGAAGCTGCACAGACCAAGAGCGGCAGCTTCTGAAGAACGTTGTGTCTTCTTTAGCGCAGTCCCTTCAGGACCTGTCTACCAGCTTTAGGCACGGGCAGTCTGACTATCTCAAACGTAAGGAGCTTGTGCCATTTGCTTGCAGAGCACCCTCGATAGATGGTGTTAACAGTTTAACACTGGGCTAGATTAATTTTGCTCCGTTCCTACTAGGCGCTATGCTCATTAGGTAACTAGCACTAATAAGCCTGATTGGGTTGATTAGATTATGGCTATTTTCTTGGGGCTCTGGGAGGAAGCAGATGAGAAATATTTATTTACCGTATTTTTCGCCCTATAGGATGCACTTTTTCCCCTCCAAAAATGAAGGGGAAATGTGTGTGCGTCCTATGGGGCGAATGCAGGCTCCTTGGCTTCCACGATAGCAACGCGAAGCCTCCAAAGCCTGCGCTCCGGAGGCTTCGCGTTGCTTCCGCTGAAGCCAGGAGAGTCTTCTCTTTGAGGCTGGCGGTGGGGGAAAGCAGCGCTTCCCCCATCGCCAGCCCCAGAGGATGGGGGGGCACAATCTGGGTCGAAAAGGTCCCTTCTCGCTCCTGTGGGCTTTTGCGGGAGATGGGGGAATTCCCCCACCTCCCGTAAAAGCAGGCAAAAGCTGTGCGCTCTTTAAAGGGCGCGCCGCTCTTGGGGGCTTTTCCCCAAGGAGGGAGAAGGGACTGACTGGCCGTTTCAGTCCCTTCTCCCTCCTGGTCGAAAAGCCCACAGGGTATTCCCCCACCTCCCGCAAAAGCAGGGAGATGGTCTTGGAGTAGCTCACAGGCTGCGTGCAGCCTGTCCGCTGCTTCCAGAGCTGCCGGGGGGGGGGAATAATATTTTTTTCCTTGATTTTTCCCCCCCTGAAAACTAGGTGCGTCCTATAGGGCGAAAAATACGGTATTTGTAAAACACAGTCGCCACTTCTGTTTCAGTTTTGGGGAACAGGGATGGGTAATTTCTCAACTTCCCAAAGTTTGCATTTGTTAAGCAGTGCTGAGTACGCTTTAATAAATGCTTCATTTATAGTCACGGGTTTTTTTTCTTGCTCCTGCAGGTATGAAGAATCGAGAAGAAAGATCCAAACATTTCTTTGACACTTCAGTTCCCCTTATGGATGATGGTGAGGACACAACACTATACGATCGGGTAAGTGCAGGAACTGTTAAAGATGAATAATGATTGTATTTGAAAAGGCGGTATTTTAATTTTCATCCGGTTGTTTCTAAAAACAAATGAATGGCAATCCGATATCTGTTTGGCAGTTGATCTTTCTGTGTGTCCCTGACTTTGGTGGTGGGGAAAGAGATTTAAGTTAATGAGTTGCCATTTGTAACAACCAGGCCATCCTAGTATAGCAGGTGTTGCTGTACTACACCTCCCATCAGCCCCAGGGAACTGAGATCATTCGCCAGCCTTTCTGCCAAAGGTTCTGAGAGGGGAAAATGTGCTTGCTCTGGATTTTTAAACCACTGTGTTTCTACTGGTTTCTTAGTCGGGACCCACGAGTGAGTCACACCTGGGCCTGAACGGGGCTGCCCCAATATCACCATTGCAATTTTATTTATTTATTTTAAGAAAAAGAGAGAGAATGGACGTGTATGATTTTTTTTAAAAAAAAGTTTGGTAATATGTTGTAGGTTGGGGTCAAAAGAGAATAAGAATTAGTTGAAGACGATTGAGTTAGATTAGATATCACGTCCCCCCTCTTGCTTTTGGTATTTGTAAAATTGTGGGATATTAGCAACTATTTACACTCAATATCTTTTCTTTTCTTTTTTAATAAGGGTTTTACAGATGACCAGCTAGTATTAGTGGAACAAAACACAGTGTTGGTGGAAGAACGGGAGCGAGAAATCCGACAAATTGTACAGTCCATTTCTGATCTCAATGAAATTTTTAGGGACTTGGGATCCATGATAGTGGAACAGGTATGTGTCTCTAAGGTTCTGGTATGTTACTTGCGTCATATGACGCTCCCTTGCATGGAAGCTCCTTCCCTGCCCATAGATGTGCACAGAGCAACAGGTGTATTTTTCTATAGAGGAGGAGACAGTGCCACTCTGTGTAATGACATACTTTCCTAAATACCTGCAGCACAAGCTTTATTGTGATGAAAACAGAAAGTTTAAATATTATGGCCCAACCAAAATTTTGCCAGCCACATCCTTTGATTTCTTGTACAATATCCCTTTAATAATGAGCGTGCGTTCCTCTTTTCAGGGTACAGTTCTGGATAGGATTGACTACAATGTTGAACAATCATGTGTTAAAACAGAAGAAGGGTTGAAACAGCTACATAAGGTAAGGACAAAGTGTCTTCCAATCTCCGTCAGTACTGATTCTGTCTAGGAACAGCCATGAAAGACCAGGAAGAAGCTTGAGGCAAGGGGTCTCTCTCTATGGCCGTCTGTTTTTCATGGGGTTTCAACAGGTAGTTTAGACGAACAGGATGCAATCAGCTTAAAGTGAGCGATATTGGACAGTGATTTCACAGCTGGCTCCTGGCCGCAACTGAACACGTAGCTTTCAGATGCTGGCAACGTAGCAAGCTGGTTCGCATGTCACATCAAACCATACTTGGTAACAAACTATGGCTTAATGTCTCTTAAGCAGAGACATCACCTTGCCAACAAAGGTCCGTATAGTAAAAGCTATGGTTTTCCCAGTAGTGATGTATGGAAGTGAGAGCTGGACCATAAAGAAGGCTGATCGCCGAAGAATTGATGCTTTTGAAATATGGTGCTGGAAGAGACTCTTGAGAGTCCCATGGACTGCAAGAAGATCAAACCTATCCATTCTGAAGGAAATCAGCCCTGAGTGCTCACTGGAAGGACAGATCCTGAAGCTGAGGCTCCAATACTTTGGCCACCTCATGAGAAGAGAAGACTCCCTGGAAAAGACCCTGATGTTGGGAAAGATGGAGGGCACAAGGAGAAGGGGACGACAGAGGATGAGATGGTTGGACAGTGTTCTCAAAGCTACCAGCATGAGTTTGACCAAACTACGGGAGGCAGTGGAAGACAGGAGTGCCTGGCATGCTTTGGTCCAGGGGGTCACGAAGAGACGGACACGACTAAACGACTAAACAACAAAAACAACAACATGGCTTAATGTGAATACTTGTGCATACTGCTGAAAAGTTCTCATTTCTCTTCTCCTGTGTTCCTGCTGCCACTGTGCCTACAGGGAAATGAGCCCAGGGTCTGAATCTGGGCTTGTAGCTTATTTTCTTCAAGCAAACAAGAAGTAATAAGTGGAGAACTTTGAGCCTGTGTCCAGACATCACAACAAGCCAGGGCTGTGGGTTGTTTCCTGGCATTAAGGGAGGAACACAGCAACATTAAACCATGGTTGGTTTTAAGCTATGGCTTAATGTAATAATAATAATAATAATAATAATAATAATAATAATAATAATTTATTATTTGTACCCCGCCCATCTGGCTGGGTTTCCCCAGCCACTCTGGGCGGCTTCCATAGAAACCAAAAATACAGTAAAATATCACAGATTAAAAACTTCCCTGAACACGGCTGCCTTAAGATGTCTTCTAAATGTCAGGTAGTTATTTATCGCTTTGACATCTGATGGGAGGGCGTTCCACAGGGTGGGCGCCACTACCGAGAAGGCCCTCTGCCTGGTTCCCTGTAGCTTTGCTTCTCGCAATGAGGGAACCGCCAGAAGGCCCTCAGCGCTGGACCTCAGCGTCCGGGCAGAACGATGGGGGTGGAGACGCTCCTTCAGGTATACTGGGCCGAGGCCGTTTAGGGCTTTAAAGGTCAACACCAGCACTTTCAATTGTGCTTGGAAACGTACTGGGAGCCAACGTAGGTCTTTCAAGACTGGTGTTATGTGGTCTCGGCAGCCGCCCCCAGTCACCAGTCTAGCTGCCGCATTCTGGATTAGTTGTAGTTTCCGAGTCACCTTCAAAGGTAGCCCCACGTAGAGCGCATTGCAGTAGTCCAAGCGGGAGATAACTAGAGCATGCACCACTCTGGTGAGACAGTCCGCGGGCAGGTAGGGTCTCAGCCTGCGTACCAGGTGGAGTTGGTAGACAGCTGCCCTGGATACAGAATTGACCTGCGCCTCCATGGACAGCTGTGAGTCCAAAATGACTCCCAGGCTGCACACCTGGTCCTTCAGGGGCACAGTTACCCTATTCAGGACCAGGGAGTCCTCCACACCAGCCCGCCCCCCTGTCCCCCAAAAACAATACTTCTGTCTTGTCAGGATTCAACTTCAATCCATTAGCCGCCATCCATCCTCCAACCGCCTCCAGGCACTCACACAGGACCTTCACCGCCTTCATTGGTTCTGATTTAAAAGAGAGGTAGAGCTGGGTATCATCGCATACTGATGGACACCCAGTCCAAACCCCCTGATGATCTCTCCCAGCGGCTTCATATAGATGTTGAAAAGCATGGGGGAGAGGACGGAACCCTGAGGCACCCCACAAGTGAGGGCCCAGGGGTCTGAACACTCATCCCCCACCACCACTTTCTGAACACGGCCCAGGAGGAAGGAGCGAAACCACTGTATAACAGTGCCCCCAGCTGTAACATATCAGTCAGTCCTGCAAGTTAAGTTACGACTTTTAGATAGCGCTTACACCACCTGCATCTCTTGAGGAAGCCTTTTTTGCAAAATGGATCCTCTCTCCGTTTATTTACTTTTGTCAGCTTGAATTGTCTCAGCCTGAGCTAGGCGTGTTGCAAGGATAATCATGGAGTAACCATCGTGTAGGTTGTGCTGGGATCAAATAGTGGAGTGAAAAATGTGGTCAATCAGACCTGGGATGCAAACTTCACTATATAATCAGAATATATTTAGGCTGCAATCCCATGCATGCTTACCCAGAAGTAAGTCCCATTGAAGCAAAAACCAAAAAAAGCCTTCTTTCCTTATAACACAGTTCTTGTATAATAAAACATGTCAAGTCAACGTAAAATCTGAGTAGGACCATGTTGTAAAGTCAGCAAGATAGTGACTGTTAAGTAAAACTGCCAGGTTTGTTTGTTCTTTAGTATGTACATCTCACTAGCATGAGTTACAGATGATACATTTGAGTGATGGCTTACATTACCCCTGATGCTGAAAGCAAGTTCGAAATAATTGCAGTATCTACATGGAGGAATCTACATTAAATTTGCTCTGTTGTTTTTGGTTTTTTTCAGGGTCAGTGCACTGAATTCTCTTTTCTTTTATCCACAGGCTGAGCAATACCAAAAGAAGAATCGGAAGATGCTTGTCATTGTCATTTTGTTTGTAATAGTAGTTGTCCTTATCATTGTTCTCATTGCTGTCAAATTCCGCTAGGTAGCACTCCTGTGATGCTTTCCTTTCTCTGTGTTTGTACGTTTTGGGAGGTGGGGGTGTTGTGCTTTTCCTCCCCCCGCCTTTTCTTTTTTCTTTTCTTTTTTTCTTACTGATACAAGTGGTTGAGCCTCTCACTCTGGAAAGCTGCCTTTTGAATGAATGTAGAAGCCCTAGTGGTGCAAGGTCTGTGCAATGTTTCTGGGGGGGAAACAAAAACCCTTTCTGTTTTACATGCTAAATGACTGCGCAGGTAGTGGTTTGCAAAAATGCGGGCAAAAATTATTGGGAATTTTGAGAAATGCTCTCAAACTAGGCATCTGGTTATTTATCCAGGATTTAGAAGACTTAAAATGCATCTTTAAAATTAAGTTGCGGACTGAAATGTTTCAGAAAAGCATCATAATTTAGTTGTATCGAGAACCCAATAGTGTTGTTTGCCAACATTTATGTTACGGTTAATCTTAGGTTTTTGTGAGCTGCCTAGGTTTCTTTTTGGACACAATACCAAAAACTATGGGTTGGTGGTAAAACTGCCTTAAACGTAAAAAGTGTTTGATTTTAACTAGTTTTCCTCCAGTTTTAAGACTTGTGTAGACTTAGTGGAAGTGAAACACTTTTTAAAACAGCAGATAATCATATCATGTGACTTCATACCATTATTATTATTATTATTCCCTTGAGTGGTATTTAGCAGTGTAAATATAACACCCCAACCATAATGAGTGCTACAGAAATTTTAAATTATTTTCTTGGCTTCAAATAATCCAGAATGTCCTTCTTCTCTCCCTGCGTTGCCCTTGCCCTAAACTGATTTATGCACTGTTGTTGTTGTTCTACTACATATATTTTGGAATATTTGAATATTAAGGCCACAGCTGGAAGGAAATCTTTTGCTTTTCTCCTCCTCCTCTCCCCTGACCCCAAATCTTTATCCACTATCATGTGAGCATCGGTGGTGACAGCCTTCATCTCCTACTTCCAGATACTGAATTGGAAAAGGGATGGTGGTTTTTCAAACATGTAGCTTAAATCAGATGAAATAAGCTAACCGATGCATATATTGGAATCATGAATCTGAATAGAAGAACTTTTGTCCTCTGTCGGGCTGTGGAAAAGCCTCAAGAGAAACGGGGGTCAACAGCTGTGATTTAAAATGCTGGTTCCTCTATTGCAGATGGCAACTCTGCTAAGGGAGCATTTTTTAGCAGTTTTAACTGGATCCTAAAAGTGCTGGGCAATTTTAGGGGCCTTTGCTTCATTCCTTTGTTGTTGTTGTTTTTAAAAGATACCATTCCTTTTGTGAATAATTTATTTAAAGCTTGTGGGGTTGCATCTCTGCCAGTGTTTTGCAGTCACTGTGATCTTGTCCGTGCCCTCTGCACCTCACCTTTCCCCCAGCTTTTTGCACCTCTCAGATTTCTTTGTAGAACGATGGAAATAAAGAGACTCTTGCCTTGATCCACACCAGGATTAAGCCTGCTGGTTAGAACAGAGGATAATGTCCCCCTAGGAATGGCTCCTGGAAAAAATTATCTGAAATGAAGAGGTGCGGCATATCAGTGTCGTGATCTCGTGCTGCTCCCTGTGTCAGTGGGGCTTGTCCCAGTGGATTGTGTTCAAGTCAGCACTTTCAGATCTCTCCTACTCGTACAGATCATCACGTAGGGCTATAAAATGAGCCCAGTCTTAACGAGCTACATCTTCATGATGGGGCAGTATAATAACTATAGAGCATGCCACTGGTCGTGAATGGTGGCTGCTGTCAAGGCCTGTGCTTCCTGCTTTTTGGACTATACAATATATGACATGACACCACAAAACGCTGGGAACTATTATTGCATCAGTGAATAGCTAGTTTGCCCACCTTGCAGAAACGTGTTGATGCTTTCATAGCTGGGTGTTGTTGCAGCTGTACCAGACCTACTGCTTTAAAACCTCCCAAGGAGGAGAGCCCACCACCTCCCGAGGGAGACAGTTCCACTGTTGAACAGTTCTTACTGTTAAAAAATTCTTCATCATGTTGAGTAGGAATTCCCTTTCTTGTAACTTGAATCCATTGGTTCAGGTCCTACTCTCCAAAGCAGGAGAAAACAAGCTTGCTCCATCTTCCATGTGACAGCCCTTGAGATATTTGAAGATGGCTATCACATCTCCTCTTAGTCTCCTCTTCTCCAGGCTAAATGTACCCAGCTCCTTCAACCATTCCTCATAAGGCTTGATTTCCAGACCCTTGATCATCTTGGTCACCCTCCTATGCACACATTCTAGCTTATCCATATCCTTCCTAAATTGTGGTGTGCAGAATTGGACACAATATTCCAGGTTTGGTCTAACCAAGGCAGAATAGAGCCGTACTATGACTTCCCTTGCTCTGGACACTATACTTCTGTTGATGCAACCTGGAATAGCTTTTTTTGCTGCTGCATCACACTGTTGACTCATGAAGCTTGTGGTCCACTAAGACCTCTAGATCCTTGTCCCCCGTCTTATATTCCTGCCTAAGTGTACAGCCTTACCTTTGTCCCTATTTAATTCATTTTGTTCATTTTGGCCCAGTTCTCTAATCTGCTAAGGGCATCTTAATGACCTAATGATACCAATTCTATCTTCTGCGGCATTAGCTACTCCTCCGAGTTTGGGGTCATCTGCAAATATGATGAGCATCCTCTCAATTCCTTCATTTATAAAGATGTTGAACAACAACGAGCCCAGGATAGAACCCTGTGACAACCAACTTGTCACCTTTTCCCTGGATTATGAGGAACTATTCGGTTGATTGAACAGGACGTTTAACTGAATAGTGCTTTGAACTCTTCCAGCTTTGATTCTCTGTCGGGACTATACCACTTCTAACCATAGGAGATAGGGGGTGGCTCACACGTTTGAATGCTTCTTTCTATTAAACAAAAAATCTCCACAAATAGAAAGCTAGATACTAGGGAGAAGGCAAGATTTGCACCTTTCTCTTTGATGCTTAGTTTTCTGCAGGTGGGGATTTTTGTTTAGCTTAAGCCTTATCTAGGATTGCCATACACCCAGAATTTCCTTTCTCTTTGATGCTTAGTTTTCTGCAGGTGGGGATTTTTGTTTAGCTTAAGCCTTATCTAGGATTGCCATACACCCAGAATTTCCCGGACATAAGCAGGATTTGGTCATCGGAAACAGTGTCCAGGCGGAAATCGCTGAAATGTCTGGGGAAATCCAGACATATGGCAACCCATGTTGGAAGTGTAGTTTTTGGAGAATTTCCTTAAAAATAGCTCAAAAACTTTTGTGTCCGGATTTTTACATTTTGAAATATGGCAGCCCTAGCCATATCAGTCTTAGATGAATTGGTGTAGCCAGGACACAGGTTTACAACCTATGAATTAAATTAAAATCATGAACAATCCAACATAGTGCATTCTCTTCCTTCCTAGTTCCTTCATTTTTTTCCTTTGCCCAAATTTGACATGATGGTGTTGAAATGGTCCATAAACAATTTGCTACTGTCAATGCGAACCCTAGAACACATCTAGTGTCTGCCTGTACAAAAGTTCTCCATAATGTGACCCACTGTGCCAGCATTGATAAGATTATCATTTTATATAGCACCGTTCATGTATATTAGGGGCGAAGAATCTTCTTTTTTTCTGCCTGAAAGCTCTGCTTCCTACTGGGCAACATTGCCAGGGACATATGTCAACAGCGGGTGCAGTAAGAGGCAAGGGCACAAGTGTAAATTTTAACCTTTGTACAGTTGGCTAGTTTATTCTCCACCCAGGCAAGCAAAAGGCATTATCCGTGTTCAATTGCAAAAGCACTTGGATGTGAAGCAAGGCAGTGAGAGATATGCCCCAGGGGTAGTTCCAAGGGCCAGACAGAGGTGCATTTGGCCCCATGGACCGTTGTTTTCCCAAGCTCGATGTGGCTGCTGGCTTACGGAATAAACGAATAGCTTTCTGCTTCAAGAAATGTACAGTCTCTAAGCTTTGACAATGCAGAGAGAATGAGGACTAAGCTAACAGCAGATGAATGTGAACCAGTGCAACTGCATGTACTTTAGACTCACTGTTTCCAAACTCTGAAAGGCAGCCAGGAATTGCTGAAATGTTCCTCAAATCCAAACACTGATGGGGCAGAAGGAAGAACGACAAATAACTTCTCCAGCCACGGGGTTGCAGAATAATACATGAAACGCTGTCGCAACAATAGCTGGCAAATGGCATGTATTATTGCAGACCGTTTTTCATTCATCTGCCTGGCTTAAAATTCAAAGCCTTCTGCTTATAAATACAGACAGGAAAAAGTGGGCAGCAAGCATATTTTGGGGGTAGCAGTTTTAAATCTATTTCACTGCCATCCTCAAAGAACCCTGTGAAGAATGATGCAAGCTAATGACAGGCCTACTCGGAGCAAATTTGTTTAAATTAACAGGCATTGCTAACTTAAAATTAATAATCGGTGGGATGCAACTCAGTGCTTTTAGTATACCTAGAGCTGTACATGTGCTTTTTGAGTCTTATCATTTCATGGTTATAATATGAAGTCTCGCATCTGGGCACTTAGGTTTCCCTTTTGTGAGAATCTGTTTCACAGAACAAAACCCAGGTGGGAAGCATCTGATAAAGACATTATTATTGTTAGCATACCCATCCTGCCTAAAAATGTGTGATTTTTTTTTAAAAAAAGAAATGCCATATCTGGCGCAGAATAAATCATACAAAGTAAATGGATGCAAATTTTGCTTAACTTCCGTTTCATATATAGTGCCTAAAAAGCAAACCAAGCTCTCAGATATATATTTTTTTCATTTTCTTTTAAATAACAGGCTGTAGAAGCTAGGAAGGGGGTAAAAAAGTAAATCATATGGGAGAAAGCCTGAGCAAAGATACTAATATTTAAAATGGTTTCCCCCCTCCAAGATGGTTGTGGATAAAGCAAGGCAGATCAGGTGTGGGGAGAAGGAGGGCACCCTAACTGTAAGGAAAAATTAATGCTTTGTGGATGCAGGATTTAAATGTGTGTGGGACTTACTTGTTTTCGTGAAGACACAGCCCTGCGTAGGCATATCTGTCAAGACACTAGAACAAAATATTATCTTCAGCGAGCAGAGCTTCCCAAGGCTGTTGGGAAATCCTTCTAAGGTTCTATTTGTATATTGTACTTTACCCATTTGTAAATGTCTAGTGCACTGTGTTTTCTGAAGGTTAACACAAATCCTCAATTGCTCTGAGAACCATTAACTTGATTGGGACAATTTCTGAGGACTCAAATGTAATATATGTACATTCCAAAGGGGTTTCAGACCTGAGGTTCCTTCTGTTCATCCATCATAGTTTCTGTGTCAGATGACTGTAGTCCGAGAGGAATAAAGTTCTATTTAATATTATTTATTTATTGAAATTCAGTAACATTGTCGAAGTCATTTTCTACCGCTTTTAACATGCTTTCTTTCATGCCAGCCGTGTTCTAGGTACTGTAACACAAGTGTGACATTGGTCAGACAAGTACAGTAGGCTTATAGTTCACAGTGGATGGGTGGAAAAGACCAGGGAGACAACAGTGAAGTCTAAGATTAACAAATGAATTGGCAGAGATTTGACAGTGATTGTCATGCCTGATTGTGGCTGTGCCTCTTTTTTGTGGACCTTTGTACAATTAAGGGGACATCATAAACTTTTATAGGATGTTTTCTCTAAACTTCTGCAATGTTTCATGTATCTCCTTCTTGGCTATGCCTCAACGATATTGTTCTTTGAAGAAGAAGAAACTATTCAGTTTTTATATCTAAAAAAGGTGAGGTGAGGATCACATATTTCCTAATTACAACTTGAAAGCTGAGACTCTGAATTACCTGCTGTACTAGCTGGGGCACAGGAAGCATTAAATTCTATGTGCTTATATGTATGTACATATGTCCTTCACTCTTATCATTAAAACAAATCAAACTTTTTTTAAAGAGTTTCAGAATTGCTCTGAAGTTTCAGAGAGATGACATGTTATTGATGTAATAAACACTGACCAATAGATGCCCATCACAACTGGTCTTTTCATGGTATAATTTTTAAGAGGTTGCAGGGAGGAAAATGTGCTCTTAGGGCAGTGCAAGTTATTTCAAATTACGCCTGCTATGTTTACAATGTTACATCAGTTTTCAACCTAAATAAATGTCATCTGCTGGGTCTGCCTCTTTCTAACATTGAGAGAGGATAAAATGGGAAAAGCCCCATTTACAGATGCTTAATAGGGCAAGGTTTGAGAACCTCTGCTGGGTGTTCTTCCAGGCATTTAATATATATATTAAAAACTATACATCTTAAACTTGCTTAAATTTGTGCCTCCATGAAGGACGGAATTGCCATATACTTTATTTAACGAAGAAATAATAGTCACAGGATACTATAGAAGACCAGTGTATATGAAGCATCCCTTACATTTTAAGGCTTGTTTAATTTTGTTTTCATAATATTAAGGGAAAGCATCCTAGCTCAGAGCAGATATGGGCCATTTTTCTCTGTTTCAGGCATACTTTCTTTCACAGCTCTTTTGTGACCTCACTCTCATTTTCATCCTGATCCCAGAACCGCACTAGGAGCTCTGCATGGCCAAAACTTTTTTCCAGTGTTAGGGAAGCTTATGTACAAACCTTGTACAGGAAATATTCCTCAGCACAGGTTCCAGTGCTTTGTACAAAGCTTGCCCCGATCCTTTTACAGTAATGAGAGAAACCTTGCCTGTACAAAATCCTGTATATAACTTAAGAATACTCTCAGGCTTTTTTGCATTTCAATCTTTGCATGCAAAGTGAATGTTCAGTTCTGTGGCTCGCCCTACAGGAAACAATGAGGCGGCAACATTACTGGGGAAGACTCTGTTCTTCAATGCCCCACTGTGTACGAACTCCAGCAGAAGCCGGTGTTGATTGTTGTCATGGCCGTATACTGTAACTGCCGCCTGAATCTATGCCATATATAACAGAAGGGACCTCACGTCTTACCCAACTATGTACAGTATATTTTCTTCCACTTCTGTGAAACAATTTGTAATGTATGAATAAACCATCAAATCTCCAGTGTGGTGTGCGAGATGTTGTATTGCCTTGAAAATCCTCTTCGATTAGTGGCTCACAAACGTCTTGGACAGAGGAAGGTCTCTTATAGAGAGCTTATAGGATCCATACGTTAAATTTCCCCCAATCTGCTTGGTTTCTGCCTGTCTTAAACATCATGCCACTTAGCATCTTGATAGTTTGGATTTTCTCCCAAACGGCTGCTCCTAACAGTGCAGAAAACCCTACGGAGCTGCACCTATCAACAGGTGTGAGCCCAAAGCCTCTGTGGTCTAACAGGAGTGCAGTAGTTTCAGATGTTTTCTTGATTCCTGGGGAACTGGTTCTTACACCATCCTGCCCTAGTATGTCTTGCATATATGCCTTCTCACTCTGGACTGACTATAAACAGACATGACTTCTGCAGCTAGAGACAATGCATCTCTCAGCTACAAAAAGTTCAGGCAATTAACTTTTAGTCCTCATGACATCTTTGTAACCTCCTATCCATGCTGTCTCATGAGACGACTGCTCTTTCTCCTTTCCATGTAGAAAAAAAAGTGAAGGGGGGAATATACTCTTTTTTAAAGCACAAGGAAGGGACAGAAGTTGACTGCATCTTGTATTTAGTGGTGCAGAGTGGTGCAGTGGTTACAGGAGAAATCTTAAGAAGTCAATGCAGCAAAATAATTCATTCAGTTACTAGAACCTAAGTCAGACTTCTTCAACCTCGGCCCTCCAGATGTTTTTGGCCTACAACTCCCATGATCCCTAGCTAGCAGGACCAGTGGTCAGGGATGATGGGAAGTGTAGTCTCAAAGCATCTGGAGGGCCGAGGTTGAGGAAGCCTTACATAAGTGAATGGTCAGTTATCCTAGTTTACTCTCACTTGACCAAAGCACTGGTCTCTGGAACAAGATAGGGTGGGCATTAGACCAGGGACATCCACCTTCACTCAGCCATAAAGCTCAGATGCTTTTGAATTATAGAATTGATGCTTTTGAATTATAGTGCTGGAGGAGACTCTTGAGAGTCCCATGGACTGCAAGAAGATCAAACCTATCCATTCTGAAGGAAATCAGCCCTGAGTGCTCACTGGAAGGACAGATCGTGAAGCTGAGGCTCCAGTACTTTGGCCACCTCCTGAGAAGAGAAGACTCCCTGGAAAAGACCCTGATGTTGGGAAAGATTGAGGGCACAAGGAGAAGGGGACAACAGAAGACGAGATGGTTGGACAGTGTTCTCGAAGCTACCAGCATGAGTTTGACCAAACTGCGGGAGGCAGTGGAAGACAGGAGTGCCTGGCGTGCTCGGGTCCATGGGGTCACGAAGAGTCGGACACGGCTAAACGACTAAACAACAACAGCCTACCTTAAAGGCTTGTCACGTGGATTTAAAAAAGGGTGTGTGCCCTGAGCTTGGAGGAAGACTGGGACAAAAATGTAAATCTAGTAACTGAGTGGACTGTTGCCTACATGTTTCCTGTTAACATTTTTGCAAAAGGAAAAGCAAAGCCAATTGAGGGTAGGGTTAACAAAACCCTGATCACACAAGGAGTGGGTGGGTGTGTCTGCCACCTTCATGCCCTGGTCTTCAGCTTTGCAGAGGCCTCCAAATGGACTAAATGGGCCTCTACGGCAAAGCGGTTCTTACGAGCAACCTCTGCCCCTGACAATGATGCAAGGCCCTCAACAGGTCCTCAGAAGCAGACAGAAGAATGCTTTCCTCTTTCGTAACACTAGAACTCATGAACATCTGAGGAAGCTGAATGGTGGAAGGTTCAGGTCAGATAAAAGAAAGTGCTTCTTGACGCAGTGCATAGTCAAACAGTGGAGTTTGCTCCTTCAGAAGGGGGTGATGGCCACCAACTTGGATGGCTTTAAAAGAGGATTGGACAAATTCACAAAAAAGGCTTTTGGTGGAGACTGACCATGCATGCATGACCACGCATAGACAGCATCTTAAAAAGCAGAGACATCACCTTGCCAACAAAGGTCCGTATAGTAAAAGCCATGGTTTTCCCAGTAGTGATGTATGGAAGTGAGAGCTGGACCATAAAGAAGGCTGATCGCCGAAGAATTGATGCTTTTGAATTATGGTGCTGGAGGAGACTCTTGAGAGTCCCATGGACTGCAAGAAGATCAAACCTCTCCATTCTTTTTTTTTATTATTAAATATTTTATTAAGGATTTTCTTGTTTTACAGAAGTGTAGTGCCTCGTATTTTTTTTTTCATGTAACATTTTTACAAATCCGTTTCATTTGTTGAGGCATTAGGGGGAGAAAAAAAAAGAAAAAAGAAAGGGGGGGTGGAGAGAGGGAAGATGGATGGGGGTGGGGTCGGGTGGCGGTGTTTCTATTATGTTTAATGTATGTAGAGTTTGGTGTCAGCGTTGCTTGTGTTGTTCACTTGTGCCCTACTAAACATCTTCCAAGACAACAATGCCCATTTACACCACAAAGAACTCATAACCCACCTGCTCTCAGCAGCCAGAAACACCATAACCAGACACTGGAGAGACCTGTCAGGAGTAAGCATGGACCAATGGTACCAAATAGTATGGGAAACAGCCCTACTAGAAAAATTAACTAATAAACTGAAACTGACACGGGGACAAACAGAAGAAGACGCCTTCACCCCGGTATGGCTCCCCTTTATCACATACACAGCCCAACAGGACAATGACAATAATCCACCAACAGCATACAAATCAATATGGCTAACCTGATCCAAAACACCCACCCACCTCACTCACACACGAAAACAAAGATCACCACAGCCAATCACAAGCAAACAATCACACCCTAGGCCAACCCAAACCTCTCCATTCTTAAGGAAATCAGCCCTGAGTGCTCACTGGAAGTACAGATCGTGAAGCTGAGGCTCCAGTACTTTGGCCACCTCATGAGAAGAGAAGACTCCCTGGAAAAGACCCTGATGTTGGGAAAGATGGAGGGCACAAGGAGAAGGGGACGACAGAGGACGAGATGGTTGGACAGTGTTCTCAAGGCTACCAGCATGAGTTTGACCAAACTGCGGGAGGCAGTGGAAGACAGGAGTGCCTGGTGTGCTCTGGTCCATGGGGTCATGAAGAGTCGGACACGACTAAATGACTAAACAACAACAACAACAAGACCATGCATGTCTATGCTCTGCCTCCAACGACGCTTCTACCAGTTGCTTGAAACCACCAGAGGGGAGAGCTGCTCTTGCACTCATGTTCTGCTCCCTGGTTTCCCACAGGCATCTGACTGGCCACTGTGAGAACAGGATGCTGGACTAAGCAGGCCTGCAAACTGCAAATAAATCAAGGTGTCCACGATGTAAGCAAGAGACCTGCCAGCACACTTCCAAAGCTAAGCAGGGTCTGGCCCGGTTCCAGACTGGATGGGGGGCCGCGTTGTTGCAATTCCTACATTGCAGGGGGGGGGTTGGACTAGATGACCCACAGGGTCCCTCCCAGCAAGACCATTCTACGATTCCATGATCCAAAGGTCCCACGCCAGTTTTGGGCAAACCAGAGCAAACAGAAGCTTGAGGGCAGCGGGCCCCAAGGCGATTTAATAATAATAATTTTATTATTTATACCCCGCCCATCGGGCTGGGTTTCCCCAGCCACTCTTCCAGCACATATAAAAACATAATAAAACGTCAAGCCCTGGTGATCATCTAATGTTTACTGGATGGATTTCCCCCCCAAATAGATTTTTGAATTCTGAATTTATTGTTATTCATGTTTTATGCTGTATTTTATGCTGTTTTTTGTTGCATCAGTTAAGTGTTTTAAATTTGTTGTTAGCCGCCCTGAGCCCGGTTTTCTGAACCGGGAAGGGCGGGGTATAAATAAAAGTTTATTATTATTATTATTATTTAAAAAAATAAAAAAAATTCCCTTCCTGATACAGGGCCGCCTTCAGATGTCTTCCAAAAGTTGCGTGTTCCTTTCACCTCCTTGATACCTGATGGGAGGGCGCTTTCCCCCTCTAGCAGCAAGCGCTATTCGCGGGTAGCGTGCCCTGGTCCATGGAGGCTCGACGCGGCGACGCTGCCGTTCCCTGCCCGGCCGGAGGAGGCGGGCGCGCTGCCTTCGCCGGGGAGGAGCCGGAGCGAGAGCCGAGACGCTGCCGCCGCCGCCTCCTCCTCCTCCGCTGCGGGCAGGAAGATGGCGAACGTGCAGCTGGAGTTCCAGGCCAGCGCCGGAGAGGCGGACCCGCAGAGCCGCCCTTTGCTCGTGCTGGGCCAGCTGCAGAACTTGCACCGCCTGCCCTGGGCCCAGCTGCGGGGGAAACTGCAGCCCAGGGTCACCGAGGAGGTAAAGGCGCGCCGGGCTCTCCCGGGGCAGGCGGGCTGGGCAGGGAGGAGAGGCTGCTGCAGGGAGCTCCCCCGACCCATGGAGCTCGTCGGGGTCCCCACCCCAAACTGAAGCTCTCCTAATAATTAATAGAAATCTCCTTTTCCTCTTGCCTCGGGAAACGCTTCCTCTCTCTTCCCCCAGGCCTGGGCTGGGCTGGGGAGAGCGCCGCCAGCAGCGGTGGGGGTGGGCTGGATTTAACATATATCTCCTGTCGGTTAGATAGCGCCTTGCTGGAAGGGGGGGGTTGGTTGGAGAGGGAGGACGGAACTTGCAATAATAATAATAATAATAATAATAATAATAATAATAATAATTTACAAAAGAGCCATCTCTCATCCTTTCATTCTCACGTGCTGAAGCTCCGCCCCAGGTAAGGGGGAGGAAATTGCTCCCCCCTGGAAGAAGCAGAAATGCACGTGCTCTCATCTCGAACCCGTCTCCCTCCTTGATTTATTTGCAGTTTGCAAGTTAAGTTTATTCTCAGTAGGCAGCTGTACAGCCCTGCCCCTGTTTCTTCAAAGTAAGCCTTACTGAGTCCAAGGGGATTTTCTTTCAGATGGTAGCCTTGTAGCCTTCTCTTAAAGGTAACGGGGCCCCTGACCGTTAGGTCCGGTCGCGGACGACTCTGGGGCTGCGGCGCTCATTTCGCTTTATTGGCCGAGGGAGCCGGTGTACAGCTTCCAGGTCATGTGGCCAACATGACTAAGCCGCTTCTGGCGAACCAGAGCAGCACACAGAAACGCCGTTTACCTTCCTGCCGGAGTGGTACCTATTTATCTACTTGCACTTCGATGTGCTAGGTTGGCAGGAGCAGGGACCGAGCAACGGGAGCTCACCCTGTTGCAGGGATTTGAACTGCCAACCTTCTGATCTGCAAGCCCTAGGCTCTGTGATTTAACCCGCAGCGCCACTCGTGTCCTTTCTTGCTTAGAAGCAAATCCCTTTTTAAGTTCACTTACTCCCAGGTAAGTATGCCTAGGATCACAGCTTCAAACCCTTTTTAAGTTTTTAGTTTTTCCTTTTTCGCCTAGATGGTTAACCTACCCAAACTAGTTGATTTTGAGTTTTGCTTTTAAAAACCAGCTGTGTTGCAAATGCTTGGATTTGGTGCATGGGTGCGTATTTTTGCCTGTTCTAGGTTCACTTAAGGAGGGAGCAAGTGTAACACTGCATGGAATTCAGATGAGAGGAGTTTAGCTCAATGGAAGCAGCGGGCCCCAAGGCGATTTAATAATAATAATAATTTTATTATTTATACCCCGCCCATCGGGCTGGGTTTCCCCAGCACAGGAGAGCAAAAACAGAAGATACTCCCTTAAAAGAGGGCTTCAGTGATTGCCTAAGGACAAATGCAGACAGCTGTGCTAACTTTTGAGCCATAGCTCAGTTGTGGAGATCTGCTTTGCATGCCGAACTCCCCAGCTTCAATCCCTGCCCTCTCCAGGTACAGCTGGGAATGCACCCAGTCAGTGCAGACAATACTGGGCAAAATAGAACCCGCCTCCCCCCAAAAACCCAGAAAGACTTGTGGCCCATTAAAAACCCTAAAAGTCTGGGAAATACTCAAAGGTCTCCTTTAATCCTCTTTAACTTCCATTCTGGCTTTTTGCAACAAGCATGGGCAACAGAAGTTGGAGAGAGGAAGGAGACTTTTCTTTTAAAAGATCTGTGCATTATATCAACTCGGCACAGCAGCGATTTAAATATACTTTGCAAAGCTTACCGGTAACTTGTCTGCGTGGGTCTCAGATTTGTTGATTTATTAACTGTCCGGGAAGTCAAAACACAGGCCTTAAGGTCACTTGACAGAATTTGAGCAATTAGTTGCAGGGGTTGAGAAGCTGGCTGGAGGCTTCTGTGCGCTTCGAGGTCAACAAAAACCAGACGGATTTATTGGGCATTGCTTTGACTTTGTTATTTAGAGACTCCACGTCCCCATTATGTGAGATTTTCGTAACTCTTATTTCACTTTGCTTTTTGCTCCTTTTCGTGCTCCTTTTTCTTCGCTGCATAGGTGCGAGGCTTGTTACCTGTTTTCTTTGACATGTTTAGCAAAGATGGGAAACAGTAAGTGCTTAAAGTGTCCCGTTCCCCCCCCCCCAGCTGTTGTTGGGCTTTCTCCCAGTAATCCCAGCCAGCATGGCTACCAGTGAGGGATAATGGGAGACATACAGCAACAACAGCTGGAACAGCAGCAGTCTCCGCATTCCCTTATTATGACACAAACTTTTGCGGATTCAGATCTGCTTCCTGCTGCATCAGGAAATTTAAAGCTATATGGGCAGATAAAGCATCTTAATTTGTCTTGCTTGCCCTTTTTTTTACCCTGTGGCTGGTACACCTTTTGGCCACATTCCTCCCCCCCCCCCCAATACACCACACATTGGTGTATCTGGCATACCTGGGAAGAGGCTTCGGCCTAGCTCAGTATTATTTACACTGACTTCTGCAGCAGCTATCCAGGCAATGTTAGAAACTCGGATATATAAGCTAGGCACCAAATGGCTCCTTAAACCAAAGTTACAGTCACCAAAACTATCTAGTTGCCATTATGGGGACAAGATATCTCGAAAGTTCTATTTTTCAAGTGATTGACTGACTGATTGATTCTCAGTTAAACATCTGGCTAGTTCAGCAGACTACCTTGAGCTAGGTTAAGAACTTTGAGAACTTAAAGAAGAAAAGTCACTTGATCCAGGGACAGTCCACATAAATATTGGCCTATTCCGACCTCTCTTCCTTAATGGTGACACAGACCATTCATAACATAAAGAGTATTCTTCACAACTGTGAGCAGGGCACTGGGGTGGGGTTAGTGAAGAGAAGCTACAACAATTAACTACAATTTTGTTCACTGCTCCTGCTCAGGCCGCACAGAAAAAAGTACCGTATTTTTCGCTCTATAACTCGCACCCGACCTTAACACGCACATAGTTTTTAGAGGAGGAAAACAAGAAAAAAATATTCTAAACGAAACAATGGATTTTTGATTTTTGTGGATCATGCTGTGGCCACAGACATGTGATCTGACAGTGAGTTTAGAGTAGCCCAATGCAAAAATCCTGAGGATCCATGTGGATCCATGCTTTGTAACCACGCTTTTGCACCACTGCGGCCCCAGGCAACAGTGGGTGCGTGATTTTTTTGGTGCAAGATGTAGCCATGGACATGCTAGGTGATCTGATGGTGAATTTGGGGTGACCCAGTGCAAAAATCCTGAGGATCCATGTGGATCCGTGCTTTGTAACCACGTTTTAAGTGGGGAGGGAAGGAAAAGCACTCAAGGGACAAGGAGCATGCGTGGGGTGGGTGGAGAAGGATGCTGCTAATAATGCAGAAGAGGGGTATAAGGGGAGAAGGCTCCTCTCCTCTCCCATTTTGCTCCTTTAAAGAAGCAGGCTCTCTGTCCCTCTCTCCTCCCCACTCAGCGGCTCTTCTTCCGCTTTGCTGTTTCAAAGCGAGCCACGGAGGAGGGAAGGGGAACCATGGATCCTCTGCTCACGACTGCAGCAGATCCCCCCCGCCACCCGTAGGCATTCGCTCCATAACACGCACAGACATTTCCCCTTACTTTCTAGGAGGAAAAAGTGAGTGTTATGGTGCAAAAAATACGGTATTTTGGTTCGTGAAATTCATTCTGATTGTGCAGATAAAGTATAACTGATAGAATTCTACAGGATGTGGAATTAGTGTGTGAAAACAGTCAAGATCCAATGATCCTTAGGCTTGCCCTTCCAGATGGTGAAGATGTCAGGCGCTATCCTGGTTCCCAGTCATCCTCACTTGGCTGCAAATAGCTGATAGCCAGGTGGAAAATGTGCCTGGTGCCTGGCTAATCTCAAACACTGATTTAAGGCAGGGCTTCTTCCCCATAGGGACGCGGGTGGCGCTGTGGGTAAAACCTCAGCGCCTAGGGCTTGCCGATCGCATGGTCGGCGGTTCGAATCCCCGCGGCGGGGTGAGCTTCCGTCGTTCGGTCCCAGCTCCTGCCCACCTAGCAGTTCGAAAGCACCCCTAAGTGCAAGTAGATAAATAGGTACCGCTTTATAGCGGGAAGGTAAACGGCGTTTCCGTGTGCTGCGCTGGTGCTGGCTCGCCAGAGCAGCTTCGTTACGCTGGCCACGTGACCCGGAAGTGTCTGCGGACAGCGCTGGCCCCCGGCCTCTTAAGTGAGATGGGCGCACAACCCTAGAGTCGGACACGACTGGCCCGTACGGGCAAGGGTACCTTATCTTCCCCATAACTACTTGGAGATGTCTGAAATTGGGCCTGGAGCTTTCTGCACTCAAAGCAGTTGCTCTAACACAGAGCTAAGGCCCTTCCGCATGTACCAATGAATGGGCATAGAGCTCAAATCCCCCTTGTGTTGTTGAGCTCTACACACCTTGATTGGCGCGTGCCTATCACAGAATCGTAGTGTTGTAGAGTTGGGACCACAAGGGTCATCTCGGCCAACGCTCTGCAATGCAGGAATCTCTTGCCCAACGTGGGACTCGAACCCACAAGCTTGCAATGAAGTCTCATGCTCTACTGACTGAGCTATCCCAGTGTGCCAAATGTGCAGAAGGTAGGACCAGCTCACCTGATGTAGAGGTGAAAATGTGCAGACTATTCATTGTGACCCAGCGACTCACCTCACATATTCTTTGAATGCATTTTGGAGGGGGGGTACATCTGAACACGGCATCTCCATGGAATGTGGGTAGCAACTCTTTCCCAGATGTCTGCATTTTATTAGGTACGCCTGCCTTACTTCTATCTCCCTTGTGTAAACGATGGAATTAAAGTCTAACGATGGCTAATACTGAAAAATTCAGCTGCTGAACTTCCCATTTTGGTGCAAACCAAAGCCATTCCCGTTTCTAGTGCCCTCAGCCATTTAAATCCACAGAAGCCTATTACTCGTCTGGTTTGCTTCCAAAATGTAGACAGTGGAGAGGAGGGAATGTCTGCTGATAGCCATATCTTGGATCTTTTATCTGGACTCAGCCTTGTACTTTAGACCAAGAAGCCCAAACAACAGCCTGGGGCTTCTGCAACACTTTTATAATAATAATAAAAAATCTATTGCCTTTTCAGCCCAGTTTAAGATATTGGAATGAAAATGGTTTGGGCACAAACCAGCGCCATTTAGTGATTGAATTTGGTACCTTGTGCAGTTTGTTCCTTTGAAAGAGTGGGTGACCAAGCTGAAAGATTGTTGCTGCTGATTAATGAATCTGTTGTCCTCTCCCTGTAATGAGAGATTATGGGCTGAAATCCACAGTTGGGCAATACCTTTCTCAGGATCAGCCAAATTGCCACAAAATACTGAGTCAGTTTTCAAGTTATCCAGAACTCTTCATTGGCCAAGATGTTAAACAAAGCAGCAGATGGGGTGGCAAAGGGGTGTGTGTTCTTTTTTAAGAACAGAAATTAGGTGGGATGTTGTTGCCTTGGACTCTGTCCCAAAATGGAGATTACAGTCCAAATCGTGACAGAAGAAACAAGAAACCTATGAAGATTTGAGCCAGCCTATCTATTTGGAGAAAGGCACGTTTTACTTGTCTCCACACTGCAGCAACTACCCCAAAGCAATTGCAATCTGCTCATAACTGAAGATCTGTTTTGAGGAGACCAGCAAAAGTTGCCAGGCAGTTACGATAAAACAGTCCTATTGAAGGTGCTTTCAGATGGGAGTTTGATATTGTAAATGGGTCGTTGTCAACACGTTATTGGTTTGGGGTGGTTGTTGTGTTTGGATTTTTTCCTGGAGAGGGTAAACCCAGATTAAACAGGGAATATGTAGACTGATGTTTTGATGCCAATGACATAGTGTGGGCACTGTGAAAAATATGCACTCATTCCACAATAAACACCAGTCTGGAAGCACCCTGAGTGAGACTTTTTGGCCCATCTAGGCTAGTAGGTGTACACCACCATTACCTACAACCCTCCCCCCAGGGTTCCTAATGCAGGTCTGCCCAGACTTGTTTTACTGAGTTTCTTTAACAGGGTTCAGCCATACGAGGCCCTTATTAATGAATATTATTTGTTTTGCCATGTTGAAAGAAGCGTGGGAAAAATCTGAAATACCGCAAGCTCTCTTTCCTTCTTGATGTATTGGTGGAGATGCTCTTAAGCCATTGTCAGTTCGCAGGTATCACTAATCCAGACCATGGTTTAGTGCACATGTGTGAGTGTGCAGACTCTTTGCACCTCCTGTTGCCGTTGTGCGCTAAGCAACAGTTTGGACGACGCACTAAACCAAACCATGACTTAGCAGTTCAGCAGCAGAAGGACCAAGGAGTAAAGTGGTCAGTCTCTCCAGGAGAAAACAGGTTTGTGCTAAGCCATGGTTTGGACTTAGGGTTGGATGCGAATCGGGTCATGCTGTGATCACCATGTGGTCTGGGGGTTTTGCATCACTGCAGCATTGCTGCTGCATATCCCTCACCACCGTGGTAAGTCGTTTGCCAGGCTAAAGGGGTACAATTGGGGGAAAACTATTAACGGGTGGTGCATCTTCTTTCTGAAGAAGGGTCTCCAATCTTTCCCATTGTTTCCTTTTTCTCAGTTATGGCAAGCTGCGCTAAGCACCCTGAACCCAAACCCGACCGACAGCTGCCCTCTCTACCTGAACTATGCTACTATAGCCGCTTTACCTTCCCGGGTCAGCAGACACAACAGCCCGTCGGCTGCCCAGTTCCTCACGCGCCTCGTTCGGAACTGTCTCCCAGGAGGGACCAACAGATGCATCCTTGTAAGTGAAAGTGAGCAGCTGGAGGGAAGTGGCTTAAAAATATCTGCAAGCGCTTCAAATGCAAAGGGGCTGATTTAAATGTCACTTTTGCTCCTGGAAGAACCTCGAAACACCTTGATCTGCACTTGCAGATTTGTGATTCTTTTCTTGTGGAGGCAGTTGATGCCTTTGGGTACACATTGGTCTTAAATGATTCAGTTTTTCATACAGGCAACTCGTAATTTACGCAGGGGTTACATTCCAAGGCACTGTGTGTTTAAGTGAAATCGCATATATTTGAAACGCTATTAGGAAACCCTACGAACCCCCCATTCCGCCCCTTCTCCTGAGGTTTTTGTGACATTTTGGGGTCTTTTCTGGGTTCGGTGCGATGCGTGCATGTTTGGTTGCACACGTGCCTAAAATGGTTGCTGTCTGTATTTGTAAATTTATTGTTGTACTTTCCCTCCCCTAAATCTCTTTGAGGGATCTTTTTTTGGAATCAAGTGGTGTGTAAGTTCTATGAAATGAAAATAAAACAAACCAATCAATAAAATTATTGCCAACTTCTGAGTTTCAAGTCTCCCACCAGTGTTTAATTTCTTAAAAAGGAGGCAAGAGGTCCCGAGCTCCAAGCCAGCATCTCTGTACAGGTCATTTTTAGTACTCTTAGGCCACAGTCCTATATTCTAGGGAGAAGAAACCTTTAGCCTTTTAAGTATCATTGGACTTCCAACTCCCATCAGCCTCAGCAAAGGCAATGGTCAGGGGATTGTAGCTTCACAACACCTGGAGTTTCACAGGTTCCCGTGCTATGTCGCACCCGCTTAATTGGAAGCAAGCCCAGCATAACTCAATATGGCTTCCTTCTGAGGAGACGTTTGGAGACCTCTGCTGTTAGGAGGCTTGACATCAGGTTATCAGGGAAGCTGCCTCCCCCTCAGAAGTGTGGACAGATATCTGAGCTCCCTATATCTGTGCTGAGCTCCATATATTCCAGTCATCCCCAAACTCGGCCCTCCAGATGTTTAGGGACTACAACTCCCATGATCCCTAGCTAACAGGACCAGTGGTCAGGGATGATGGGAATTGTAGTCCCAAAACATCTGGAGGGCCGAGTTTGCCTGTGCCTGATATATTCTTTCAGCCCTCAGCCCCTTCTCAGGTGTCTGGCACACATTTGCTTTTCTGTTTCCCTTTCAGATGGTCTGCGAGCGCTCGGAGGTCTTTGCCTCAGCCTGTGCTATAGCAAGAGCTTTTCCGCTGTTCACACAGCGATCCAGTGCCTCTAGACGCACAGAGAAGAAAAGTGTGATCGTGGAATTTTTCCTGGTTGGGCAGAACAATGGCCCTGTGGAGGTGGAGACGCTTAAAGTAAGCTGCCGGTTTAAAAAATTAAAATTAAAAAAATATTTATTTGGTTTTTCAGTTTACAGTTTTACAATCACATATCCAACATACAATGTAACGACAAGATTCCATTGACTCTCCTGGACTTCCCTCCTCCCCTTTGTGGGTCCTATTGTTAATCATTTCCTCCTGCATCTTTTATAATGATCCAGATCTTTTACATCTCTGTTACATCCAAAATTCACCATTAAACTACAATTGTTATTCCAATCCTACTAACAGTTTTTACGGTTTACAATGGTTTTTAAGTTAAATTATACTTTTTGACACAAAAATAATACGGCGATGTGAGTGCCGCATACTTTGGGTTAATGTTAAAGGCTTATTTCCCCCCAGTTGCATGGCTGGTTTTACTTTAGCTGGATTTCATAGAACACAACAGGCAATTTGCAGACACGAAAGTGTGTTAAAATTGAAATGTAGGTGAAATTTTATGTACTTCAAAAGAAAGAAAGCTACAAGCTCCTAGGTTTGTTTACAGTAATACAGTGATAAAAATGAATAGGAATTTGTGGTGCTACTTTCTCCTGTGTAGAAATGAGTGATTAGATTTGCTAAGCTCAATCCCTCACAAGTAGTCTCTGGTCTACACTACAGACTTCCATGACACTTGTTGAATTTTCCTGACACCCGGAAAGTCTCTGAGCAGTGCAGATGCAGATGAAAAGCAAAGCTGAATGTTGTGATGCATAGACACTCTTGACATGCTCCTCTTTCTTGTATGAATTCTAGTGTCTGGAAAGCGCTGCAGAAGGTATAAGGCTGGCAGCTCGGATCGTAGACACCCCATGCAATGAAATGAACACCGACAGCTTCCTGGAGGTTGGTGATAACCTTTTAACAGGCTTAGCTTGAACAGTCCGCTGAATTTGGGAAGCTTATGTCCAGGATTTCACTGTAGCGAAGCTGTATTTTGTCCACAATGCTCAGGGAGGTGGCTGACTTGTCGCTTGGCATTTGATGACGAATGGTTTGCCATTTTGAACCAGGTGGCTTTAATGAGGCCCATAAATCAGTAGGACTAAATGATCTAGGTTTTGCTTGTAGGCTTGGGTGGGTGACATCCAGGAAAGAATGTGCAAGGGTTACAGCACCACCACCCCCGAAATTGGTCCCTCACAGGCCCTCTTTCGAAGGGCATCTTCAGACAGATTTCACGTAGAAACAACAAAGGGCCTTACCTCATTCTTGACTACCTGAGGACAGTGACGTTCAAAATGTCCAGGAACGCTTTTTATTGCTGTGCTGATATAACCCATCGATGTTTGCAAGTTTTGGTGGGCATGGAAAGACGCCCTGTAAAGACTGGATTAATTTTTCACAGGGCAGGTGAATTTTGCCTCACTCGCACATCTGCCATAAAATCCCTGATGCTCCGCTCCCTCCCCCTCCCCCCCCCACAACCTTAGAGCTGGTGAGGGGGACAATTCTTACCAGCAAATTTACAAGCAAATCAACAGCAGCTTGGAAGGTTTCGAAGGCTAGAAAGATTCTTTTTTAGAAAAGGTCTTCATTTGGCAGCAAAAAGACATGGAAGTTTGTGCTAGGTGAAGCACAGCACAGACAAGGTTTTTATAAATGGGGACCCACCACCAATAAGGCCCTTTCCCCAGTCACTGGTCCCCTTGCCTCAGAAGGTGAGGCAACCGGGAGGAGAGCCACTGACAATGGTTTTGGTGTCCTGGGAGGTCATTGCAGGGTCTAGGCGAGTGGTTGTTGCATCCTGGTCCCTTGGATTTGGGCCTTGGATTCTGACTTTTGAGTTTAAGAAGCACAGTGTTTAAAGATGTTGCGATGTGACTCTGGTGTCTTCCTTCCTTGAAGGAAATCAGAAAAGTCGGAAAGGACCTGGGGATTGTTCCAACCATTATTCGAAATGCAGAATTGAAGGAGAAAGGATTTGGAGGTCAGTCAAACCGAAGCGATTTTCCACTCCCCCATATGATAAAATCTTGTATGTGGTTAAGACATTACTCATGGGTAATTCAGATCATTTCCCCAGCTCTCCTCTGTCTCTACCTCTGTCCCCAGGTATTTATGGCGTTGGCAAAGCAGCCGTGCACCCACCAGCTCTAGCTATGCTGAGCCACACCCCGGAAGGTGCCACACAAACCATCGCCTGGGTTGGGAAGGGCATTGTTTACGACACTGGAGGACTCAGCATCAAAGGAAAGGTGAGCGTGTCTGGAGACACAGCAGCAGCTGCACACACTCACTCGCACACATCAAAATTCAGTGTGTACTGATGCCCCGCTTGTGTGTTCGGTATGTGTGAAGGTGCCTGCCTAGCCACAAGTCCAGACTAGACGCATGTGTGATCTCCATCAATCCAAAGGGGGCCTTCACACTTGCAGAGTCCCTCTACCTGTGCATTCACCCATGTTCAGGTAGGGCTCCTTCAGACTGATGCCGCAGGCCACAATGGCTATGTTCTCCGTCCAGTGTCCGAGGCCCTATCAAGGGGTCAGCAAACTTTTTCAGCAGGGGGCCGTTCCACTGTCCCTCAGACCTTGTGGGGGGCCAGACTATTTTGGGGGAGGGAATGAACGAAATCCTATGCCCCACAAATAACCCAGAGATGCATTTTATTCATGTAAAAGCGCACTGATTCCTGGACTGTCTGCGGGCCAGATTTAGAAGGCGATTGGGTCAGATCCGGCCCCTGGGCACCTCTGCATACAGGTTGCTGAGAATCGCAAGCGGGGAGAGTTGTCGTTGCACTTGGGTTCTGCTTGTGTGCTTCCCCTTTGGGGCGCCTGCTTGACCACAGCGAGAACAGGGTGCGTGTTAAGTTGTGGGTGAACATATAAGACGACACAGCGATTCTTCAAACAGCTCTTGTTTATTCACAGGCCAGAACAGAACTGGGCTGAAGGGTTCAGTCAGCCTGCTTATATAGAGCTCCAGTACAACGTAACTGTAACAATTTTCTAAAACTATCCAATCACTGAATGTCACTTTCGATCCCTTATTTGCATAACTACCTACAGTATCCCCCTGCTGGCCCAGGGTGAGAACTTCAGTACATAACACCGTTGGACTGGATGGGCCTTTGGCAATTGCATTTTTTATCTTGTGCACCACTTTGATAGCCTCAGGCTGTGCAGCCGTTTATGAATTTGCGAAATAACTAATAAAGGTTGGGCCGGCCTGGTGCATTCTGAGAAGCCCCTTCACTAGTTGGGCACTCCCTGAATGGCTGAGTGGAGCTTAAAGGTGAGGCAGTGTTTGTTATCTGTATAATGCCATCAGGTCACATAATAACTCCTACACAGAGTAGAGTAAGCCAAGAAGAAGCAGGTCTCTGCCCCACAGAGCTTACACTCATTCTAAATTTAGATGGGGAAGGAGAGGCATGAGTAAGCAAAGGATGAATACAGTTTATGGCAAAAATTCACTTGGAGGGTTGTGTGTGTATTTAAAGACTTAACAGATAAAGCCTGCAATCCTATCAGTACACACTTACCAGAGAGGGAGTTCTGTCGAACTCAATGGAGTTTACTCAGTGAGGTCTACACTGCAGTGTTGCGCTGTAATCACCTCAGCATGGCTCTTTCAGCACCAAAGCTTTCTGCATAAATGAATTTCTTTGTGTTTACATTTGTCTAGACAACAATGCCTGGGATGAAGCGAGATTGTGGTGGAGCTGCTGCTATTTTGGGTGCCTTCAAAGCCACCGTAAAACAAGTGAGTGAAACTGAGCAGTTTTTATCAAAGGCTGTAATGCCTGTTTTAGCCATGCAGTAGAGCCTTGGTGGTTCAGTGGCCTACCAGTGATGTAACATCACGGCCGTTCCTTATTTCAGAGGATTCAAGAATGCAATGCCCGCTAGAATGGGAGACTATTCCTTGAAGTTTGTCCAGCAAACAAACCCCCCTCAGGACAGGAGTTTTCATTGCTGTGATCCTTGCTGAATTGTTCTTGGCCTCAGCCTGATTCCACAGCTGACCTTTGGCCCTGTATATCCATTTAGTTCAGTGTTGTCTGCACCAGGGATGGGGAACTTGGTTGTTAAATCCACCTTTAAAACTCTAAACTGCCTCGGCCCTGAAGGAGCATCTCCACCCCCATTGCTCAGCCTGGACCCTGAGATCCAGCTCCAACGGTCTTCTGGCACTGCAAGAAGTCAGGTTACGAGGAACCAGGCAGAGACTCTTCTCTATAATCGTGCCAGCCCTGTGGAACACCCTCCTACCAGATGTCAAGGAAATAAACAACTATCTGACTTTTAGAAGTTTCCCCTTATTCCCCATGAATGGTGGCTCGCCCTTGCGTTATGGCACTACAAATTGATGGTGGGGTGTTGCTCCCCTTTCCAGGTTTGGCATTCCTAGATTCCTCACCCCGACTCAGAAACAAATACCAGGCATGCCTAAAGCCAGGCTAGGCCCCTGTACAAAATGCAGTCTATTGTGGGCATTGCACAGTTATATGCATGGAAGGTGGGAGGGGAGACAATAAAAACGCCACGCCTTGCAATACTGTGACAAACTGATGGGTGTTCTTTAAAAACGAGAAAGGCCAAAGAAATTCCACTCTCGCTATAGTGCTATGAATCTTGCAGGCAGACTTCTCTACCCAGCGATAGTATCCAGGGCTCTGAAAGCATCTCACTGCAGTCATTTAATGAGGCAGCCGGGCAGCCAAGAAATCTGGTGGGAGGCACTCAAATGCTAAATTAACATTTCCCAAGGCTGCTGCTTTAAAAGGCATTTTTCTTGCGTGGAGCTGTATCAGAGACTTTGTTCACAATAAATAAAAATGTGTGGTATGGTTTCTCTCCTGTTAGCTTTAATTTGTTTTGCAGGTTAGGCTCTCTCCTCATTTCACAGCTCTTCTTTTGTCCTTACTGCAATAGGGCTTTAAAGACAATCTTCATGCTGTTTTTTGCTTGGCTGAGAATTCTGTCGGACCAAATGCAACAAGGCCGGATGATATCCATGTTCTTTACTCCGGAAAGTAAGATTTATTTATTCCCTCCGCTCTTACCCTACCTGGCTGCTGCCTAGTGCTTACTTTGGGAATTCTCCACCTGCTCCTAACTTTAAAAAATGCACAGCTGGGGCAGCACACCTGGTCCTTGGAGGATTTCATTGGCTCAGGGAGATTGCTAAGCATGAACAGGGATAGGTGTATAGGCCACAATTGCAGACGGTACAGAAAAAGCACAGGTTGCAATATTGGGACTCATGAATCAGCTTCTCAGAATCTCTGCTTTCATTTGTGGGAAGGTTCCTGGTCCCTATGATTGGGACTGATCTGCGAGTTCATTTGGGCCATAGATGAGAGTGAGGAAGTGTGGCAGAAGGCATTTCCATCCCTATACAGTCATACCTTGGATCTCGAACGCCTTGGCTCCCGAACAAATTGGCTCCCGAACGATCGAAACCCAGAAGTGAGTGTTCCGGTTTTTGAACGTTCTTTTGGAAGCCGAACATCCGACAGGGCTTCTGCAGTTTCTGATTGGCTGCAGGAGCTTCCTGCAGCCAATCGGAAGCCACACTTTGGGTTTTTTTTAATGTTTTGGAAGTCAAACAGACTTCCAAAACGGATTCCATTTGACCCCCAAGGTATGACTGTATTTTAATTGGTAAACTTGAATTAATGTTTTTCTTGTGTATTTTTTTTAACATTTGTTATTGTTGTTTTAGCTTGCTGTTTTAGCTTTTCTACATTAAGGCGCATAGCAATTACCTAACTAGATTAAATGAATAGATAACCCTTAAACACTGCCACATTATTATTGTTATTATTATTATTATTACCCCACTCTTTCTCCAGAACTGTGGAAATCAACAACACCGATGCCGAGGGCAGGCTGGTGCTCGCTGATGGAGTTGCCTACGCTTGCAAAGACCTTTGTGCCGACATTATTTTGGATATGGCTACTCTCACTGGCGCTCAGGTACTTTGAGTGAAAACAAAACAGGCTTTCTCTGTGATAGCTCCCCGCTTTGAAACAATTCTCCCCAGGGCGGCATGCTGGGTGCCTTCTTACCAGAGTCTGGTAAGCTTCAGAGTGACCCCAGAGTTCCCTGGAGAAAGAGCTTGAAAACCACTGCTTTAGATAGCAGTTACAGAAGGAGACAGTGACATGTCTTCACAGCCCTCTCAGGTGCAGAACCTTCAGGGAAACCGCTGCAGTTGCATGTGGAGGAAACTCTCTGCAGCGTGCGTGCCTTTCTGTTGTCTCCTTCCGCTTCCCCTTGGCTTGGCTTCCCTCCTTCCGCTTCTTCGTGGCTTGGGATAACTCAGCTGTCCTTCTTGTTGGCTGAGGAGCAGCAGCAGGGGAGGAAGGGAAGGCAGTTGAGTAAATAGGGAAAGCTACAAGAAAGTTAAGAGTGCTGTCTGGGGAAGACTGGTCCATCAGTGCAAAAGTGGCACTGCCCCACCAACCTCTCCCGGCCCTTAGGCAACCGCTACCTGCCTGCTTTCTTGCTTGCAACCAGTCCAGGAGGTATAACTTGCCTGTCAGCTTCCTCCTCACTCGCAGTGTTGCCCTCGTAGAACCCAGCAGGGAGGACAATGGGGCAAAATTAGATTTGTTTGGCTCTGACTCCACCTACTGTGAGCTTCTCTGCCTTCTTCCCTACAGTCCCAGTGGGCACAAGCTGCTACTGGTGTGGTCCTTTCCCCCCCTCCCTCATTTCTTTTTTCCCTTCCCTGCCGCCCAAAGCATCTGCTATCAAGCAGAGGAGGAAATGGCTTGTAGGACACCAGTCTTTGTCATGTGGGCGACAGGAGCAGGTGTCAGCAATAAATCCCATGGAATAAGTGAAGCCAACTCTTTATTAGAAGAAACAAGGTCTGCTCAGGAGTGCCAAGCCTAAGGAGCACAACAGCTCTTTTCTCAGTAGGTCTTGCCCTTTTGAGGCAGTTGTGGGGACCAAAGGTCCCTGTCTTCCCACAGCTGCCTAAGTCTCCTCCCTTGGGTCCTTCCCAAACAACCTGAGACTCCGCCGCCTGGCCTTTGCACCTCCCTCTTCATACCTCTTCTGGTACTGGGAGACCAGATCAGAGGGGAGCTTGTCGCAGCAGGATGAGGAGACAGCTTGGTTTTTTCACCAGCCTGACTCGTCTCTGTCTCTTGGCCTCCTCTTCTCCTGCTTTCCACCTCTCTGCCACAGACTTTCCCTGCTCAGTAAACCCTGCTCCTTCTTCAGCTTCCCATGCTTCCTCTTCCCAGTCTTCTCCCTCTGACCACTCGTCGTCTTCTCACAACCACAACCCTTGCAGATACTTCCTGGCATTCCTCCAGCCAGCCCCATGGCATCAGGAGATTGCATCGCAGAAGCAATCCATGAGTCCCATCTACTGTGTAGCACTTCCGAAGCACTTCAGAATATAGGCAGAAATGGCCTGCCTCTTCTTGGGTTTCACGTTTTCCTTCTTGTCGCCTTTCAGGGAATTGCCACGGGGAAATACCACGCTGCTGTCCTCACCAACAACGAAGAGTGGGAAAGAGCCTGTGTCAAGGCAGGCAGAAACTGCGGAGATCTGGTTCACCCTCTTGTCTATTGCCCTGAGCTCCATTTTAGTGAATTTACCTCTGCTGTGGCTGACATGAAGAACTCTGTGGCAGTAGGTTTATCAGATATACTGTTATCAGTTACTATTTTATGCCTACGCTGAGTACAATGCCTGTGAGGCACTTTCTGCACTGTTTAGGGAAGTTTTTAATGTTTGAAGTTTTATTCTGTTTTTATTGTTCTGTTGGTAGCCGCCCAGAGTGGCTGGGGAAACCCAGGCAGATGGGCGGGGTATTATTATTATTATTATTATTATTATTATTATTATTATTTTATCACCATCAGATCCAAAGTGCTGTTGTGTAGAGCTGCTTTGCTTCTGCCTACCTTCTCTAGAAATGCAATTGAGCATCATTATCTGTAGACTGAGGTTTCTGAAAATGCTTCTTACTAAATCCAGCCTCTTTTCTGCTCTTTTCTCCAGGACCGAGATAACTCCCCAAGCTCTTGTGCTGGACTCTTCATTGCTTCACACATTGGGTTTGACTGGCCTGGTGTCTGGGTCCACATAGACATTGCTGCCCCAGTCCATGCGGTGAGTTGTGTATGATTGATTCCATTCTCTTAAGTCAAAGGCCGGTATATCCTCACCGCAGCCACACAAAATTAGATGGAGCCAACATTGCCAGTGATTCAGAAATGTTTTAAATAAGTAAAATGAAAGTTTTGAGTCTTTGTGGAGTGGGAACTTGTCCTCTGCAGTGCAATAATAAGCCAGTCCTCTGGTTATGCACAAGCAAAAAAATAGAAAATAAAATAAAAAACAATGTTTTGAAAATCTTACGATCTTTTTCAAAGCAAATGGCTAGCCTTTATAGAGGAGGTTGAAAATGGGTAGGTACTGCCTGGTGAAACCTCAGAAGTCAAAGGAAAGGTTTGAAAGTCAAGTCTTGCAAATATTTTGTCAGAAGTCCCACTGAGTTCAATGGGACTTAACTTCCCTAAGTGTAATACACCCAATCGCAGCATGAGTACAAATTCTAGAGATCAAGAGAGGCCACTGGACACCTGGGAGATCCTTGCTCTTTCCTGGGAGCATCAAAATCAGTGAAACAAAAGCAGCAGATACATGCAGGTTTTGTGTAATTTAAACAGGTTGTGGAATTCAGGCAATGTAACTACAAAGCAGTATCCAGTGAAGTACTTCCACCACCGTAAAGTGTTGTTGCAAAACAGAACGTCCCTTCTCCTTTCGCTGCACATCCCCTTCTCCACATCTGCTCTGGAGGTTGGGGGGGGGGACCTAGAACAGTTTGGGGGACACGTGGGGGGAGGAGGAGGGGGAATTCCATTGTGCACCCAAAAGTCCTTGTGCTCACAGCACTTTGTTGGATTACTGCCCATGGTGTGTTGGATTTTCCCCCTCCTCATTTCTTAGCTTTATGTAAATAGCAGAATATACTAGTAAAAGCATTGGCAATAGATGCATTAAAACGCAACTTGTTTGATAGAGGATCCCTGTATATACGTTGTTGTTGTTCCCATCTGACTTGGTTGCCCCAGCCACTCTGGGCAACTTCTAGCAAATTATAAATACACAGTATGTCCTATTGAGTTCAGTGGGTCTTATTCCTAGTTAATTAGGTACAGTCATACCGCGGGTTGAATGCATTTTGGGTTGAGCGCCTTTGAGTTGCGCTCCGCGGCAACCCGGAAGTAATGGAGCGTGTTACTTCCGGGTTTTGCCGCTTGCGCATGCGCAGATGCTCAAAATGAGGTCATGCGCAGAAGCGGCGAAAAGCGACACGTGCGTACGCAGATGTGCCATCGCTAGTTACGTTTGCTTCTAGATGCGAACGGGGCTCCAGAACGGATCCCGTTTGTATCCAGAGGTACCACTGTATAGGATTATAGCCTTAGGATGCTGCAGCGTGACTTAATTTGTGTGCCTCTTTCCATTCAGCTTATTATTATTTTTATTTCACCTAAACAACACACAAGCCCTCATGGGCAGCATTCCAAGCATTTGCCTTCAGTGTTTCTCCCGCATTCAGTGCTGAGACTCGCCTGTCTCTGCTTTTGCTCCTAGGGTGAACGAGCCACAGGCTACGGCGTCGCTTTGTTGCTCTCCCTGTTTGGCCGTGCCTCCGAAGACCCTCTCCTGAACATGGTTTCTCCGCTGGGCTGCAATGGGGACTCCCCCTTGGAAGATATGGAGAGAGATTCCAAGAGGCGCCGCTTGGTTTAATGCCCACTCTCCTCCCCCTTTGGAGAGAGGGCACACAGGAATTACCTCACTTTGCACTGAAGGGTTTCCCAAACCACGAAAGCACCCACGTGTCGGAAATGACCGAGAAAACGAAAACAAGTTGCTCACATTTGATTCTCCCATCTCACTCTGGCAAAAGGCTGTATTCTGTTGGGTTGGGTGTTTTTAGTTTTTTTAATGCGCTTGGGGTTTTCCTACCAAACCTGGTGACTTTGCTGCTTCCAGTCCTTCTGGAGAAGGGGCCAGGGATGTCTATTCCCCCATGTCCCTTTCAAAAAGTATCTGAGCCTATTACTGCAACAGCTTCACCTCTTGATGCCAATAGAGCCTTCCGAGTTAGTTCTGCAGGTTTCATTTCTCAACCCCTCTGCTTTACAGAATTCAATAGTGTCGTGGGGTTTGGAGGAATATAGGGGTTACCACCTTGGGAGTCAAACACCAGGTGCATCCCTTTAAATCTCCTGATGCTGCAGGGGATGAGGCAGCTGCTGTGCCTCTTGGCCTCTTTCTCTGGTTTTTTTTTCACCTGCCGGGAGGCATACCTGAAATCCTGCTTGCCCCCAGGTCAGGACTGCTGCGCCGGAAGGAACTGCAGCTGCCATGCCCAACAGCACAACAGGCTCCACTTCAGTTTGCAGGGTTGCAACCGCTGGGATGAAGCCACTTTGAGGCTCTGCATTATTCACTTAGCAGCAGCATAAGGGAGGCCTTGTTTTCTAAGGCAGCTTTTCAATAATAATATTCCTAAGCTACCATTCATGCATGTTACATCTTTCGCTGATCATTACGGATCCGACCCTGTAAGTGGCCAGTGCATTTCTCCACGACGGTTCTTAACACCCTTCTGCAGACAAACTTCATCGACGTTTAGAATAAAAGTGTTAATGGGAGATTAACCCTTAGAATAAAACCCTTCCTACTCTCAACACGAGTGTAAGCTTATTGAATCGAGGTATCTGCGCCGTTTCTTTCTGCAAATGCGTGTAGGTGACACAAAGAGTGCAAGAAGGATATGCAGGACAAAGGATATGCCAGTGTGGTGGTGTGGTTAGGAGCGATAGACTCGTAATCTGGGGAACCCGGTTTGCGTCTCCGCTCCTCCACATGCAGCTGCTGGGTGACCTTGGGCCAGTCACACTTCTCTGAAGTCTCTCAGCCCCACTCACCTCACAGAGGGTTTGTTGTGGGGGAGGAAGGGAAAGGAGAATGTTAGCCACTTTGAGACTCCTTCAGGTAGTGGTAAAGGAAAAGGGACCCCTGACCATTAGGTCCAGTCGTGGCCGACTCTGGGGTTGGGGCGCTCATCTCACTTTATTGGCCGAGGGAGCCGGAGTACAGCTTCCAGGTCATGTGGCCAGCATGACTAAGCTGCTTCTGGCGAACCAGAGCAGCGCACGGAAACGCCGTTTACCTTCCCGCCGGAGCGGTTCCTATTTCTCTACTTGCACTTTGACGTGCTTTCGAACTGCTAGGTTGGCAGGAGCAGGGACTGAACAACGGGAGCTCACCCCGTCATGGGGATTCGAACCGCCGACCTTCTGTTCGGCAAGTCCTAGGCTCTGTGGTTTAACCCACAGCGCCACCCGCGTCCCAGTGATAAAGCGGGATATCAAATCCAAAACTGGCTATGAGTCATGGCAGCTACGTGGAATTGGGCAATGGTGCTCTCATGGCCAGGTGTTGAGGGCAGGCCATGGGAGACAGCTCGCTCTCTGGAGCTACCGTGGGGCATCTTGCTGGGCACAGGACTAGGCAACAACCGTGGCTCGATGCAGCATGGGCGGTTCATGTATTCTTCATTTTCAGGGCCTGAGCAGCATATCCCATTCCCTGCGCCTTGCCACAGCCAACTTGTCATACATGCACATAACCATCTGGTCATCTCACAGGAAGAGGAATGCCCAGCATGCAGCACTTTTATTTTATGAGGGTACATTTGCTGAGTGGAGAAAGGAAGCAAATTGCTGAAAGTATTGTTATGATTTTTAATCTCCACCCTCCCCCCCCAAAAAAAAAACACCCCTGTGGCTTTAGAGTCCTGTGCTATGTGCAACATAATCCCTGCTCTTATACCTAGGGTAGTAAACAGCGTACATATAAAGCTTACACTTCTGCCTTGCATCAGATTGAGGAGCTAACGAATCAGTCCTCTCTACACCTTAATTCAATATTTTCTGCCATGTTCCTTTGCAGTTGCGCTCCACCCAACATTTCCCTTCTGAAACAATGCACTGTTGTGACTACACACACACACACACACACACACCGGCTTTAGTCTTCCCTGGGTTCCCTGGTCCATTTAATCATTGTTTCAGGAGATCTGTAGAGGAAGATGAGCTTGGCAAACAGCTGCTCCTCCAACTCCAGCTCCCCGGCCTCCCTGGCCAGGAAGATATCCGTGCAGAGTTTCAGGATGCGGTCCACGTTGGGCAGCTCTTCAAACATGATGGAGCGCGAGATGCCGTTGAAAAGCTCTCGGATGAACTTTCCGATGACCAGAACAAAAGACATGTAGAGGCCTACAATGCTGTAGTGGGGGGAGAGAGAGATGGTGATGATGTTCAGGGTGTTCTTTGAGTTTTCATAGACTCAGAATTGGAAGGTGCCTCAGGGGTCATCTAGTCCAACTCCTTGCAGTGCTTAGCCCAATGTAGGGCTCAAACCCATGGCCCTGTGATTTAAGAGTCTCATGCACCATGGGCAAAATAGACACAAGTAGTCCTATCAGCCAAAGCCCTGTGCAAGGACTTCCACTTGCATAATGAGCTTTTCTTCCCCTCTTCTTGCCTTGTGTACCCCAGAAATTTATTCTGGGGGTTCGGAAAAAAACCCCAGAACAGCACACTGGCAAGGGTGGAAGGAAGGGGGAAGTCTCTTCTATGTGGCAAGCTGAGATGTTTGCACTGACAACATTCAACAGTGCAATATTGAATTCCTGCCAGCGATTGGCTGCCTGTTCTGTATTTTTCAAGGCAGCACAGCGGGGAAAGATTTCTCTCAGGTCTCCCCAAGCCGCCACCTTAATCCAAATCTCAATTGCTGCCCCAGAAATAACAGGTTCCAGTTTGACTTCCTTACCCATGAGCTGCCAGAAATCCCAGGCTAGGAGGGCTGACCTTGTCGTTGAAGATGAAGAGTTCCATATTCTTACTGCATCCATTACCCAAACAGCCGGGCCTCTGCTCTTTCACGACCCACCATTCGGGAACATGGCTTAAGGACTCCTTGGCAGGCAGCTGCTGCAGTTTGATGGTGATATTTCTGAAGAAGGCCATCTTGTCTACGTCTTTTGGCGCATTGGAATGAGCTGCGGAAATGAGAATTACGGGGTGGGGGTGAGCTGACCGTGGGTACCCTGCCTTTCTCCCAATCCACAGGACAACACACATAGCTGCGGGCGCTTTGCACAGCTGCAACACAGGAAGATGCCCCCACACCAAGTCAAACCGTTTGTCCACCCAGTTCAGTATTGCCTATGATTGGCAGTGGCTCTCCAGGGTTTTTGATGGGAAATACGCAAACCTACCTAGAGGTGCCTGAGCCTGAACTGAGGGTCTCTTCTGCATTCAGAACAGATGCTCTACCACTGAGCCGAGGCTCTTCCAGGCTAACAGGAGCGAGGAGTAGAGTAACTTCCTGCTACCCTAACATTTAACAAGTGTCCTTGCAAACACTTCCACTTTCTAATGCCATACTCAAAATCCCCAGGGAGAACTGGAACCCCACTTTAGCCACACAAAACTGAGGTGGAAGTGGCAAAAGAGTAGTTCATTGGCTTTAGAGGAGTGTGTTCCCTGAGTCTTCATCAAGACATCGTGAAGAATCAGCAATGAAAGCAGAAGCTCCATGGGTCTAAACCAGGAGTAGTCAACACGATGCTCTGCAGCTCCCATCAGCCCCAGCCAGAATGGCCAATGGTCAAGGATGAGGGGCGTCGGGTACCCTTGGTCTAAACAGAGAACAGCTATATGGGCATCTACCGTATTTTTCGCTCTATAGGACGCACTTTTTCCCCTTCAAAAATGAAGGGGAAATGTGTGTGCGTCCTATGGAGCGAAGACGCCATAGCCCCATGACCCTCTCCCGGCTGGAGAGGTGATGCGCGGCTATGGCAGGAGCCTCTATAGCCGCGCGTCACCTCTTCAGCCAGGAGAGCGCGCACGGGGCTAAAGAAGCCATAGCCCCGCGACCCTCTCCCGGCTGGAGAAGTGACGTGCGGCTATGGCAGGAGCCTCTCCGCTGCACCTTTCCACTGCTCCCTGACCTGCTCTTTGGGGCTGGTGGTGGGCTTCCCCCCGCCAGCCCCAAAGAGCAGGTCGAAAGGAACCTGAAGCCTGGAGAGGCTTCCAGGCTTCCAAGGTAGCCGCCTGAACGCACCTTAAACGACACCTTGTTTTAGAGCGGGAAAACAAGAGGGGGAAAATTCTCCCTCTCTCTGCGCAGCGCCTCCTGCCGCTTCGTTGAAGGGGCGCTGGGCAGAGAGGGGGAGATTTTTTTTTCTTGTTCTCCCCCCTCTAAAACAAGGTGCGTCCTATTGTCCGGTGCGTCCTATGGTGCGCAAAATACGGTAATTTTGAAAACAAAAGAGGCACTTGGATCAGGAGTGCAGAACCCACTGCACATCTGAAGTTCATATCCAGACAGGGAAGCCCACAACCCCTGGGCCCCAAAACAGCAGTGCCTCATTAGCCAGTAGTCTCTGAGACCTTTGGGTTTTTGTTGTTGTTGTTGTTTTAAAAAACCCTTTGCTTCAATTAGAGCAGCCCCACCTGCCATTTTTAATTCCCCAAAGCGCTTCTGGGCCCTGCGTGGGTTCAGAGGCACTCGTGAGAAACGAAGGCGGTATGGGTGACTGTTTGGAGCTTTTGCCATGATAGTGGCAGCTGGGTGAAAAGAATTTGGGATGTGGGTGTGGAGGAGGAAACAACACCCATGTGCTCCTTTTGCTAGTTTGACCCAAAGACAGCACATTTCCAGATGCCTGGAACAATTAGACAGTAGCTTTTTGCTCATACGATACCGCATGCATCTTTTGGCTTTGCCTTCCTATAGCAAAACTCTGCAACTCTGGCCTCCTCTCATCTTCAAGCAGGCAGGATTTTCCTCCACTTTTGTCCACTTACCCACTTGCAGCCGATGGGCCATTTTAGCTTCTGCTCCGCCAGCTGCTCTCAGATACCTTGGTAGGACACCAGGAAGCAGACTAAAATGGGGGTGGGGGAGAGCAGAACAAAAGCAAAGCAAAACCTTGGTGAATGCTAAAGGTCTTGCTCCTTTCCAGATCAACACATGTTCATTTTTCACATGTACCCCACACAGCTTCCAAGATATTATACAAATCCATGGAGGAGGAAGGTCTAATGGTATGGTATGGTATGGTAGCCAAGTGGAGACCCCACATACAGGAGCCATATTCCACCGAATACCACATGCTGAGGGACACATACAGTAGCAGGGGAAGCGCTAATGGCCACCAAAAGAATCAGGAGAAATACGTAACACTAACACGCCTTCCGTTCTGGTCCCACGTAGCATTTCGACGATTTGCTCCCGAATCCCCTTGTCTTCATAGCGCATCGTGTGTAGGCCGGATGCTTCAATATTCTTCACGAGAGAGGCATTCCTGATTCGATAAGGATATGAAGGGAAGGTTAAGGGAAGCTTTAGATGTTCTTCAGGGCAGGCGTTATGGAAGAGAGAGATTCTCCTCTTGCGCTATGTGCCTCGTATGAAACGGACAACAAAACGGGTTTGCCAAGCGATGGCTTCCTCTGAAAAATCTACTTGACAAAGTGTCGCAGAAAGGATGCAGTGCAAAGGGTGGGACTTGGAGGGTTGGGTGTGAGGTCACTAATCAGAGCAGGTTTCAGTTAGTTCCTTAGTAACAACAACAACCACAACAACGTGACAGCCATGGGCAGCAAAAAAGAGAGGTGCTGCTACTCCACACCAGTGAGTAAGGACACAAGAAAAGCCTGCTGGATCTAACCCAACATTCTGTTCTCACTGCACCCAACCAAATACCAGTGGGAAACCTGCAAGAGGGGTGGTTGTATACACATACACAGAATACACTTAATATTAAAAAGATAAAAACCTGAGAAGAGTCCAGTGGAAGTTGATGTAGATTGCGGAGGAATTGGAGAGTTCTGCAATCATAGCTTTCCGACTTGCAGGGCTGATGCTCCACAGCAAGCTGGCATTGCCTTTTATTTTAGCAACGATGACGTCCTCTGGGCTATAGTTGACTATAAATTGCATGGCAGACTGTAGAAAACACAAATGTTTTTGGTTTGTTTGCTGTTGTTCCAAGCAAGACAGAGAAACTTCTTCGCCTTGAGCTAAATTCCTATCTAACCTGCTTTTGGCAATCCAGTAAAGATACCATTCAAATCCAGTTTTAATTCAAATTGGGTCTCACCAGCTATTGTTGGAGAGAAAGAGAAAAGGATGGCAATTTTTTCTGCAGGAGGTTTCCTTGTGCACAATAAAATATACTTACAGGATGGAGGGCATATTGAGTGGTGAGTTCATTATACGCCGCATGAGTGAAAGGGACCAGATTCTGCTGCTGAGCACTCATGGTAAACAAAGACTAGGAGAAAGAGGATGAAATCCTGTGTTACAAACCTCAGCTCCACTATACAGACGTACCTCATCACACCTTAGCTGGATCAGACCCAAAGGTCAGTTTTACACACTAGTCACAGGCTGATGCTAACCAACCCACAAGCTCTACAGCTCTGGATTAGTTGCATTTCAGCACCCATAATTCAAACTCTGTAGCAGCACGGTTCACAGCAGCATCAACAGAACAATCACTTCCAAGCATCACACAGCAACACAGATCCATAGCTGAGCCCAGAGGATAATAGCATGCGACTCTGAAAGAATAGGAGTTCCAATGGGAAATAAAGTGGGCATTTCCTACAGGAATCTGAAGGAGAAGAGGGCGCTTGGCAGCTCCAGATTACGGAAGAACCAGGTTGGTTGGCATTGACACTTGCTATGAACTAAAAGGCAAAAGGTAAAGGACCCCTTGGACGATTAAGTCCAGTCAAAAACGATTATGGGGTTGTGGCGCTCATCTCGCTTTTAGGCCGAGGGAGCTGGTGTTTGTCCACAGACAGCTTTCCAGGCCATGTGGCCAGCATGACTAAACCGCTTCTGGTGCAACGGGACACCCAAGGGAACCCTTAGTGCACGGAAATGCCATTTACCTTCCCGCCGGAGCAGTACCTATTTATCTACTTGCACTGGTGTGCTTTTGAACTGCTAGGTTGGCAGGAGCAGGGACCGAGCAACGGGAGCTCACCCCGCCATGGGGATTCGAACCGCTGACTTTCCGATCAGCAAGCTCAAAAGGCTCAGTGGTTTAGACCACAGAGCCACCCGCGTCCCTACAAGCAGAATGGCACTGTTAGACACAACCCTTTAACTGGAGACGTTAAGGATCATTGAGCTATAACTCCACTCTATTTTTTTGTCGTGTTAAAGCAACAGCTTTGGATGGTGGAAATGTTCCAGTACTCATCGAAAATACTTATCCCCAGTCTTAATTATAAATTGACCCTCCACCTCCTGCGGACCTACCTCATAACCGCTGATGGTAATTTTGACAGAGACACCCAAAGGCTGGTTAGTTACTCCCGCCACTGATTTCACCAGTGACATAAGAAGCAGTGGGAACCACACGATGCAGATGAGCACAAAGACAATGAAGCCCCCCATCCCGTATTTCACAAGCAATTTCTTCTTCTGCCCAGGAGGTTGGGGGTATTTCTGCAAAATGGAGAATGGGAACAAATCTGTGTGTATACTCTGCTGATAAAATTTTTTTTAAAACCCCCAACTTGTGCATCAAGGTAGGAGAAACTCAGCATTCTGAAAAACAGAATTCCACGCATTTGCTTAATTTGCATATATTTGACTATCCTACATATATTCCACTCAGAGCCAGCCTTTTGGCGCTTGAGGCAAACCACAAAATAAGAAGAAGAAGAGTTTAGATTTGATATCCCGCTTTATCACTACCCGAAGGAGTCTCAAAGCGGCTAACATTCTCCTTTCCTTTCCTCCCCCACAACAAACACTCTGTGAGGTGAGTGGGGCTGAGAGACTTCAGAGAAGTGTGACTGGCCCAAGCTCACCCAGCAGCTGCATGTGGAGGAGCAGAGACGCGAACCCGGTTCCCCAGATTACGAGTCTACCGCTCTTAACCACTACACCACACTGGCTCCTAACACCTCCCTCCCCACCAGGGAAGAGGGAGGGAGGGAGTGATAATCTACACCAGGAACAAAGAGGAAATAATCATCTACACTGGGATGTGCTGACCCTTTGAATCCTGCCACCTGAGGCGGTCAGCTCACCTTGCCTCATATCTTTAGGTGCCAGGCAAAAGCATTTCTCTTTGGCTTGGGCTGGTTCACATTCAATGTCCTTTTACATGTGTTTTTGTGAGAGGGAGTTATTGTGGGCCACATGCATTTACAAAATATGAGCAGAGAAGTGTAGGCCACATTCCACCACAGAGTTAGGCACACTTAAACTTGTTGACTTGTGCAGCCAGACAGGAGAGATTCGCCCCAGTCATTGCTCCTGATGGACCACCCGGAGTCATCTTGATTGGCGGGGCTAATGGTAACCCTTAAGCAACAGGACTCACTTTCTCAGATTCTCTCCAACATTTCAGGATGAAAATGTTAGCATAGATATCCTCCACACAGATCCAGCTGGAGAGGCTGAGTGTGGTGTCGGTCCAAACCCAATCCATGGCAGCCCTCAGTTCTGTCAAAAACGGTATCAGGCGGAAGCTGCACAGAGGAGGAAAACGGTGGCTAGTTAATGGGGCAGTAAGAACCCAAAATAGTCAAAGCCTGTCCAAAAAAAAAGGCTTTCCCAGTATTGTAAGAGTGATACAAATTCTCAAACTCTGGTGCCCTTTTGTTGGCATCCATCTTTCTCAAGAGACAATGGAATGTGAAGTCAAACCGCTGGAGAATCACAGCACCTGCTGTGGCTGCAGAGACCAGTAACTCATAACTGCTGCCTCCTGCATTGCTTTTGCTGTCTTAGCAACACTGAAGTCACCTCTCTGGGACTGAAACCAGCTTGGCTGCAGGAGTTACCAGAAGGTGGTGTACAAGGAACCATCCAACTGTCTTAGGGACTCCACTCTGGATTTCTGCAGGGTTTACTTCACAGCCTTTTCTTCTCCTGAAAGTATCTCAGAAGGTAGCAGAGGTTAAGGACCAGAGTTTTCCTTCTCCAGGAGGGCTACCTTCCCAGGTTGATGAGCCCCATCTGCCCCTCTCTTCCCTCCACAGCACAAGCAGAAACCACCTCCTTGACCGTTGGACCCACTCTTCGTCTTGTCCACTTAATCCACTAGAGCTTTGTCTTTGTCCCTACCCTAACTCACTGAGGGTTTGTGACTCATCCGCTACCCTCACCTGGTTTAGCCAACCAGTCGAAGCCGTTTCCCAGGGTGTGGCCGCTACGGTACACCGACAGCTTCTAGGAGCCACAGGTGAGATCCGAGTGCAGGGTGGGGACCCAAAGTTGACAAACTATCCAGGAAGGAGCACGACGCTTTCCCCTACATATTATACCCACTTCAGAAGTCAGGGAAACCCTTTGGCATTGCATAAAAGCCCAACTGTGTCCTAGTCAATGGGGCGATTAAGACCATTGTGCATCTGCTGTAGCCTAGTGGTGGCCAAATTGAGAGAGGGGCTCTAAAAGGCGTTTGGACCAACTTGTGGAGGGCAAGGATATCGGTAGAGACTAGTAAGCATGGCTATATGCCACCTCCAAGATTAGAGGCACCAGGCAAACGCTGCACATGGAAACACTTGGCAGATATTGTGTGTGTGTGTCTGATACACAACCTGCTCCCCTCCTTTCTAATGTGCAAACTGCTTCACACTTCTCATTCCAGCCTCTTCTATGCAGGAATGGAGGAATCCCAACTTGCCTAAGGCCACCCAATAATGTTTACAGCCAAGCAGCTGCTGGAACACACAACTTCAGGAGGTATCTCAAGCCAGCATCTGCCTCCTACCTTCCTGCCCTCTAAGCAGGCTACATTACTCTAAAAAAGCTTGTAACAATTATTACAGTGAAAGTTTTTTTCTAATTTTTACCATTACATAACTTTAGGCACCAGGCAAAAACATTCCTACTTCTTCAGGCTATGGCCTTTTTACGTGGGTGAGATGTTTCAATCTAGTTTTTTTTCTAAAAAAAGAATTGCTTTTTCGATTTTTATAAATGGTAATTTATTGTATGTTTGTGTTTATTTGAGGGGCTGTGGCAAAAAAGCAACTAATATAATAATAAAAATAAAATTTCTTACACAAAATAGTAAATGGATAATTTTGTTTCACAGTAACTCAGTGTGAGACTGTAAGGACCTCTTTTACCTTACTATTCCGTTTCCTATGTATGTTATTTCTATATTTATAGAACCCCTGAGGAATTATTTGTTCCAGCACAGGCCTGCAATAAATCTTCCTTCAAGCACCTGGAGATTTCCACCCACCCACCCCCTTTCCCCCCCGTCAGCCGTTCTTTCTTGCTTTTGTGATTGGCTTGTTAACATAATGGCTCGCGTTTCATGGGGATATTATTAGGTTTCTCTGCCCTTCTTTATAAAAGTGCTGCTTACCCTTGGAATAAGAAGAGGTTTATGCAATTGTAGCTCTTAGTCAGAACATTGCCCAAGACCCGTTCGGGGTAACCGCATTTGATCTGATAAGCCGACAAACCAAAATAGACACACTTGACCAAATACCACAGCTGAGCCACCGGATTCCTGTTAAACCTCCTGCAAGTAAACAAGAGAGATGTTCCAATCTCCATCTTTAACAACTATGACTAGTTAGAAGAAAGATGTCTTAGAGCATGGCCCTCCTTGAACTCCGCAGCCAAAGGCAGCAGCTAGGGATGTAAGGAGGAAGAGATTTCCACCCCATGCTGTGCTTGCCGCAGTCAGCGCTGCTTCCGTTCTGCTACAGTTCGGCTTCCGCTGAAACCTACCTTATGCATCTTGCTATCCGCTATGGCCAAAATGTAATTGATTGCATACTTGTTTTCAATGCATTTCAATGTAAAGGAAACCTCAAAAACAATGCAGAAAATAATGCGGTAATTTTTGTAATGTTCACAGCCTATAAAAACAGAACAATGGCCAATACCACTTATATTTCATCACACGATTTCCATCCCTGATCTCATTTCTCTTTCCAGCAGAACTCTCCAGCATTCCCAATTGCAGTCTAGGCTGAGCATGCAGAGACATCTTGAAAAAGTAGTAAACATCGGCTGTGTGTGTGTCTATGTGTGAAGGGGAAGGACTAAGCAGCAACACATTCATTGCAATTCAAAGGAAATGCAATGCAAATAGGGGGTGGAGATGAAATTATCTACATATCATTTGTGAAATGAAAGCAGCAATAGCAGTGAATACTGATCTCATTTGCTGGGTTGATTTCTGATCTGGACATGGGACAAATAAGCAAACATGGATGCTTTAGTTGAGATTCTTGCATGACCCTCTAGGCCCGTTCCAACTCTACAACTCTGTGATTCTATTATCAGCGATTTTCGCTCTAGTTTCTGTTTTTGTTGGAATTCTCTGGCATCTTTCGTTGTCATACCTTTCCGTTACTCCAGGCAAGATGAAGAACATCCAAAAATGGATGCCAAAGACAAGTAACACCTGAAAAACACATTTCCCAAACATGCTCTTTCTCAGGTAGATGGCACGGTCAACTATCATCGTCCCAAACTGCACCAACAGCATCACCAGGAAAGCTTCAGGCACCTGGTCTTCTGAAAGGGACTCTGTGATGTCAGCGGCAGCCGAGTGTTTCTGAAACAAATTAGAAGCATTCGTTGATAACATGCGGGTGTGAAGAAAAGGAGCAAGCCTAGGCTTCCAGGCAGAGTCTATGGGCAGATCAACACTACAAAGCTATTATTATATATTGAATTTATAAACTACTTTGCTACTACAGCAAAGCTGTGAAATTTTAAAAAATCCTCCATTTTCTTGTCCAATGCTTACAGGACATAACTAAAACAGAAGCAAGGCATAACCACAAAGTCAATGGAAGAATATACAGCAGGAGGCTTAGTTTGGTCAGAATCAAGTACAGTTGTACCTTGGACGCTGAACAGAATCCGTTCTGGAAGTCCGTTCGACTTCTAAAACATTAGAAAACCAAAGCACGGCTTCTGATTGGCTGCAGGAAGCTCCTGCAGCCAATCGGAAGCCGCGGAAGCCCCGTTGGACGTTTGGCTTTCAAAAATAGTTTGCAAACCGGAACAGTCACTTCTGGGTTTGTGAAGTTCAGGAGCCAAAACGTTTGGTAACTAAGCTGTTTGACTTCCAAGGTATGACTGTATTTCCAGAGTTTTCACTAAATACATCACTTCTGAGTTCCCATAGCCACTAGAGGGCCATGAAAATTTGAGTCCCAGGCTTTTTAGACTCTTCTACCCATGTACTATCTGAAACCAAAGGGGCACATTGCTTGGCAGATGTGAAATATATTGGCATCATTTTCCACTCTCCTACCCCACTATAGCTTCCACGCTTCCAAACAGATTAGCAGAACAGATTCAAGCCTCCTTAAGAGTCTGGTGTCAAATACCTCCTTGGTTCTGGAACATGGAAAGCAATAACAAAGTGCTTTTGAGTACGAACCATCACAGGACTTTAGTGTGGCACCTAAAGAAACTTTGGAACTTCCTGCCTATTGATATTGAGAAGGCACCTTCACTGTATTTAGCACCTGCTAAAAACATTCTAGGGACGTGGGTGGCACTGTGGGTTAAACCACAGAGCCTAGGACTTGCCGATCAGAAGGTCGGTGGTTCGAATCCCCGCGACGGGGTGAGCTCCCGTTGTTCGGTCCCTGCTCCTGCCAACCTAGAAGTTCGAAAGCATGTCAAAGTGCAAGTAGATAAATAGGTACTGCTCCGGCGGGAAGGTAAACGGCGTTTCTGTGCGCTGCTCTGGTTCGCCGGAAGCAGCTTAGTCATGACCCGGAAGCAGTATGCCAGCTCCCTCGGCCAATAAAGCGAGATGAGCGCCGCAACCCCAGAGTTGGCCACGACTGGACCTAATGGTCAGGGGTCCCTTTACATTTACCTAAAAACATTCTTGTTTAGACAACCCTACCTAGAAAAAAAAATGATGTGAATTTTGACTTTCTGTATGTTTTAAACTATTGCTGCAAATCTTTCTTGATTTTATGGCTTTATCTTTTGGTAAACTGCTTTGAGGTTTGTTTAGTTTTTTTTTTAGTTGTTTTTTTTACAATCAAGTGGTGTGTAAATTTTATTAAATAAATAAATACAACAAATAACTCCTACACATCAGGCATTGTGGAGGAGTGGTTTCAAGCCAATTGGCAAACATTCAAGGCACCTGTTGCTTTTAGCAAGCCGAGCTGATACTTACACCGAAAGCCCAGTAGCCGAAGATGACAATAATAAAATTAATCACATCAACCAGGAACATGAGAGCATAAACGTCACAGATTAGGCTGCATTCTGGATGAATAATGTCGTAGAAGAATTGCCTTATGGGTCGGTATATCTGAAGAGCGCTGCAAGTGAAAATTTATCTAGGTCAGTCCAGTTGAAAAGGAGAGTCATGTTTTTCAAAAGGGTCGCTTACTTTCTGAAAGCTCAGTGGAATGTATGCCGCATGTCTAGCAACAAAGAGTTCGGCTGTATTCGTGAATCATCCACCGTAGCTCGTAAGAACCTGGTCACATCCATACCATACTTTTAAAATCTCTCTTCTACCACTTTAAGGGCTCCCCGCACCAGGCAAAAATCTTCAGAAATGCATCTTGTTAAGGGAGTCCTAACAGCAGCCTTAACAAACTGCATTGAGGTGAAGTCGTGACTCTTGAAGTGCAAGCGGGCTTTAAAAGTACAGCATTGTTGCTGTGACCGCAGTGTCACACACCCATAAAGCTCTAGGGCTGAAAGGAGAATCCTTTAGTCACAAATATTCCCAAGAGAAAGCATGTCAAGCACTTTCACAAACTTTTTGGACCTGCTTCGTCTTTAAATACTCGTATTCACAGAGACTCTTGAGAGTCCCATGGACTGCAAGAAGATCAAACCTATCCATTCTTAAGGAAATCAGCCCTGAGTGTTCACTGGAAGGACATATCCTGAAGCTGAGGCTCCAATACTTTGGGCACCTCATGAGAAGAGAAGACTCCCTGGAAAAGACCCTGATGCTGGGAAAGATGGAGGGCACAAGGAGAAGGGGACGACAGAGGACGAGATGGTTGGACAGTGTTCTCGAAGCCACAAACATGAGTTTGACCAAGCTGCGGGAGGCAGTGGAAGACAGGAGTGCCTGGCGTGCTCTGGTCCATGGGGTCACGAAGAGTCGGACACAACTAAACAACTAAACAACAACAACATTCACAGAGTACCGAAAGATAGCCTTTTAAATATAACCAACTACGTGGAATTTAACATTGTGCTGTTCCAATCATTCATCTGTGCGGACATTGCAGCTTTGCAGATAGAACAACCCCCCCTCCACTCTTCCCTTCATTCCTTGATCTGGGGGCTCTCCACCCCCTGAGCCAATTTTGCAGGCACCGGGTAGGGGGTGGAAGCCCCATTACACTTCCTCAACCAATATGTGAACCAAAGCGCGGCTGTCCTTTGAAAGTCACACTACTCCAAATTTTGCAATGTAGTTCTCCAACCGAAGTGCACATATACAAGGGGAAATATATAAATAAAAATGCATATACTCATGAATACCACACACGCAAAATGCATTATATTAGGGAACACTGCCTGGGGAAATGTCTTCATATGTCAACACTGAATACAAAAATATTAAATGGGAAATTTCCACTAAAACGCTGATGAATTTTCACAAAGATTTCTTTTTTAAAAAAGCTAAATGTTGCAGATTGCTGCAGAAATGTGGACAACTGAATTCATGACTAGGAAAATGAGAAACTGAGAGAACCACAATTGACAGTTCCAGCCACTGCGTAGCTTTGCCTCACATTGGCTCTGGCGCCACCTACTGTTGGCCTCCTGGCTCTACCCATCCCAAAGGGCACCAGGCACCATTAACACACAGATGTCAGCAGCACAGTCTATTACAGGGAGTGGAAGGTCCATTGATGACACCCGTATTCCCACCCACCCACCATCTTGCCCCCAGCTCTGTTCATTCATGTTGCAACATCTCACTTTTTAAATAGCTTTTTTAAAAATAAAAATAAAATTCCAATTTACATTTTAATCAGCAGCTTCTTTGCCTTCATCATCTGCCGTTTCATTGCTGCTTTAGTAAGTCTCTTCCCGCCAGTGGGTTTTTTCCTGAAAAGGCTCCATTTCTTCTTGGCTTCCTCCAGAGTTTTGTCTGCCAAAAAAGAAAGTTAATCACAGCTCTCTATCTGGGAAGCATTCGTTTCACGAGAGCAATACCTCATTTTAGGCTCTCACCAACTCATGTGGGGTCCGTCCGCAAAACACAAAACACTTGATCCGCCACCAACTCAGTGACGTTATATGTGCCGCCAGTCCTTCAAGCATCACTTCCAGTGACCTCTGCATAATATTAAAATGGAAGCTCTTCTGCCAATTTCTGCCCCAGAGGTCCGGTCCCCCCACAAAATGCTGGCACCGCAACAGTTTAATGAACACAGGGAGGTCAATTTTTCTGTTTCGTATGTGTAAAAGAAGTTCAGAGAAACAGGGAAGAAAAGGGTGGATGGCCAATCAGCCATGAAAGGAAGAGGAGGTGGAGAAGGAACACAACAGACACAAACAATTCATTTAAAGATCCCAAGAACATAGGAAGTTGCCTCATCTAGAGTCCATTAGCTCAGTATTTTTTTCCAAACTTTTTCCTCTTGGCCACACTTTTGGAATAAAATTTTGCTCACCGAATTTTTTTACTGATAAGAAATAGGGGAAACCAAAAGAAACAACTCAAGCAGTGCTTGATTTATATAACACAGAACACAACTACCTTCATTAACACTCCTGGCGGCGGCCCTGGAGGGACTTGGGTATCTAGAAGAACAGTTTCCTCCTGATCCAGATGGACGTTCCTTCAGATGGCCCCTGTGCCTTTTCTTCTTTTGTCTCCCTGCCAGGTTCTTTTCTTCAGCATCTGGTATACTGACACCTTTGGAATCCCAAAGTCCATAGCACTGTAGAATGCAGTACAGTGAAACACATCAGTGAAACACAGGGACTACGAACTGCTTGAGGAAGCAAGAGATGATGACAGAGAGATTAGCAGAGAGTTGCTTGAGACTGAGGCCCCTCAACTCATCGACAGAGTCCTCTCAGGAAGTGTCTCAGTGTTTATTTATTATTACTTTTGTATCCTACCTTTCCTCCTCAAGGTTCATCCCCACAACAACAACAACCGTCTTAGGTTAGCAGGGAGGATCCCCAAGAACACCAATATTTCAGGGCTCATGCTGGCGTAAGTGTCAGGAGGTCCTACACATGAGCAGGAGTCTGGTAGAGACATATGCCCGACTGGCATGTTCTCTCCCTCCTGGTAGTTCTTTCGGGAGATTCAAAATCTTTCTCCAGCCCGAATATCATAGCGACTGATACCAAAAGGTATCAGCACATTTCAGCATCAGCAGAGTATAGGCAGTCAGCATTCAGACTCAGTAGCGCAGCAATTTGGCTAAACTATGTTTATTTACATATACACACTTGGAGCATCGTAAGTCAGCTCCTTCCTCTTCAGCATCAGACAGCAAAGAGAAAGGACAAAGGACAAAAATCCTACATCACAGAAACACGGTAATAAAATATCCTGTCTCCGTCACTTCCCACAATGTGGAATGAAAACATACACCGTCATGTGATAAAAACAATCCCATGACTGCAACACAGGGAATGAATCCTAACAGTAAGATCTGCCAGTATTGATTCAGTCAGCTGAGCCGGGATGAGGGAGTTTACACTGGCATATCTCTGATTGAGCCACGAGATCCACTCATCCAAATGGACCTTGGGTTTGGATAGTCCCCTTGCCTACCCATGCTGCCATCAGAATCCAACCTTTCAATGGAAATAAACATAAGTGGCAAGATAATAATACAGTGGTACCTTGGAAGTCGAACTGAATCCATTCCGGAAGTCTGTTCGACTTCCAAAACGTTCGGAAATCAAGCCACGGCTTCCGATTGGCTGCAGGAAGTTCCTGCAGCCAATCGGAAGCTATGAAAGCCCCGTCAGACGTTTGGGTTCCAAAGAACGTTCGCAAACTGGAACACTCACTTCTGGGTTTGCGATGTTCGGGAGCTAAAACATCCAAGTACCAAGTCGTTTGACAAACAAGGTACGACTGTAACAATATAGACACGTGAACGACTGAATTTAAGACTGGAAAATGAGAAGCCGAGAGAAATAAAAACTGATGAATTTTGCCCATCCCTACTTATGATGAATCCTCCCTTGAATAAATGTTAATGAGTCCGTGCTCTAAAATAGCTCCATAAAAGAATGGATGGCGTTACCTTCAGGATATACCTGTGGAAGAACAAGGCCAGCAGTTGAACCAGATCAAAGTGCACGTAGCCATCCTTCTTCTCGATCCCAGCAATATTGGGCAAAGCAAGCGGCTCTTCTGCGTAGACCCCACAATAGGCCTTGGTGGTCCAAGGAAAGAATCCAAACTGAGAAAAGTATTTGACCACAACTGTTACCTGGCAAGGGAAGGAAAGTGCACAGTCCTCAAAGGTGCTGGATTCCAAAGGCAAAGGGCTGGGAATATGGGAACACAACCCAATTTTATTATGAGAAATCAACCCCCTGTATTTATCCCATTTATTTGACAATTTCATTTTCAGAAAAGTTCCGCGGAAATTGTATGAGGCCCAGATAACACGTTCAACATGTGCCCTTGTCAGTGTGGTGTAGTGGCTAAGAGGAGTGGACTCGAAATCTGGTGAACCGGGTTCGTGTCCCCGCTCCTCCACATGCAGCTGCTAGTCACACTCTCTGAAACCTCTCAGCCTCACTCATCTCACAGAGTGTTTGTTGTGGGGAAGGAAGGGAAAAGGAGATTGTTAGCTGCTTTGAGACTCCCGAGGTTAGTGATAAAGTGGGAGATCAAATCCAAACTCCTCTTCTTCTTCTTCTTCTTCTTCTTCCTGGATTCAACTGTGATATATGTTTCTGCTCCATCTGTTTGACACAGAGCATGCTGGATGCCCTTAAACAAATTTATTTCCCAATGCCTTTAGCAGGGATGCAAAAGCCCAAGCACCTGGGTCCCACCAATCAAGGTGCCTAGATTGAGGAAGATGGTTGGAATAAGGTTTCCCATCCTCCCTTATATGGCAGAGTGGGTTGCCAGGTTGCCATCCTCTCCTATATATCAGGAATGGGGAACCTCTGACACCACAAAGGCTGCATTTGCTTTTGGACAACATATCAGTGATGGTAGGGGCTAGTGGGTAGAGCAACAAATGTAAATATTATCTTAGTACAGAGGGCCAGACAGAGATGCTTAGAGAACCACAATTGACCCCCAGAAGCATAGCCTAGCCCCCATTTTTGGTCCCAACCACTGCTGACATGAATCTCTTGGAAAGTGGACACCAAAGGAAGATGAGCCTGAGGCTCAAAAAGGTTCCTCGCGCTATCCTATAATATCCTTTGTTCCTAGTTGCAACAAGTAGCTCTTCAATGGAGGAAGAGATTGTTAAGTATAATTGTTTAATTGTACACTGAAATGGAAAATGACTCTGTTCCATTGAAATTCCATTGAAGCTAAGAAGAGCTCTCTGAGTGCCTAATGGGTTGATAATTAACTTAGGATGTATATCTGCAACTCTCTTATGTAGTGTTTAACCTTAGATCACATGGTACGGTTATTCAGTTGCAAATCTCCATTATGAAGGAGTGGTCCTTTGTTCTCAGTCACCAGAGAAGAAAGGTGTGCAGATGAGTCTCTCCTGGAGAAAACAGCCTCAGGCTGGAATGCAAGCTAATGGAGTCTATGTCTAGAGAGAAAGACACTTGATTTCAGGTCTGTTTGGAGGAATTTGATATTTTTAAGAAGCTGGACCTGTGCATGGAGAAGCACATGATTTTATGCAACTATCTGGATGTATCATTATTGTTTTATGCCCTGTTGGAATAAAGTTATGTTAGTAAAGCTTTGGAAACATATTTTAGTCTGGACAATTTTTATTCTAAGATGACCCGGTTTTTATTCACCCTATGACTTCAAGCTGCACAATATTAATATCTGCAATAGGGCTCCCAAGTCAGAGGCTAAAACTTCTAGGAAGACTAGCAGAACAACACACAGATGAGAAAATCACTCAGCCATATAAGCAGGATCTACTGAACACTTACCTCAGTGTAAATGATGGCTGTCATCCAGAAGAATTTTGTAGGCCTTGGAATAGACAGCATGGCCCACAGAAATATCAGGATAGGTAGAACCAAAGTAAGGATGGATGCGGAGACCATGTGGTTTAGAATGATCACAAAATAACACAGCATTTCTGACTTAGACACCATAGCATTGTACAAAGCAACTCCCAGCTTCAGGGGCCTGGGAAGGCTCTGGTAGAACTTATCTGACTGCTCCAGCTCATTGTCATGAAATACCCTGCATGACATAAACAAAAATAAAAAATAAAAAATGAAATGTAGATTATTTCCATTTGTTGAAAAAGGCATGTCCACAGGCTTGTACATTTTAGAATTAGTAGCGCAGTTAGATTAGACTGGGGCAGAATATAAAACAGATTTCCCCAACCTGGGGGTTTGGACTGCAGCTCCTCTCAGCTGTCCTGGCTGGGGCTCATAGGAGTTGTTCTCCAAAATATCTGATAGTCATCTTCAAATATCTAAAGGGGAATCATATGGAGGATGGAGCAAGCTTGTTTTCTCCTGCTGCAGATGGTAGGACCCAAACTGATGGATTCAAATAATAATAATAATAATAATAATAATAATAATAATAATAATAATAATTTATTTATACCCTGCCCATCTGGCTGGGCCTCCCCAGCCACTCTGGGTGGCTTCTAACCAAATATTAAAATACAGTAATACATCAAACATTAAAAGCTTCCCTAAACAGCGCTGTCTTCAGATGTCTTCTAAAAGGTTGGTAGTTGTTGTTCTCTCTGACATCTGGTGGGAGGGCGTTCCACAGGGCGGGTGCCACTACCAAGAAGGCCCTCTGCCTGGTTCCTTGTAATTTGGCTTCTCGCAGTGAGGGAACAGCCAGAAGGCCCTCAGCGCTGGACCTCAGTGTCCGGGCAGAACGATGGGGGTGGAGACGCTCCTTCAGATATACTGGACTGAGGCCAGTTACAAGAAAGGAGCTTTTGAATGCACATCAGGAATAACTTTCTGACGGTAAAAGCTGCTCGACAGTGGAAAGGACTCCTTTGGAAGGTGGTAGACTCTCTTTCAGTGGTGGTTTTTAAGCAGAGGTTGGGTGGCCATCTGCCATGGATGCTTTAGCCAAGATTCCTGCATAGCAGGGGGTTGGACTGGATGACCCTCGGGGTGCCTTCCAACTCTACAATTCTACGATTCTATGATATCAAAGGCGCCAGGTTGGAGAAGACGGATATAAATTATTTGTGAAGGTAAATACATACCTGTTCATTTGTCATATTATGTTAATTTATTGTAGTTATTACATGGCACAAAATATTTAAAAGCTCAAATCCCACATTAACAAAGAGCATGCATTAGATAAAGCAAATCACTTATGATCTTGGGAACGGGTTTTGCCCAATCCACATTTTTGGAAGCAACGTTCCCTAATATGAAGTATTTTTGCATGTTATTTTCACTCACACGTGCATTTTTATTCATGCTTTCCCCTAGCACGCACATTTGGTTTTTTACTTGGCTGGAGAACTGCTTTGCACAACCGATGTGAGTTGCAGCTGCATTTCGGTTCGTGAAATATTTCAGGAAGTGCAAATTAGGCAGGTTTCCCTTTTAAAACACAAACTGAGCTGAAATTTCTCCGCTGTCCCTAGTTGCAAATCCAGCAAAATCTGGATAGCCACAAGTTCCCCATCCTTCCAGTAGTATACTCAATTAGTTGATGCTTAATTGCACTAAGATTCTTGCCTGTTCAGGAGCCATTCACTGGCTGTCATTGCAGCAGGAACATTGCTCGATGGTGGTGCACCTGATTCTTCACTTCTCAGAAATAGGGAATGTGTAGATCCTTCCATTACTGATGAAGAGGAGCCCCAGCTGGCAAATTCTGTACAGGAAGTTGCTGAAGTGAGCCCTTGGGGGCGGAGCCCAATGTGGCTCCCTTCTTCCACCTTCTCATTTCCAGTCACACCCCTGGAAGCATCGCTGGATCTCCTGCTCCCCAAAGGCAGAAAACATCAACATCCAAGTCAGTAAGGTCCCACCTGCACTAGACATTTAAAGCACTCTTACACCACTTTAAACAGCAGTGGCTTCCCTCCTGGAAACTCTAGTTTGTCAAGGGTGCTGAGTGTTGTTAGGAGACCCTAAAGCTATGGTTTTCCCAGTAGTGATGTATGGAAGTGAGAGATGGACCATAAAGAAGGCTGGTCGCCGAAAAATTGATGCTTTTGAATTATGGTGCTGGAGGAGACTCTTGAGAGTCCCATGGACTGCAAGAAGATCAAACCGATCCATTCTGAAGGAAATCAGCCCTGAGTGCTCACTGGAAGGACAGATCGTGAAGCTGAGGCTCCAATACTTTGGCCACCTCATGAGAAGAGAAGACTCCCTGGAAAAGACCCTGATGTTGGGAAAGATTGAGGGCACAAGGAGAAGGGGACGACAGAGGACGAGATGGTTGGACAGTGTTCTCGAAGCTACCAGCATGAGTTTGACCAAACAGCAGGAGGCAGTGGAAGACAGGAGTGCCTGGCGTGCTCTGGTCCATGGGGTCACAAAGAGTCGGACACGACTAAACGACTAAACAACAACATCCCCCTCACAGAGTTCCAGCCCACAGAGTTCACAACTAAAGACTTCTCTCTACGCTCTTGCTGAATAAAGAGAAATGAATAAAGGAAAAGTCACAGCAAGGGAATTTGTTGGGCATTTCCAACTGTCGGCAACAAGTTACTATTCACCTGCGGAGCTGCACGAGGGATGGGTCCACATACTCTCCAAGCGGGCACTGGGGTGACCTGTTCTTGCTCTCATTCATCTCTGTTGTTTCAGCTTCACTTTTTCCATAATCTGGTTGGGTTTTCTCCAGGTTATAATACTGAAGGACAATGTCCGCTGAGGCCACTTTTCCCTTAAAAGAAAAACTAGTTAGTTAGTTAGTTAGTTAGGGTTTACCCATTCTTCCTCTTGCCCTGCTGCTTTCACCTGGGGAAAACTGCTCTTTAGAGCTCATTCAGAGCAAACAGCAATTCAGGTTTTGCATAAAGACCTTGGGTTTTAGAATGACTTAGGATTGTAGCCAACGCTGCTGTTCCGCTAACACAGTATGCTTCTGCTTGCACAGTGGAATTTACCTCTCCCCGTGCACACACACACAAAATCTGCTCCAGAGGAAGAGGAGGTCCTGTTGCATGAGCAGGATTCAGCATGTGAAGAATAGGAGACATAAGAGCCAACTCCTAGGGGCCAAGGGGGCTTCAGTCCCCCCAATAAAAGATTTGAGAGGGCCGGGGGCCTGCAAAGTTGATGAGCATTACCATTCAAATGGTGTGCGTGGGTGTGTGTGTGTGTGTGTGTGTGAGAGAGAGAGAGAGAGAGAGAGAGAGAGAGAGAGAGTAGTGTTATGTGATCGATGATGTGGAGAAGGGCTTACCTGGGCCCCTGCAGGTACCCCTGATTTGCACCCCTGATTGGATACAACACTCTATAAAAGCTGTTACTATATTCTGAATTGTTTGCTTTGGAGATTTCAGTTCTTCAGAGGACATTCCAGCCAGACCCTGGAAGCTGAGAAACGAATTCATAGAATCATAGAATCATAGAATCATAGAATCATAGAGTTGGAAGAGACCACAAGGGCCATCGAGTCCAACCCCCTGCCAAGCAGGAAACACCATCAGAGCACTCCTGACATATGGTTGTCAAGCCTCTGCTTAAAGACCTCCAAAGAAGGAGACTCCACCACACTCCTTGGCAGCAAATTCCACTGTCGAACAGCTCTTACTGTCAGGAAGTTCTTCCTAATGTTTAGGTGGAATCTTCTTTCTTGTAGTTTGGATCCATTGCTCCGTGTCCGCTTCTCTGGAGCAGCAGAAAACAACCTTTCTCCCTCCTCTATGTGACATCCTTTTATATATTTGAACATGGCTATCATATCACCCCTTAACCTCCTCTTCTCCAGGCTAAACATGCCCAGCTCTCTTAGCCGTTCCTCATAAGGCATCGTTTCCAGGCCTTTGACCATTTTGGTTGCCCTCCTCTGGACACGTTCCAGTTTGTCAATGTCCTTCTTGAAGTGTGGTGCCCAGAACTGGACACAGTACTCCAGGTGAGGTCTGACCAGAGCAGAATACAGTGGCACTATTATGTGAATAGTACAGTGGTACTATTCATGACGCGCAGCGTAAATTAATAACGCAGAGTTTTAAAGAATAAAAGCTTTACTGAGTTAAAATAAACTTCTTCATCAACAACATGGTTCCAAACAGTTTGACTGAGATTACATACTGACTCTGTTCACAACTGAAGCAGACTGACTGACATCTTACAAAGCGCACAAAGTGAAACTGGCTGCTAAGTCACATGTCAGTTAGCAGTTAGGCCTGAATAACTTTAGTAGGCCCAAATGACTGTGCAGTCCCAGCACTTCCCAGCCTGCTTTGCTGCTTCTGCTCTCATGTGTCTTTGTCACATGACAATTCAGTGGGTTAGACTTAAGGATGCCATTCAGAATCTGTATGCTGTACTCTTCCGACTTGATCTGCTCCTCCTTGCTTTTCTAAATCGGGAAACAGTGTCAAGGTCTGGAGAGCTTACCTTCTGAATCTCCCGCCAAATCATGCATTTTTCTATCCTCAGCACATTTGCTACATCCAGGTTATCTTTACAAAGCGAATTCAGTGCCTCTGTGGTGTCATCCAGCAACGCTTGGATAAAAACCCAAGTGAACTTAACAATGTTGGTTGCTCTTTGAAGGATGTTTTCTGCTGAGAAGAGAAAGCACATGTAAGAATCTCCAAGAGCCTTGACGCAACCCAACATATCTTTTGTACGCCTGAAACTTCACCCCCATTTTCTGCATCAACTGCAGCATCTGAAGTTCTCCCAAGATTGGAGATGGCTTGTTTGGCAGTGCAAATGCTTTGTTTTATTTTTTTACTTGGAGAAATCTCTACTCTTCCTCATTTCACAGATGAAAATGGGGACAACTTTCTAACAATTCTATTCCCTCACACCAATGATTACTATCTGAGTCTCATCCCATCTCTGCCTTCTTTCAGATGTCTTCTGAAAACAGTATTGCTTAGACAGGACTTTGCAATATTATGTTTTCTTCCTTTTTACCCAACCAGTATTTACTGATGTTTTGTTTTTATTTAAATTAAAATGCAAAAGGAAGCTTAGAACAAAATCATCACAGAAAACAGGTAAGAAATATAAAGGCAAAGGGGCTGGCAGAGACATTAGCAATACATTCCAGACTTCAGAAATAATGGAAATTATAACAAGTCTATATAAATAAAAACACCACAAACAGATATATGCCTTGTTTTCCAAGGGAATCAGCTGCATGTCCAGTGAATCTTAGTTTTTGAAGGTCTGCACGCATTGCTATTTTATTGTATTATAAAGAGAAAGGATTTTCCTCGGGCCACAGGTGAGGAAAAAGTTACATTTCCCCTCCACGTTTGCAGGAATCCTGATAATTATCAACACTTATACACATGTGCATGAACAGATGCTCTGAGCTACAGTCCCCGACAAAAGTTGTCATCAACGGAAAAACACTGGGCATTTTACAAGAACCGCCACCATTTGATTAAGATTAATTTGCCAGTGCCATATTGAGGCTCTGCCCCTTCCTTTCCTTCCTCAGTAATAGAACGCCAAATATTTCCTAGGTAGATATGCAGAGGAATTAATCACCTGGCTCATCCAAGTCCTCTTCTGGGGCTGACTTCTCCAGATTTCCTTCCCAGGATTCCATTTTCACGTTGGCTGAAGCACAGCAGAACAACACATTGGAAGAGCATCCCAGAATTGTGAACCCAACCCTACGCCTTCCGTGGTGTGTGACACAGAAATTCCAGTTTTTGCCACTGGAAATTTACGGAGAAGGATGCAAGGGGAAGAGGAATCTAGCTTTCCACGTGCAGGAATTTTTTTAAAGTGTGGAAACATAAAAAAATGTGACACACACACCCCTCCAGTCTGAAGTAGTAAAGCCCAGGCGAGACTGTACCTCATGTTTAGGGTATCTGCCTGTCATTATTATAACACATATTTATTTGTATACTGCTGAATTGCCAAGGTGGCTTCTAAAGTGGTTTACAAGTATCATTTCCACTACCTGCCAATTGGCACTGCTGTTGCTCCTCCTTCCCTTGGTCCCTGATTTCATCCAGCTCCCTCATCTTTAGAGCTGACTTTGAACTGGTCATCCAGGCTTCATAGGCAAGCTGTGAAAAAGTGAAGCTTGTTATTCAACAGTTCTTTAGGGTGGGAGTGAGGCAAGGGGAGAGTCCATCAAACTACATAATTTCTGCCTGGATTTAACTTTGAGGTAGAAATCTAGGACAGGAGCACCTGCAGTCGCCATGATGGTCTATGGCACCTTCCCTGCATCCCCTTCAAAGATCCAAAATGCAGAACAGACAAATCTTTGCTCTTCCTGCTCGGTTCCTGTTTGCCCTGTCCCAGTCTTTCCTATGTTGACCATGCTTTGCTGAGCAGAGCAGAGGTGCAAAGAGTTTCTGTCTGGGACTAAGTGCATATAATAAAATGCTAGGTGCAATGAAGTCCTAATCTTAATTATGTGTCTTTGCCATAGGGAAGGGATTGCAGATGTAGGACAGCTACAATATTCAACACTTTTTGCATTTATTTCTCCCACCCACCCTCCGTTTTGTGTAACATCCTGACTAATGAAGAGTTCTGGGCCACTCAAAAGCTTGCCAATATTTTGTGTTGCACCCAGCTTTGGATTTGAGTGGGTGAGGGGGGGGTTGTTCTGGATAAGTGGGACTACCTTTGCTTTTAATGAATGAATTTCATCCTCACAGTCCACACTTCCGATTGGCAGGATGATTCCCTTTGCCCTTGTTCCCGAAGTTCTGTCTCCCCGCCCTCAACCCAGCTCTTTTTGCTCTTCTGGAAGAATTACCACACACCTGGAATGCTGTTTTCTTCTTCAGATATTCCTTCTCACTCTTTTCAGTGGGCCCCTGTTCCTCTTCTTCCTCGCTATCTGTCTCAAAGAGGTAATAGCTCCCACTTCGAACCACTGAAATTTAAGGTAGGAAGCAGACACAACTGAGAACTTGAAAAGTCTTGTGGAACTCTATGCCACCACACATCCATTTCATACTTGCCACCACACATCAATTCACCCCCCTGGTTTCAAACCTACCCACCCCTGGTTTCATACTTATTCCATAAAATTTGTACACTGCTTGAGTGCTTTTAAAAGTTTCAAAGTGGTTTTTCTTTTCTTTGCAGCCACTAAAACATATTAGAACTTCCTCTTCCACCCAGCCTCCTGTGCCAAGAAGATGACAGAAGTCCACACCTCAGCCATCTGAGTGTGAGTTCAAAGATGTTAATGGGTAACTATTGCACTGCAGAACCACCACTGTGGAGGTCAGAGGACCTTTCAGAATAGTTCTAAGACCTCCCCTGCTGGTACTGACCTTTGGGGCTTAAGAATAATGAGGAAATGTCAATGCATGCCAACATGTTGATTTTAATTTTATTTAATCTGTAGCTGCATGTCAATCTCTGGGGTGCAATAGCCTACATATGGAACTGACTGCAACAAGATGTAATGCTGGTCACTGGTTCTAAAAGGGGAGTAGACCCATTAATAGAAGAAAGGTCTATTGGCCATTTTTAACCAAGAGAGCTAAATGGAATCTTCAGGTTCAAAGGCAGTATATCTTTGAATGTTAGCTACTGGGGGAACCCTGTGGGTTTTGCATGCTACTTACATAAATAAATAAATCTGCTGCTCAGCTAATCAGCATTATCTTCTTGATCAAGCCAACGTTGTTTGATGAATTGATCTAACCAATTAATTGTTTGGATTTTGCAATCCAAACAACGAAGTCAACAAAGCAACGTATAGCCTGGATGGGGAAGTTATGGAGTGTTGTTGGACTCCACCTCCCATCATTCCCAGCCAGCATGACCAATGATCAGGGATGAATGGAGTTGTAGTCCAGTGACATTTGAAGGCCCACAGGTTCTCCAACCCTGGGGTAAAATGTTGGTCGAACAGTGGTTTTTGAATAGAAAACTTTAGCTGCAAGGGGACAAGGGGTCACACTAAGGCAGCCACAGGAGATTTACTTGAAGTGTGAGTGACCCATGGTTGCCACCATGTCTTCTTGCCTTCATTCTCCTTCTTGTTAGCATCATCCTCTGCAAAAGAGACCAGAAAAAAAACTACTCAATAAAATGTTCCCATGGACAGGCAGTTAAAGCATGCCCTGCAACTCCACACATGATTCATGAAGAGAAGGCAACATAAGAGGTCTGCCTCCAGCGTTTCTGAGAAGAGATCAAACTCAAGAATGGAAATCCTCCTTTCTGTATAGTTTCTAAGCCACTTGATTACAAAGACAGACTTCAAAGTGTGTGGGCAACTGCAGAAGGGGCTCCATAAAATTCCCTTCATTGACCTCCTTCCATAGCTCATTGCCTCTTCCTAAGGGTAGCCAACAAACAACATATTATGCAAACTTTTGTTGCTTCTGGACTGCCACTGTTTTGGGGTGTGGCTCAATCACACATACCAGCAAATTTAGGTCGTGCAATTAAAGTGGAATTGGAGCTCTTGTACCATGACCTGAACCCTGCCCGTCTCCCCCCCAAAAATGGACTTTCTGCAATGAGGAAAGTAATGAGAAAAGCAGCCATTTATCATTTTCTAATAAGTTACATTGCAAGATACATGCCATTTAAAAACAAAACAAATGTTTTCCACCTGAATCCTCTGCTTTTTCAGACTCTTGCACAGCTTCTGGCCCCCATTTCTCCAAGGTGGTGCGATTTCTCTTTGGTTTGATCAGCTCCAGCCTATAGATTCCCCCACAGAAAAACAAACACTGCCTTTGCTTTTAGTCCTCTGCAATTCATTCACAGAGCTTGATTCTGAACACAGCAGCAAGCAGACATTCTCACATGCTACACCCTGAATGGGGCTTACTATGTAATAAGATCAAGACTTGCCTATTACTTGGGGGCGTGGCATTTATTAGAGAAGAGATCACCAGCTCCCATCCAGCACCTTTAAGTGCCCTTCATCTCTTTCACAGAGATAATGGAGCAACACAGGTGGAGGGGTTTTTTTTTTAATAAAAAAAACAACAACTCTTGTGACCAGCATTATGACCCACAGAGACCAGAAGCAGGGCCCATATATCCATAACTGCAAGGAATTCATATCATTGACAAATATGTACCTTCCCAGAGATGCCCTGAGCATCTAAGTTCATACTATACACAGACCACGCTGCAAGTCAATTTCAGTATCTGTCCAAGACGCTGTGCTTTTTAAGTACTATTCAACTATCTGTCTCACTAGCTCATTTTAATACTCAGACTGTATTTTAGAGGTTCAGAGAAGAAACAGAAACGTGTTGCAGTTGCCTTCCCAACCACTTCTGAGTCCTAGGACCCTCATACCTACGGGGCTGCCTCTCCTGGTATGCCCCACGGAGGAACTTACGGTCTTCAAACAAAAACATCTTGAAGGTCCCAGGCCACAGAGAGGTTCGGCTGGCCTCAACCAGAGCCAGGGCTTTTTCGGCTGTGGCTCCGATCTGGTGGAACGCTCTGTCACAAGAGACAAGGGCCCTGTGGGACTTGACATCTTTCCGCAGGGCCTGCAAGACAGAGCTGTTCCACCAGGCCTTTGGCCAAGGCACAGTCTGACTCCCTCCTTTGGCAATCTTCACAGAACTCTAGCCCAATGGTTGCCATTAATTTGATTTTGAATTAATTTTATAATGAAATGATTTTATAATGTTGTATTATTTTATTGTTGTTAGCCGCCCTGAGCCCGGCTTCGGCTGGGGAGAGCGGGATATAGATTTTAAAAAATTATTATTATTATTATTAATTGTTATACAATTCTGTAAATAAATGTTGAGGTTGAAAGACTTACTGCTTCTTCATGGTTTGCATTGATTTTCTCTCTTCTTCCGTCCTGAGTTCCACCACCTTTTTAAGCTTTACCTCAAACAGCTGGGCTCCTCTGCATGTATGAGACAATTTCAAAACCATCTTATCTACCTTATAAGTCACATTTGGATGCAAACTGGTAAGAAAAGCCAACTTCATGTTTCTTATTTCTGAAGGATGAAATCTAATCTTACTTTCCTAGCATGGGAGCTATTCTTCAGTGGTAGGAACCCACACTGCTCCAGAAACCCATGTAAGAAAGGAATCGTGTGGTTTTGACAACCAATATGGTTGAGAGAGATGCAACCCCATCAGTTGCCTAACATGTCCAATTGCTTCCTACCAAAGTCATGTTGTTTAAGCGGCATAGGATCTAGGCACAAGGAGGCCACAAATCACACTACTCCAGTAACTTATAAGAAAGGCTTACATCTCACAGCAAAGGAGCAATCTAGGTCAACTGACTCTTCAACAACCCAGTTCCACCCAGATGGCTTATTCATCCTACCAACTTGGTTGTACTAATTGGTCTTCAGTCTGTAGCATTGATTCCATCTCCTATCTCAATAACAACGTACAATCTTGTTCGGACTTCATACATCTTTGCCACATACCTGAAGGCCAAGGTCTTGGCAGCCTTAAGATCTGCAACAACATAGAGGTAGTAGTAGCTAGTAAAAATTCTACGCTGGATTAGCAGGAAAGTGAAACATATCGCATCCCAGGTTATTCCTGCTTCCTTCTCAGGCAGTTCGCATATTTCATCCTCAGGTGGGTCTAGATAAGAGGAAAACACATAACATATTCTCCAGGTGGCCAGGATGTGAGTGGTTCATGCAGTTTCCTTATTGTTCTAATTATGCTATTCAATGTTGAGGCCAGGGACGACCCTTCGATTTTGTAGGGATGACAAAACATGGTCAATAACTGCTGGGAAAGAAGCAAATTGTAGCTTCTTTGTGTCATTGTCCGTGGTTGAAGTTCACTGATGATCATCAATGGGGAATTTGGCATACAAACAATGTAATGTGGAGCACAGGTCAAGTTGTCTACTTATGCAAGCATCTAATCTGCATTTAAACACACACACACAAACCCACCCAAAATGAAATGCAGCTATGCATTGAAATCTGCACTTCTCTGACTTTTGCAGTGCAGTTCTCTAGGCAAATGATGTGTATAAAAGTACATATATCAGGGAAAGTGTACATAAAAATAAATATATTAATAAAAATAGTCCATTATATTAGAGATAATTGCTTGCAAAAATATGTATATTAGGTAAAAATGCATGCAAAAATCTTAATATTAGCTCACACTTTCATTAAAGCAGGGTGTTCAACATGACAGAAAAAGTAGGAGAAATCAGACAAGAAATGAGGGACATAATACATAACTGTCTTCATGGGAGAAGTTGTGGAGGAGTAATCTAAAATGTACAGCTTGTTACACTTTAAGAGAAAACTATATGAAGATGATTTATAGATGGTATTTAACACCAAATAAGTTAGCCAAAATGTACAAAACTAAGTCTGTGTTGGAAGTACAAAATGACAAAAGGAACGTTTTTCCATATGTGGTGGACGTAAAAAAGCTAAGGACTATTGGGAAATGACATATGATGAGATTAAAAAGATGTTCAAGTTGATGATTCCCAAGAAACTCAAAGCTTTTATTTTTAGAAATTATAGATAATGATGTACCAAAAGAGTTGGTTAATTTATTTATGTACAGAGGTACCTCGGTTTATGAACTTAATCTGTTCCAAAAGTCTGTTCTTAAACCGAAACCGTTCTTAAACAGAGGCACACTTTCCCTAATGACGTCTCCCACCGCCGGTGCCCTTCCACCATTGGGATTCCGTTCTTAGACCGAGGTAAAGTTTGCAAACCGGGACACTATTTCCGGTTTTGCAGAGTTCATAAACCAAATAGTTCATAAACAGGACTGTTCTTAAACCGAGGTACCACCGTATATAATGACAGCAGCACTAATGCTTTATGCCTAAAGATGGAAAGAAGAAGTGGTTCCAACAAAGGAAGAATGGCTTTTAAAAATGATGGAGTATGCAGAACTGGCAAGATTAATAGCAAAGATTAGAGACCAAAATGACGAAAAATTCACTGAGGGCCAGAGACGCTTTATTGAGTATTTGAACAGCTACTATAGCAAGATGAAAACATGAGGACTTGAAATATTGAGCAACAGCATTAGTGATTAAGATAAATAGGTAAAAATGGATGTATTGAATAATATATGTGAAATATGCAGCATTCAAGGATAAATATGGAAACTGTGGAAAGGGATGACGGGACATCAATGGATAAAGTAATTTATGGTCTATGTTAGAATATGTAAAGTGTGTGTGTGTGTGAGAGAGAGAGAGAGAGGGGGAGAGGGAGAAAGAAGGTATTTTTTTACAAAAAAGAAAAGGTAGAAGAAAACTGTGTTTCTCATCAAAAGTGTTTAATGTAAGTTGAAATGCCAGAGGGTCTCTCTTTCCACATCCTACTTACCTACGTCATATCCTGGTATTGTGCAGAACATACCAAAGGTCTGAATTAGCCAACAATGGTTTGTTTGTAATTTACTAAGGTACGCACATGCTCCAATCTGTGGGCAAAGAGGAGGAGGAAAAGATGACAGTTCAGAGGGACTCTAATGCATTCCTATAAGCTCCAGACTGGCCCTTTCAAACTAATAATAATAATAATAATAATAATAATTTATTTATACCCCACCCACCTGGCTGGGTTTCCCAGCCACTCTGGACGGCTTCCAACAAAACACTAAAATACAATTACCTATTAAACATTAAAAGCTTCCCTAAACAGGGCTGCCTTCAGATGTCTTCTAAAGGTTTGGTAGTTGTTGTTCTCTTTGACATCTGGTGGGAGGGCATTCCACAGGGCGGGTGCCACTACCGAGAAGGCCCTCTGCCTGGTTCCTTGTAACTTGGCTTCTCGTAGCGAGGGAACCGCCAGAAGGCCCTCGGTGCTGGACCTCAGTGTCCGGGCAGAACGATGGAGGTGGAGACGCTCCTTCAGGTATACTGGACCGAGGCCGTTTAGGGCTTTAAAGGTCAGCACCAACACTTTGAATTGTGCTCAGAAACGTACTGGGAGCCAGTGTAGGTCTTTTAAGACCAGTGTTATATGGTCTTGGCGGCCGCTTCCAGTCACCAGTCTAGCTGCCACATTCTGGATTAGTTGTAGTTTCTGGGTCACCTTCAAAGGTAGCCCCACATAGAGTGCATTGCAGTAGTCCAAGCGAGAGATAACCAGAGCATGCACCACCCTGGCGAGACAGTCTGCGGGCAGGTAGGGTCTCAGCCTGCGTACCAGATGGAGCTGGTAGACAGCTGCCCTGGACAAAGAATTGACCTGTGCCACCACGGACAGCTGTGAGTCCAGAATGACTCCCAGGCTGCACACCTGGTCTTTCAGGGGCACAGTTACCCCATTCAGGACCAGGGAGTCCTCCACACCCGCCCGCCTCCTGTCCCCCAAAAACAGTACTTCTGTCTTGTCATGATTCAACCTCAATCTGTTAGCCGCCATCCAATTCAGTGAGATGATAATGATGACGATGATTTATTTCTTGTAACCCTCCAATCTGGCTGGGTTGCCCCAGCCACTCTGGGCAACTTCCAACGAAGTATAAAAGAACACACGAAAGCATCAAACAATAAAAGATAGTATGAGCAACATCTCAGGTTAAACAGGGGTCATCCTTGTGCATTATTTCCACATCTAAATAAACACTTGTACCTATCCCTGAGGTGGCCTACTGGAGCAACCGAGATCACAGTCCATTATGGGACAACAACTACGGGTAAGGTGATAATTTTGCTCAACCTCTGCTAGCTTGACAAATACATACGGCAAGGAGGTTCTTCGTGGCTATAACCAAAGCTGTGTATGCGATCAGATAGTCCCACAGTCTGAGTATGTCTTTGACTGGCTTCAGCTGGAGGCTTTGCCCAAAACGCATGAAGTAGAAACAGGCCAAGAGGTAGCCCACACAGAAGATGTTGATCCTTGTTGTCCCGGTCATAAAAATCAGGCAAAGGACAAACCAAAAGTGGTATCTGAACAAAATCACTTTCACCAAATCCAGATAAGACCTGAAAGAAACAAGAGATGAACAAATCACAAATGGCATAGCTGTGACACGGGGGCATTTCCAGGTGCCCAATCAGTTGGCGCTCAATGGAGCTGATAGGGTAGAAGGTAGGGAGGCTACCAGTAGGGGGAGCCAGAGCTAATGGTAGGTGAAGCCAGAACCAATGGTAGGTGGAGCCAACTAACTCTTCTTGTTTTGCCCCCATCCTGCTCCCTGCTGAATTCTGCAAGGGCAACACTCAGGAAGAGGAAGCTGACAGCCAGTGCCACCTTCTGGACTGGTTGTAAGTAATTAGGAGCTTGGAGAGCAGAGATCCACTTGTCCTAATGGACCAGCCTGCACTGCCAGATGGTCACTATTTCAGAGTGGATCAATGGTCCAGTATAAATTCACACTAACGCACTATTATTGCATCAGTATATGTTGCATAATATACCTGGGGGAAAGCTACCAGTCTGGAGGGGGCTATGTTATATTGAGCAAGCATTTCTGTTATGTGGCTCTCATATCTTCAAACAAGTGTCACTTTGACTTGTCCTAATGGACAGTAGTGGTGCCCACCCTGTGGAACACCCTCCCTTCAGATGTGAAGGAAATAAGCAGCTATCCTATCTTTAAAAGACATCTGAAGGCAGCCCTGTTTAGGAAAGTTTTTAATATTTAATGCTGTACTGTTTTTAACATTTGATTGGGAGCCACCCAGAGTGGCTGGGGAAACTCAGCCAGATGGGCGGGGTATAAATAATAAATTGTTATTATTATTATTTGCTTTATGGAGCAATCTCTCTCTCTCTCTCTCTCTCTCTCTCTCTCACACACACACACACACACACACACACACACACACAGCACACAGACTCCTAGGCCCCAAATACAGTTTCTTGCCTGCAGTGGATAAAGTTTGGTACCAGACTGTACTCGCTTAGCCCAGCTGGGTCGAGGCTGTGGCTGATCTCTACATTGTCTCCAGCCTGCATTCTCACAACCAGCTTATTCTCATCTTCAAACACCTGCCACTGGAGAGAGGTGGCGAGCAGAAGCAGGAAGTCATCTGCAAGCGGGGAGAGAGGAGGCAAGGAAAGAGATTTGATTTATTTGGAATATTTTCTCCCTGCTTTTTAATTGTAAACTTTCTTTTTTAAAAAAGAAGGTAGAGCAACCAAGGTTTGTTCTTGGCTTACTGCTCATGGTTTGTTTGAAACAAACCATCGTGCGGCTTTGGACGACAGAGCAAACGGTAGCAGTAGCAGCGGCAGTATTAAACAAATTTATGGACCGCTTCATAGGCTTTGTAGAGTAGGCTGGTTTCTCCACACAAACACCCATCTCTGTCCTTCATCTGGGCAAGCAAAGGACATTATCAGAGTTCAAGGACAAGCTGGCAAAAACACTCAAAAGGTCTGGAAAGAGGAAGTGTGGCTGAGGAGGGAGTGTGGTGTGGAGAGAGTCCCAAGGGCCACACAGAGAACTTTGGAGGGCCACATTTGAAAACATGAACCAATGGTAAAGGGTAAAGGGACCCCTGACCATTAGGTCCAGTCGTGGCTGACTCTGGGGTTGCGGCGCTCATCTCGCTTTATTGGCCGAGGGAGCTGGCGTACAGCTTCCAGGTCATGTGGCCAGCATGACAAAGCCACTTCTGGCGAACCAGAGCAGCACACGGAAACGCCATTTACCTTCCCGCCAGAGCGGTACCTATTTATCTACTTGCGCTTTGACATGCTTACGAACTGCTAGGTTGGAGGAGCAGGGACCGAACAATGGGAGCTTACCCCATTGTGGGGATTCGAACCGCCAACCTTCTGATTGGCAAGTCCTAGGCTCTGTGGTTTAACCCACAGCGCCACCTGTGTCCCAGTTTGCTATTAACCCACCCGGCTTTTCACGTTTTCCCATGTTACCTGACAAACTATATCATGCCACAATTTAGATGTTTCCTCCTCTGGAAGAAACAGCTATTAACGCCTGTTAAGCAGGTGTCCCATGCCTTTACAGATTATACTTACAAAGGAGACAACTAGCATCCGGCCTCTTGGCAAAATCGGGCAGATACAGCCACTTAATCAGATTTGAATGGAGCAGCCAGTGAGAGGTTCTCCACGGATAATCTGCCAGTAAAGAGATTATCTGCATTATACAAAGCATCTTAAACTAATTTCCGAGCTTACTGTCTGGGCACATTTGATTCACAGGGAACTGCCAAGAGGCAAAACTTTGGCTATCCAGCAGACGGCATAGTCACCCTTTTGCTCATCCTAAATTAGACGACACGTCCCCCCTCCAAAGTACTTGCCCTGCTACCTGCTAGAACACACCGTTCTGCATGTACCTTGGCATAAAGCAGGTGGGAGACCAATGCAGAGGAGATACTGGAAGGCTGCAATGCTGGCGAGGAAGCAGCAGTATTTGGGCCAGGCTTCAGCCATGGCTTTCCTCCGCCGGCGGCTCAACAGGTAAATCAGCCAGCTGGCATGGATGAGGGCATAGAAGTCCATACGCTGCCTAATCACATTGATGGCAACCACAAAGCAGATCTGAAAGAGCAGAAGGGGGGGGGGACGTATTCAGGAGCACCCCAGGTGTTTTTCATGTGCTTCCTGTGCTCAAAAAAGAAACTGTAATTGGCAAGCTGAAATTCCATACTCTCCAACATTTCTTCCATGAAAATAGGGACTATTTATTTATTTATTTATTTATTTATTTTAGTCTGTTTATTGATCACAAAAGAATACCTATTTTACAGTTACAAATCAACAGAGGCAAACCCTTTGTACATTGAAATAATAAAGACAATAAAATACACCCATGTGACTTCCCTCCACCACAACTCGACTTCTTATGAATTAACGTATATTTTACATTGTGACATTATCCTGTTTGTTATCTATCCATTGTTAGTCCTACTTTTAACTGGTTCATCTTTACATATTTAATCTATGCATATCAGCATATTTATCTATTCCATCATCATCATCATCATTATTCCCCTGCCCATCCGACTGGGTTTCCCTAGCCCTCTGAGCAGATTCCAATATATATAAGCATAATAAATCATTAATCGTTTTTTTAAAACCCTTCTCTATACAGAACTGCCTTCAAATGTCTTCCAAAGGTTGTATAGTTACTTATCTCCTTGGCTTGGAAGTTCTACAACTTTCACATTTATCCAATGAAAAAGGGGCATCCTACCATCCAACATTTCTCTGATGAAAATAGGGATGTCCTAAGAGAAAACGGGACATTCTGGCATCAAATCAGAAACCAGGACGGCTTCTGTAAATCCAGGACTGTCCCTGGAAAACAGGGACACTTGGAGGGTGTGAAATTCAGGGGTGTTGTTTATAACTGTGTGTAAATGTAAAGGTAAAGGGACCCCTGACCATTAGGTCCAGTTGCGGACAACTCTGGGGTTGCGGCACACATCTCGCTTTATTGGCCGAGGGAGTGGGTGTACAGCTTCCGGGTCATGTGGCTAGCATGACTAAGCCGCTTCTGGCGAACCAGAGCAGCGCACGGAAATGCCGTTTACCTTCCCACCAGAGTGGTACCTATTTATCTACTTGCACTTTGATGTGCTTTCGAACTGCTAGGTTGGCAGGAGCTGGGACCGAGCAACGGGTGCTCACCCCGTCGCGGGTATTCGAACCGCCGACCTTCTGATCGGCAAGCCCTAGGCTCTGTGGTTTAACCCACAGCACCACCCACGTCCCAACAATAGTGTAGTCTGGTATAATTTCTGCGGAAGAAAATGCACCCGGGGGAGGGAGTAATTGCATCCTAAGAACTGGGTTAGTGTTTTAATCTCTAGCCAACCAGGATGGCTATGAAAGATGTCTGATGTAAGACACTGTATGTCTCCAAACGTCCGTTGCTGGGAATCACAAGTGTGGAGATAGCGATGTTGCACTCAGGTTCTGACTGCAAGTTTGCCATAGGCAACTGGTTGGCCACCGTGAGAACGGGATACTGGAACAGATGAGCCTTGGGCCTCATTCAGGAAGGCTCTTGTTTCATTCTTAATGAAAAGTGAGGGTGGCAAAGAAGGGGGTCGGCACAACAAAATGCTGTGGGAATCTAAACGGCATGCAGTGTTGTGTGTCTTGACCTCTGCTGCTTATGTACAATAAGCTGATTTAAGGGGGGTGGGGCTAATGAGGCCTAGGAGCTTGCACAGTAGTAATCAGCTCATCCCAGCCAGGCCACACCTCTGGTGAATTTTCAGGGGTCATCGATCTGTCTCTTAAAGCACTACCTGGCAGATGTTTAGTTGTGGTGCCCTTCCCTTCTGCAAAGCCACGAAGTGCTGCTGCTTAAGGAAGGGAAGCAACCAACCTTTCACAGCTGCTTTTAATTTGTTGCTATTTCTTCTTTAAAAAAGAAAAGTTTAAAAGTTGAGGAAGTTCTCAAGTAGATTTATTTTTACAATACGATACGATAATCTCTATTGTCATTGTCCCATACAGAACAACGAAATTGAAAAAAATCCACACCAGACGTTCAAAAACCAACAAGCTTGCTATCCCAGCTATCCTAGCCTAGTTACCCCCCTAAAAACTCTGATACCCCATAATTAAATACAATATACTCCCACAGAGACTACCTTACACTGCGTTTAAAACAAAAATCGTATTTGGATAAAAACTGTTTCTCAGGCAGCTAGTCCTAGTCTTTATAACCCCTGTACCTTCTTCCAGAAGGCAGAAGCGGAAAGAGATCATTTCCGGGGTGTGCACTATCCTGCACTATCTCTGCAGCTTTCTTATGACACCTGGAAGCATAGATTTGATCCAAGGTGGGAAGAGATTGTGTAAGGGGGGGGAGGGGAGGGGAGGGAAGGGAAGGGAAGGGAAGGAAGGAAGGAAGGAAGGAAGGAAGGAAGGAAGGAGAGGCATATTTTCCAAACCAATAACAGCTGAAAATTGGGCAGGCAAGGAGGGAGGATTCCATATCATTATCAACCACATCAAGAACCACACTTTTGGATCACATGAGTTGACAGTGCTAAATAGTTTGACCCTGGTTTGATTCTGCTGAACCTGTAGTGGAAGGGTGACTTTAAATTTATTTTAAAATCACAAATCACATTTTTCCAAAAGGAAGGTGGGAGCAGGCTGAAAGCAACAGCTTCAGAGGAACATCACCTCACTTCTCAAGAATAGACAAGTGCTTTCTTTCCTTGACTGCAGTTATGAAAAATACTCTTTAAGGCAGTAAATGACATTTGTGTGTGTGAAAGAAATATAAAAAGGAGTGAGCCAATGGCATCTGTACCACGGGGGGGGGGGGAGGCTTACACCGAAACACCTGGTCTGTGGGCCAGTTCACACTGCTAATTGTCTCTGTTCAGGTGTGTATTAAGTAAAAGTGCTTCTGTGGCGATAGCTGTGGCTGCCAGTTCACCATTTGCACTGTCCAGTTCTCATGAGACTTCCTTCCTTTGCATGTGGGCGACACAAACTGCTTTCTCTCCCCGTTCATGAAACTGGGTACTGAAATGTGTCCCTCTCTAAACCAAACCTCTTTGGACCTCCAGCCTCCCAACCCAGCTCCTCTCTTGCCAATCATTTTTTACCTCTAGTCCAAACTTGTAGAAACTGTAATTGGCAAAGTATTTGATGCAACTCAGGAGCCCATCATCCAGATTCTCCCGGGCCACGTCATAAAAAACGCTCCCCGTGGGAGGCGGCACCAGCTGGTTCTGAATTCGGTAAAAAAGCTGGTGGCGATGCACTGTGGCCTCTAGAGCCATAAGACCCAGAATGGTGAGGTGATTCTACAAAATGAAAGAAAGAAGAACGCTTCACAAGAATGCCCAGTAAACAACAGGAACAATGCCTGCCCCACCCACAGCTAGATTATTCCTTGTACCACACTGAATGTGAGTTGGTTGGTGGCTGACACAAACCAAGGGTCTGGACAAATATCCACTCTACCCAGTAGCAGGGCCGGCCTTCGTATGTATGACTCGCACATAATCAAGTGTTTTTGAAATGACTGCGATATCTAAGTGTTTACTTACCCTAACACGAGTGTTTAAACAAGATCCATACCTTTAGACATGGGAGAACATTGTCACTGCACTTCAATAGCCCGCCAAACCAATGCGCTGGGTCAACAGGGGCCTTGTACAACAATGACTTTTCCAGTAATTCATCCATGTTGGTGTAGTGATAATAAGTCATATTTGACTGAAGCCCCTGAGGAGACAAGCATTTCTAAGTGTGGGGCTGCCATATTTCAAAGAGTAAAAACCAGGACACCCAGAAAGATGCTGAACTTTTTAGGAAGACCCCAATATTGTTGAGCTTTTTTTTAGAAACCCACCAGCACAAAACAAACCCCCATTTTGCCAATTTGCCACCATTTTTACACCCCAAAACCAGGACATGTCAGGAATCCCGAAAGTTGATGGGGGGTTTTCCACCCAAAATGCCCCCCCAAAATGTGATTTTTCAGTTGATTTGCCTAAGGACAAAGCTCCACCTTTCAGAAATTCCCCCCAGACATCAATTCCGCCTTTGAAATCCCGTTAATGTCTGGGGAAATCTGGCTGTATGGCAGCCCTAGCTAAGTGACATCAGCTGATGGGCAGGTGAGTCGGGAATAGCCTTGCGAGCCAAAATGGACCCTCAGACAGGCCAGGTTTGGCCGTGAGTTGGAGATTCCCCAGCCTTGCTCTAAGGAAATCACAAGCAAGCACAGAAAATTCTTCAGAAGTTTGGGTCCTTGGTACATTAGCAAGCAGACCTGTGTGCAGTTTGAAGAATATGTCAGAGGCTTGACAAATTTCAGCTGGTATGCCATTTTACAGAAGACCATCACGCAGGACCAAAACGTACAGATCCTGGAGGCGTGTGGGCACAGCTTGGAATATGGAAGGGCAAATGCCCAGAGGATGAAGAAAGGGTAGTTCATCAAAGACACCTGTGAACCAATGTAAAACGTCAAACACCAACAGAAACAACAACGACTGAAGTCACTTTGCGATAAACATTTTAATACATTGCAGTTATGGAGGAAGTGGGTGCTAACATTTTGCCTGAACAAGGACCAGTAAGGTCACATATGGACAGGGACACCAAATTCAGATTCCAAAGTAGGCTCAGATGATTTGATCTGGGTGGATCATGACCCAGATCAGATTGTGGGTCTACTTCACAATCCACAGCCATGCACATGCGTTTCAGAGCTGCCTCTGAACACTTGCACCAACTCACAAGTACTTTTAAAAAGATCTGTGTGTTTTCACACAGATTTTAAAGACTCTCCATGGAAAGGGGGTGAGGCAGACTTAGTCCCATCCCCGTGAAGTACTGGGATGGGCCAAACTTTGATGGGCCTGTCCATTCCTTGGTACAGATAGATACCTTCAAATTAGGAAGTCCTGTGTCATATGGCACAGCCTCGAAGCTGCCCTCCCAAAACAGGCATCACTGCAAATCACCTGGATGGCATTGGGACAGGGCAGGTTGGTGGCAAGGCCAGGGCTGTGTGGACCCACTGGCAGGAAACAGAGACCCTTGCCACCAGTACTGCTACCGGCTCCATGGCTTCAGGACCACTAGCACTGCAAAGTCAACACCTGAAGAATCAAGCATCACCCTCTTGCGTGATAAAGGTTTCTCCAGCAGAGGAGCTAAAAACCTGATCTGCCTGCAGCTTAATTAAATTTCAGTTGGCTCCAGACCTTTGCTGGAGCAACATCCTAGCCTGCTGCTCTTGGGTCCAAGCTCAGGAGCTTGTTCCAACTCCATTCAGAGCTGTCCATGGTCCAGACCTCCTTGCCTGGATTTTCACTCTGCTTTCTGGGTCTCCCTTCAGGCTTTGAGTCAAGCATGATAGTTATTAGCTGACCTCGTGTACAGTGATCCAGATAATCCAAGTGGACAGAATCTTCAGGATGTGGAGCTCCAGAAATCGCCAAGCAAACGCCTGCATTGCTTGAATCGTTGCCAAGAGCTTCAGGAGATGAGGCACCACACTGTCAACCACTTCTGTCCATTTGCTCATCTTTTCCACTAAGGAAACAGGAGTGGGGGGGGGGATAACTTTTCAAATAATGCAAAACAATAGACGGAGAAGCAAAGTGTGATTTGCAAAGAGGAGGGATGAAGGAAGAGCATAGCAATCGGCAATAAGGCAGATCTGCTGCTATGGCTTCCCATAATGAGTTTAATCTGGTGAAGGTGATGCTCTCAGTTCTGCTTTAACAATACAAGGACTAGGGGAGGAGCAACCTGGAGCGCATCTATGCTTGCAAGAAGCAGGCTCTATTTACTGGCATAAACCAAAATGGCGGGCTTGTTTCCATGCTTAGTTATACTTTCAGCACAGGAGCTAGCTGTTCATCATTACCCAGTTTCGCCTGGTGGCACTTCCCCATGTTTTCACCTACTGCTGAGTTCTCAGGCTTCTCCGGTCCATCTTCAATGTCATCTTGTAGTTGTTCAGCAGCCAGCCTGTGGAAAACACAGGAAAACAGCAAAAAGCCACCATTATTGCATGGCCAGCGTGGCTTTGCTTATGTTATTGAGTACGCCTAGATTTTAGCAACACACTGGTCTGGTTCACCCAACACAATGAGCCAAAATATGTCTGGCAAACTACATATGGCCTGGTCATAATTTATGCAAGCTTGATGTATGGCTATACCTGAAAATACCAGCCTAACTATAGTTGCTCCAGTGCAGCTTCAGTTATGCATGAAGAATGAGTTAATGCACTGCTGATTGTGCAAAAAATGAATATGCCTTACAATGTGTGCAGATAAACTTCAGTGCAGATAAGCTAAAATCCTCTTAGTAAGGCTGCAATCCTACCACCCATCCATGGGGCTTTGTGGAGTGGTGGTGACACTGTTGCATTCACAGTCCAGTCGTGGTGGCAGCCAAGGGGGGGCAGGACAATTGGGTCCAATTCCGGTGCCAGCTCCAGGATGCCATAGAAATTGGGTCCAGATTGGGCCTGCTGCTGTGAGGCTAGATTGGAATCCAGCAGATCCTAGTCTAGCTCAGTCCTGCTCACATTCAATAGGGGGATGGAGGAAGGGATAAGTTACCACAGCCGGTAGGAGACCCACTTAATCAGGAGAGTTGAGTGGAGCGGTGCCTCTGCTCAGTCTAAACCCCTGACAGCCTAGTGCAAGGAGGCCTGTGTTTATCTGTGCAAATGTTGATCCAGTATATGCTCTCAATTCACATTCCAACTCCTTTATGGGATTCAGGCAACATGTCATGATCTTCTCTGCATCAAAAGACTTAGAAGGTCATGATATATAATGAGTTGAAGAAAATGTTCCAATTAACATTTGTAAAAAAAAAACCTTAAGCTTTTTTGCTAGGGATTGTAGGAAAAGACCTGCCAAGGAAATTGAAAAACATCTTCATGTATGCGAGAATGGCGGCAAGAGTCTTAATAGCACAAGGATGGATGAATGAAGAAATCCCGACTAAAGAACTGTGGCAAGAGAAATTGATGGACTATGCGGAATTGGTGAAATTGACGCACAAACTACGTGATAAGGACAACTGTGATTTTAAAGAAGAATGGGAACTCTTTACAAAGTATTTAAAGAAACAACAAAATGAACTGGACTCCTTGGCAGGTTTTGAATAAACATACACAATTTTTTTATTGGTAATATATAGATAGATAAATTAAGGATATTTACAATTTTATAACATGCAGAGAATAACATGTGCTGAAAAACCAGAGAGAGGAGCTGAGGAAAGTCGGGGGGTGGGTTTTTCCTTTTTGGGGAGGGGGGAGGGAAAAAATGAGTATGCTATGTCTTTGCTAAATTTGTTATGTTGAAATTCCTAATAAAAAATATACAAAAAAAAAAAGACTTAGAAGGTCAAACAAATTCAAATACGTTTCTATTTGCCGTGTCCCTCTTTTCAAGCTTACCTACTTTGCAGCTTCAGGATATGTTCCTTAAGCCTGAAAATACGGGGGACAAAAACACAGTATCAAGAATTGCATTATAAACCCAAAAGACTTGAATCTGGATGGGCAGGGAGTCAGAAGAACCCGCAGAACAGTGCACAGACTCCCACCTGGCAGGGCTGAAATGCTCATGCAGAAGGAACAATTGGAAGAGTGCAGTCTTGAATTCTTCCTCTTCAGTTTTGGAATGATAAATATTAAGCCACTGCACAACTATGTGGTGTTTTTAATTTATTGTAATCTTATAAAATTATTTGTGAGCATTCCCGTTTTGTACAATGATAATACTAAACTATAATACAGTGGTACCTCGGGTTACATACGCTTCAGGTTACAGACTCCGCTAACCCAGAAATAGTGCTTCAGGTTAAGAACTTACTTCAGGATAAGAACAGAAATTGTGCTCCGGCGGCGTGGCGGCAGCAGGAGGCCCCATTAGCTAAAGTGGTGCTTCAGGTTAAGAACAGTTTCAGGTTAAGTACAGACCTCCGGAATGAATTAAGTACTTAACCTGAGGTACCACTGTATTTCTTTTAAAAAAACAACAACTTCACCTGCCTTGGGTACTATAGACCATGACATTGGGTAGGGAGAAGGGCATCTGCTGTCATCTCATATAGGGCCAGCCCAGCTGTTTCCTACTTATTAATGCAAATGTTCCCAACAAGCCCAGCCAGTTTGGTCAACAAACAAAAGAAGGACCATCGCTGGCAGTCCCAAGATAGCCTAAGAGCATCATCCTGGTTGGATTGTTCCAGGAAACGTTTTCCAATTAATACAGCCAAAAAGATTCTCAGGAACTTTGTTCAAAGTTCTTCTTACTAATTTTCCAAGTGGTAAATAATTTCCGGTCTATAGGCTTTGCAATGTCTTGGCTTTGTGAAAATGATGAGCAAATGTCAGGCTGTTCACGTAGACTAGAATTCTCCTGGGATTGGCATTTGCCAGCATATCTACCTGGGTGGCTGACAGTGACACTATTGTGGAATCTAGACACATATGAAAAACGTTGTGAAAACGTTTTGAAAAATATATTGAATTTGCCATAGCTCACCATCGCCATCTTATGTCACATTTGTACAAAAGCACTTTACAATACACCTAAAACGTTTTATTTGCAGCTGCGTAGCTGAGTCCTATGTGATTTCACCCAGCCAGCCTATAATGGGATATCAAGGCAGTTATCACAGAATAAGTGTTGGGGCAGAAGACTCGTGGAATAAATTCTTCAAAATAGTAGTGGTTTGGGGAAATGGAATCCTAACCAGGATCAATTGAGAAATCACACCAGATCACACTTAGGTTTTCCCTAATGGAGCAAATAGTGTTAGGGAAGGGGATTTTCACTGAGGGCCAGTGAGCCTTCTTGGTGTCCCAGTCTGATCTGTACTGGGGCTCCCCCACAGCTGATGTTTGCCAAAATTTAAGGAGATGGTAAATTAGAAATCCTAGTTATTTCATTCAGATTGTTCCCCTGTTTTCTGCTCTTTCCTTCCTCATAATTGCCCCCTTACATACAAAATTTCAGCCGTCCACTGTTTGATGTTCTTTAATCTCCTTGCTGTATTCAGCTTCACCCTGCCCCCCTTTATATTAGACATATGAAGCAGATTACAAGGGAAAGCATTAAAACGATTAACGAGAGAAAGCCAACTCACATATTAGCCAGGAAATGCACATGCGTCTCAGTGTTGCTGTCACTGGGGAGAAACAGAACAGAACATAACCTCAATACTTCACTCCAGCTGCTGCAGGCTAACACTACACGACTGAAGAGTATTTTGCTTTTTAAACAAAAAACATTTTCAGTCTCACCATCAATATCATAGGAATATTAGACCTCTACTCTACCTAAGTGCCGTGACAATGAATTAAAAACAAAATAAGATGCTGGACATAGTACTCCAGATGTGCTCTGGCCAGCACAAAATAGAGTGGAATTATTACTTTTTGTGGTCATTTAAATCACATTCAATGCACATTAAAAGCACGTGACTTCTCCCAAAGAATCATGGGAACTGTAGTTCGTTAAGGGTACTGAGAGATGTAGCTATGTAGGGTTAAACTACAGTTCCCAAGAGTCTCTGGGGAAAAGCCATGTGCTTTAAATATCTGGTGCGGATGTCACCTACATGTTCCTTGGTGGTGGATGGGACACACACACTGTTATGTACTGAGTTGAATAGGATCCAAAAGGCAGCAGTCTGATTGGTCCTAGAACAATAGGATTCAGAATGCAGCAGTCTGATTGCCACTCTTCATCCTGGAGAAGAGTGACTAGTGGGGTGCCACAGGGTTCTGTCTTGGGCCCGGTCTTATTCAACATCTTTATCAACGACTTGGATGATGGACTCAAGGGCATCCTGATCAAATTTGCAGATGACACCAAACTGGGAGGGTGGCTAACACCCCAGAGGACAGGATCACACTTCAAAACGACCTTGACAGATTAGAGAACTGGGCCAAAACAAACAAGATGAATTTTAACAGGGAGAAATGTAAAGTATTGCACTTGGGCAAAAAAATGAGAGGCACAAATACAAGATGGGTGACACCTGGCTTGAGAGCAGTACATGTGAAAAGGATCTAGGAGTCTTGGTTGACCACAAACTTGACATGAGCCAACAGTGTGACGCGGCAGCTAAAAAAGCCAATGCAATTCTGGGCTGCATCAATAGGAGTATAGCATCTAGATCAAGGGAAGTAATAGTGCCACTGGATTCTGCTCTGGTCAGACCTCACCTGGAGTACTGTGTCCAGTTCTGGGCACCACAGTTCAAGAAGGACACTGACAAACTGGAACGGGTCCAGAGGAGGGCAACCAAAATGGTCAAAGGCCTGGAAACGATGCCTTATGAGGAACGGCTAAGGGAGCTGGGCATGTTTAGCCTGGAGAAGAGGAGGTTAAGGGGTGATATGATAGCCATGTTCCAATATATAAAAGGATGTCACATAGAGGAGGGAGAAAGGTTGTTTTCTGCTGCTCCAGAGAAGCGGACACGGAGCAATGGATCCAAACTACAAGAAAGAAGATTCCACCTAAACATTAGGAAGAACTTCCTGACAGTAAGAGCTGTTCGACAGTGGAATTTGCTGCCAAGGAGTGTGGTGGAGTCTCCTTCTTTGGAGGTCTTTAAGCAGAGGCTTGACAACCATATGTCAGGAGTGCTCTGATGGTGTTTCCTGCTTGGCAGGGGGTTGGACTCGATGGCCCTAGTGGTCTCTTCCAACTCTATGATTCTATGATTGGTCCTAGAACAATGCAGCAGTATGACTGGTCCACAGGAGCCACCCAATCCAGCTCCAGGTGGAAGTGAATCCACAACCTGATCGGCCTACAGGAGAATCCCAGAATTAGCCAATCACGTGCGGCCCATTGTGTAAATAATGTATATAAAGCAGATATTTTGGGGGAACTTCCATTCCTCACTACTATGAGCTGAATAAAGAGCATGAAATCCACACTCGACTCCAAGTATATTTCACACACACACATTTCCAAATGTAAGCTGCACAATCACACTATCACACACACAAATGCACAATTATCTGTCATTGTAGAACATGAACTCATGGATCATGCATAGCACCTTCCGGAAAGTGGCCTGATGCAAATATTAGCCAGATCAGTGGCCTTCAGGAAGTCTTCGTGGAAGTAATGAAGCTGCAAGATGCAAGCCAGAAGGAAAGCACCAGGGAGCAGAATCCTTGCAAACAGCTCTATTGTGCTGAACCGCTCAAGACCCAGGTCTTTTAATCTGTCAAGGGGAAAGGAGAGAGATCCACCCATCACAACCCACTGGGAGGTAATTCACATAATAGGTTCTCAGTGTTAAGCAGGCAATGACTTTGATTCTGCCCTGTGTTTGTTCCATGCGACGCTGTTTCCGTTCTGCTGCAATTTGGCTTCTGACAAAAACTATGTTATTTGTCTCACCGCCTGCTGAGGTGGAATTTTACGTAATCAAATTTTGCAATTAATTGCAGTATCATTACCTTAAAGGTAAAGGTAAAGGGACCCCTCACCATTAGGTCCAGTCATGACCGACTCTGGGGTTGCGTCGCTCATCTCGCTTTATTGGCCGAGGGAGCCAGCGTGCAGCTTCTGGGTCATGTGGCCAGCAGGACTAAGCCGCTTCTGGCGATCCAGGGCAGCGCACAGAAACGCCATTTACCTTCCCGCTGGAGCAGTACCTATTTATCTACTTGCACTTTGACATGCTTTCGAACTGCTAGCTTGGCAGGAGCAGGGACCGAACAACGGGAGCTCACCCCGTCGCAGGGATTCGAACCGCCAATCTTCTGATCGGCAAGTCCTAGGCTCTGTGGTTTAACCCACAGCGCCACCCGCGTCCCTTTGTCATTACCTTACCCCAGACCATCAATGTTGGGGCTGTTTGTTTCAATGCAAGTGAAATGCAGTGCAGGGAGGGGGAATTAACATCACGTATGTAGCGCTTGCAGAATAAAATTAGCAACAACAGTGAATAATAATTGCATTCCCTGGATTGATTTCCATTCTGGACATGGAATGAATAAGTGAACATCAGCAATTTCTGCTCCTGTTTCCATTTCTTTCAGCATTTTCCCTACTCAAGCCATCCAATCATTCCAGTGAGATCCATCTCGTGCCACCAGTGTCATCCTTTTGGTGCCAGGTAAAAACTTATTTCATCTCCAAGGCATTTGACAGATTATGATGATTCACTGGACGATATGGTTTTGCAGCTGTTTTATTGGGTCTCTTTTATGGATATTGCAAAGCATTGTTCTTTTTTCTTTCCTTTTCAGTTCTACGTCATGCTTTACATTTCAAAGTTTTGTAAGTTGCTTAGAGACACAGTTGCATAGGAAGCCACTAATAAATTAAATAACTGATATAATCATTAATAATAATAATTCAGTCCCTGTTCTTTCATTTCCCCAGCATACAGTAATCACTGGTTTAGATGTGAGGGGTTCCCCCACCCCTTTTCATTAGGAATAGTTCTAGTGCTCTGGTACTCCACAGATAAATAATGTTTGATAGGGCAAATTCTGAAAATTATGTTCAAATTGCACAGCTCACAATCCCAGGTCTGTGCAGACAATTTGTGTGTGTTCCCTGGTATTTTAAGTCCCTCTCTCTCATACACAGACAAACATCCGTGCTGATTAGATCCTGTTGCAGGGATAGCACCAAAATGACCCAATTTAGTTGCCCAAATCCTTCCTCCTGAGAAAGAGACAGGTTCAGCCAACAGGGGGCAGAATTAACCCTCTTATAAAGAGCCAGAAAGAGAGCTCTTTAGGCAGATAATGCCAGGGAAGAACATCAGAGTCACAGCAAGCTGGCAGTGCTAACTTAATTCAACAGCAGCAAAAATCTACATTTTTAATTTTTTTTTTTACTATTGCGCAATAGACCAGAGATGCTATAATGAATTTCAAGATAAAATTTGGATTTGAATATTTTAAATGAGAGCCAGTGTGGTGGTGCTGTTACCATGTCAGAAACAAAAGACTTGGAAACCCAGCTTCAAATCCCCAGTCAGCCTCAGAGATCACAGTAAATAAATAAAACAAAGCCCTTACCTCTCCTCTGATATCTCCAAGGTGTTTAGGAAAAACGCTGACACCATCTCAAATTGATAGGCATAGATAGCAATGAGCACCACCATTGAATAAAAAACAGTGGTGAGCCAGAAACTCTTCAGGATTCTTCTCCACATCTCATAATGAACCTGAAACCACATTTCCACATACCTTAGTACTGGTTCTGAACACAGTATGGTGGGCATTTTAGAAATGCATTTGTATAACAGGTGTGGGCTGGGCAAGTCAACCTGAACTGCAAAGCACTCAGTGTTCCTTCGCCCCATTCTGAAAACAAAATTCGACCCCAAACCACAGAAAGTCCTGAAAACATCATAATAATCTGGGCCAAATGGATGAAAGTGGGTATCTTGTAGTGGTCTTGTAGTAAGGTTAAAGCTTACTGGGAAATGATATATAATGAATTGAAAAAGATGTTTAGAATAATATGTGTGTGTGTGTGTGTGTGTGTGTGTGTGTGTGTGTGTGTGTATATATATACACACACACATATATATATATACACATATATATATATATATACACACACATATATACATATATACACACATATATACATATATACATATATACACATATATACACATATATACATATATACACATATATATACATATATACATATATATATATATATATATATATATATATATATATATATACATATATATATATACATACATATATATATATATATATATACATATATATATATATACATACATATATATATATATATATATATACATATATATATATATACATATACATATATACATACATATATATATATATATATATATACACATACATATATACATATATATATATATATATACACATACATATATATATATATATATATATATATATATACATACATATATATATATATACACATATATATATATATATATATATATATATATATATATATATACAGTGGTACCTCGGGTTAACAACTTAGTTCATTCCAGAGGTCCGTTCTTAACCTGAAACTGTTCTTAACCTGAGACACCACTTTAGCTAATGGGGCCTTTTGCTGCCGCGACGCCGTCGTGCGATTTCTGTTCTCATCCTGAAGCAAAGTTTTTAACCCGAGGTACTATTTCTGGGTTAGCAGAGTCTGTAACCTGAAGTGTCTGTAACTTGAAGCGTCTGTAACCCGAGGTACCACTGTATATGTATGTGTCAGGTTACAGACGCTTCAGGTTACAGACCCCGCTAACCCAGAAATAGTACCTCAGGTTAAAAACTTTGCTTCATGATGAGAACAGAAATACACACACACACACACACACACCCCCCACCAGAAGCTTTCGTTTTCGGAATTATAGGGACAGAACTACCCAAACTATATAGAAATTTATTCATGTATGTGACTACAGTGGCAAGAATGTTACTTGCCCAAAAATGGAAAGAAGAAAGGAATATGCAGAAATGGCGGAACTTACCGGAAAAATAAGAAAACAAGATAACAAACTTTTTATAAAAGAATAGAAATGGTTTATTTTAATATTTACAAATAAACTGTAAAGAGATAAGAACATTGGCAGGATTATTGTATCCTGCAGGATTATTCTAATAACCTGCAGTTTTATATGAGTATATATTTAAAGTAGATGAATAAATGAGTAAGTTAAGCTAATTTGGAACATGCAGGAAATATAAAAAATGAATTTAAGGAACCGCAGAAAGAGGGGAAGGAAGTCAAGTTTCGAAATGTTAAAATGATTTTACTATTATTGAAATGTACAAAATTGAAAATCATAAATAAAAAAGAAAGAAAGTGGGTATCTTTATCCCAGTCTGAACTCGAAATGGAACTATATTTAAACTGTTCAGAGAGAGAGAGAGAGTTCATAGAGAGAGTTCATGGAAGGGACCCTGGGGGTCATCTAGTCCAACCCCAGAAGGTTGCCCACAAGTGCATGCAGACTCCATGCTGGAAAAGGCTCCCCACTCCTGCTTCAAGTTCTGTGAAGCACTGTATTCCGCAAATAGCCTAAACTAACTAAACTGACAGCTGACAGATAACAAAGAGCTCAAAAACTGCTGCTGCAATTTTCTAATAGGAAAAAGCAGGAGTGCAAATGCCTCCGATTTCCTTACCTGGTACAAAGCCACACAAAGCAGAAAAAGCACAATGTAAAGAATTTTGTACAGGGCCACTTTGCCATTGAAGCTGACGATAAAGAACATGACAGAGCAGATGTAAATCCAGTATTTTACAAGCATCCCCTGCAGCGCAGAACCAAGGAGGCCCAAAAGAATGTTTTGCGGATTGTCCGTTTCTGCAAGAGAAGTGGAGAATCATTCAGAAGTGTCATCAATATCATATCACAAGTATATTCTAAAATAAAACTACTCCTCTCCCTCAAAAAAACATTTTTCTTTCTCACTTATTATCGCCCAGTGCTTAGAAGCAGACAAAACCCTTGCTTCCTTATTAATCGTCTTTGCCGCCCATTTGCTCTTCTGAACTAATTTTCCTGGGGTTGGCCCTGGACTGAATACAGATGGTAAAACCCACCTTTAAAAATACATATGAATAATAGTAGTAGTTCAGGGCTAACTTTACTAAGTATTAAATCTTCTTACCAGCCGCCCCATCTACTCTCACTCCCTTGAGCGATTCTTCCTCCTCTTGTCTCTGCCTTTGCTTCTGCATCATCCACTGCTTTAGCAACAGCCAGAAGGTAAACAGATATAAAATCTGCAATAAAAATCACACAGACATTTTAATAACAACAACAACAACCAACACCACCCCACACAACTGAGCCAACTCTAGACAGCTTAATGGAATTCTTTTATTGCATAGTTTTATCGTGGATGTTCCTATTTTAATGCTGTCAGTGGGATTGCTTTATTGCCTACTTCAATTATGGATGTTTATATTTTAACACTTGTGTCGTCGTCCTCCGTCCCGCAATGCCACCGCACGCTATAGGGTGAGCGGGCTTGTAAACCCCTCAGTATAACAGGCATACTGTATACAGTGGTACCTCAGTTTACGAACTTAATCCATTCCAGAAGTCTGTTCTTAAACCGAAACCATTCTTAAACTGAGGTGCGCTTTCCCTAATGAGGCCTCCCGCTGCCGGTGCCCTTCCACTGTTCGGATTCAGTTCTTAGACCGAGGTAAAGTTCGCAAACCAGGACACTACTTCCGGTTTTGCAGAGTTTGTAAACTGAATAGTTCGTAAACAGGACTGTTCTTAAACCGAGGTGTTGGGAAACTGTGTACATGCAGCTACTCACACAGAGTCAGTTAAGGTTTGGCAGACAGCCAGAAGGCAATCTGAAGGAGTAAGTCTGCCTGGTGATAACAGAGACATAGAGACCGCTCCCTGATTGGTCAAGCTCTCTCAAGGGAGTGATAATTAATGGGCTACTAACTGGAATGTGTTAGTTCAGTGTTCGTGTTCAGAATTCTGTGTGTCAGTGTAGGAGTTGTGAGTCGTGTCAGAGAGAGCCAGCAAAAGATCCGTGTTCTGTTCCTGTAAATAGTCCACTATATATAATAAACACTTAACTACAAGTTCCTGGTTCCTGCTTCGTCTATCCTGTCTGCAGCCAAGTCGCCAATTGCTTCCGTGGATTCTGCGTGTACTCTGCTAGGTCTGGCTAAGGTCCTGCAACTAGTCGGAAAGTTGCGAAACACCAAATAGGTTTTGCCAATAGGCAATAGGATCGCAACCACTGTACATTAATTAATGAATAGATCAGCAACGATCTGCACAACTTTCCAAAGTCCCACAAAAGCAGCTACATCCTCATGCAATTCAATTCTCAAATCTTTTTTTGGCATATAGGCAAGATTCCAATAAGGTTCAGTACAATAAAACTGCTCAGCAAAATCTGCATCTAACACTTAAGTTAATGTTGCATAACATTCACGGATCCTCATGGTGTGTTGCAGAAACCTGGCTACCATCTCCATCTTATCCCCATCCTGACTTATTACATGTGCTTAGGATCGCAGCCTGAAAGTAGAACCCAGAACTGAAGGAAGCTCACCTTGACTCCTAGGTGGACACAGGGCAGTGAATAAGGCTTCAAATCCAAGTCCACGAGCAACGAGGCTGAAACTCCAGGAAACAGTTCCTCCTTGGAAACATGCAGGCCTGCAAAGAAATTGAGGACCACCAAGACATTTCCATAGGCAACAAGGAAAGGCGAGCTCCTCAAGGCGTAGAGGCGACGGTTGCGCAACATCCAAATGACACAAGACCAAATCAGCAGAACAAAAGTCAGCCAGCTGACATAAGTGATGCTCCAAACCTGGAAATGCATACATAAGATAGACAGAGAGATGGATGCACACAGAGAGACATATATTTTGGGTAACACTGCAGTCCCAAACATCATGTAACCCACAACTGAACAAATATGGACTCCTAAAACTGTAGAAGAAGTCTAAATTAAGGCACACTTCTTCTAAACTATCTAGATCAGGGCCAGGGACCCTGTACCCTAATAAATAAAAATTAGCTGTGCATACTTGCATGTTAAGGGATGCGGGTGGCGCTGTGGGTTAAACCACAGAGCCTAGGACTTGCCGATCAGAAGGTTGGCGGTTCGAATCTCTGCCACGGGGTGATCTCCCGTTGCTCGGTCCCTGCTCCTGCCAACCTAGCAGTTCGAAAGCACGTCAAAGTGCAAGTAGATAAATAGGTACTGCTCCAGCGGGAAGGTAAACGGCGTTTCCGTGCACTCCTCTGGTTCACCAGAAGCGTCTTAGTCATGCTGGCCACATGACCTGGAAGCTGTACGCCGGCTCCCTCAGCCAATAAAGCGAGATGAGCGCCGCAACCCAGAGTTGATCACGACTGGACCTAATGGTCAGGGGTCCCTTTACCTTTACCTTACTTGCCTTTAGTCTTACCTTTAGTCTTACCTTTAGTCTTTACCTTTACCTTACTTGCATGTTAATACTGATATCTGAAGTTATGTGCAGCTATAACTCTGAAATTGCTACATACATGTCTTTGACTAAGGGTGCCTTCAGACTACAGTACTTTCCAGGACAGATTCAAGTGCATATTAGAAATTTAGGTTTGCAGAGTTAGATTAAAGTGCTCTCTCACTGTAGCACCACAAATCCATTTTTTTTTAAGTGATAATGTGGGACTAACCTCCATCTTTCCATGCACACAGAAGGAGGTTTTATTTCAGTCTGTATCTTACCATCATGACAATCAATGCAGTGATGTAGCTCTGATTCATAAGTAATTGTGCCAATGCTAAAAAGGTACTAGGCCTATTTTCTTCAGTGCCCTGTTCACCATCAGTTTCTGATGCATTTTCAGAGCATGTCTCATCTGCAAGAAATGCAAAATTTTTAGCAAAGGGTAAATTAACCAAAACAACAACAACACACACACACCAGTGTCTGGCATCAGTTAATAAAGTTTTGGAGACTTTGCCATGTTATCTTTAAGCGCACCTCTCTCTTACCTGCCCATTTCCCCCTATAAATGACCTATACAGCACCTTGATCCTTTTCCCTTGGAAAATGCGTTTTGAAACATGCAATGGCTAAAATAACATCAAGGGGCAGCCTGAGATTCTAGGTTATAACTGCATCCCTTGATAATAACAAAGAGTTGTTGTTTGTTGTTCTTAGAAAGAAGAATAAGAGAAAAGTAAAGATGAAAAAAATTAAGAAGATTAAGAGCAATTAGGCTTCTGTAATGTACTTCAGTCAGTATGCCTCCCAAGGTGGTTTACAACAAGGATTAAAGCATTTTACACATTTAAAATCACAGAAGAATTCCACATCTTTCATCAATTGAAATCTTGGCAAACTGCAATGCCCCAAGGGTGCAAAAATGACCATACTTTGAATCAAGCCTTGCAAAGGGGCCATCGCACAGGAAAATATACCTGAGAAGGAAAGGTTGTGTCCTTCATTGATGTAGGCATTCACTTCACAGCTACGATGACTTTGACACTGCAAAAGGAGAGTACTCTGAAAGCTTCCATTTGTCACATAAACCTCCTGAGCAGGGGGGAAGGAAAAAAAGGTTGAAATTTTTGATTTTGTACAACAGAGGCTTCACAAAGTCCGGGCTCAAAGTTGCATGAATACCATAACCCCAAGTGAGGAAAATTTCCAGAGGTACCACTTACTTTGAAAAGGAAATGCATCACATTTTGTCAGATCAGGGACCAGTGGGACAGTAGTCAGTTCTGAAGTGCCCCCATAGCCACACACACGAGTGCAAACACACATATCAATGTGGAAATGGCAGTGGTGGACTTTGGGGGTCTCACATTTCAGCGGTGCCCAGTGTGATGCTAAAGTTCAGCACCCTCTCATGCTCCATTCTAAATGGTAGCAGCTCCCTGAGGCATTCCCGAGGTTCTGCACCCAGTGCAACCAAACTGGTCGTGCTTCCCTAAATCCACCTCCCAAAATGGGATGGAATTGACTCATGATTAAATACATGTGAGATTGACATGGGCTGGAGGAAAACTGGTCCATCCAACAAAAGCATCAATATACAGCCAATATCCAATCAGAAAACAGACAGGCATTCCAGACCTCGAGAGATACAGCTGGCAATGCATGCCATATTTGACTCTATCCCGTACCTTAGGAGGCAGAGCCCATCGCTGGAGCATCATGACCAGAGTGCAATAGAGGACAAGAAGGGCAATAGGATTCAGAGCCACCGGCCAGCTGAGCTGGGGATGAACCTGGAGCTTCCAGGGCTCAGTGATGTTTGTCTTAATAAGTGGCGCTAAGCCCAGGACCCTAGAGAAATGGAGAAAATGGTGAAGAGGTTGCTGCTACTTGATCTTTGTGGAAACAGGAGAGGAAAAGCAATAATGCCAAAGAAAGACTAATTTACCTGTAGCAGCCAACTCCTAGGGGCCGAGGTCCCTTCGGTCCCCCCAATAAAATATTTGAGGGGGGCAGCCCTCCCAAAGTTGATGGGCATTGCCATTAAAATGTTGTGTGTGCTCCGTGTCATGAGATTGATTATACGGGGCATGGCTTGCCTGGACCTGCCCCCCCATATTTTATTTAAGTTGGCACCCCTGATCATCACCGAAAAAGTGCAGCATCGCTTGTGTGAATGGGGCATCATATAGATCAAGGCCCCAGGCAGAACTTTAATTTCACTGGAAATAATAATAATAATAATAATAATAATATATTTGTACCCCACCCATCTGGCTGGATTTCCCCAGCCACTCTGTGCAGCTTACAGTACATATAAAAACATAGTAAAACCTCAAACATCAAACACCTCCCGATGCAGGGCTGCCTTCAGATGTTTTCTAAAAATCAGATAGTTGTTCACTTCCTTAACATCTGATGGGAGGGCGTTTCACAGGGAGGGTGCAGGAACCGCTGCCATTGGTGCTTGAATGGCAGGATCTGATCAAATTGAAAGGCACTTTGATCAAGCAGAGGGAGGCTTCCACCAGGAAAATAGGGAGGGAAATTATTTATGCTGATTCCACCTCTCCCTTGCAGCAGCCCCCTAATCTGTTCCAGTGGGCTGGGGGACCCTTCGCAACAATGTGGGGAGTGGGGAGATGCAGAGGGAGGGAGAATCATGGCGGATAAGCCTATGTTCTATCTCCATCGTCAGAGGCAGCATGGTCCTGTATACTAGTTTCTGGGAGGCACAAGTAGGAAGAGTGCTGTTGCGCTGAGGTTCTGCTTCTGAGTTTCCCATATGCACCTGTGAGAACATGATGCTGGACTTGACGGTTTAATCCAGGAGGGCTCTTATTTTTTTGATTGGTTATAACTGGAGGTAACACTAGTGCATATAATGCTCAGTTCTTAATCAGAACCAAGGTCTGCTGTGCTTTCTCTTACATACCATCTTCTTCAGTGTGTGAGTTTGATCTTTTTACCTGGCATAAATGTCTTCAGGAGGAACCAGGTCCTGGAAGTATGGAAGCTGGTACAGGTAAAAAGCACCCAGGTGCCCTGCACTGAATATTGCAACCAAAACACACAAACTGTTGAAGGCAACCGGGCTGACTGGCCGATGACAAGACCACCAGGAGCACAGGCCTAGGAAGATGAAGAAATAAACTGCAGAAGTTGCCGAAGGTAGGATGATGCCTATGGATAAAGAAACGAAATGCAAAATTTCAGGTTTGCATGGAAAACTGGGTTTGGCTGTGTATGCAGCGTGCATTTAAAGTGCATGAAATTCTCCCAAAGAATCATGGGCAATGTCATCTGTTAAGGGGTGGGAGGGAATTTCAGTTCTATGAGGGGTAAACTATAGTTCTTGGGATTCTTTAGGAGAAGTCATATGCTTTAAATGTATGCATCCTTTGTCTCTGGCAAACTTACGACAATTTAGAACAGGAAGCTGCAATCCCTCTCACATATTAAACACTTGTTGATAAAAAACGGAGAATACTACTAGAGGAGCATGCATGCACTGGAGAACTCTAATCTTGAGTGACAACTTGCACATGTGAATGGCCCATCAGAGAGGGAAATGTCACAGGTGGAGACGGACACACATCACCTTGCATTACTTCCCCTCCCCCTCAATAGAGTCCAGTTCAGCCATTCAGCTGTCAGTCATGAAATTCACAGTAAAATAGTGCAGAACATTTCCACCTGCTAAGCCCAACAGAAGCACGACGGCCAATTTCCCAGCACTGCTGAATAGACCTTCACAAATGATCCTCAAGGCCGCTAGGAACAAAGTGAGTTTCAGAAGGAATCTTTGTTGGCCGTTCTCCAGATTATCCTGCCCAGGTGAACCTTCCATTTCCTCGTCATCAGTATTGTCAGTTTCTGCTTCAGATTCCTGAAGATCCAGAAACAATGAAATAAGAATCAATCCATAGCTGGGATAGCTCAGTCAGTATAGATCTGGGGCCCAGAGCAAAAATCTTGGGAGTTGGGCCCACTTGACTGCCCCCTAATAATGTCTCTGGTTCTGAGACATCATAATGTAAGTATTTTGTCCTGCAGCACGGATATTGTTCTGCTACTCTAGCAATCACTTCGACGTTTCACTTGGAACAAAAGCATGGTGTGCCCACAATGCCGTTTCACCTAGTTATCATGGTTATTCTTCAAACTGCCAAAGTGTTCGATGTCCCTAAATAGATGAAGGCGATTGCTAGAAGAGAGATAAGCTCATCCTGAGTCTTTTGCAACCCGGTTTATGTCACGCTTCAGCCTAATGAATGAGCAACCTTGCTGAAGACAAAGATATGAAAGCTCAGAATACAAAGCCTAGAAGTCGGTGCAAATAATCCATCATTAAATATTTCTCAGTCTGCGGCTCATCGTGCAAGATTAATGCATTCCAACTGGTTGTCCCTACTGAGAGGGATAAAGGAAAGCACACATCACAACTCAGGAGCTTAAGAAGATCCCTGCAGGTCTATCTAGCCTAGCTTCCTGTTCTCCCAGTGGTCGACCGAATGTGGGAGACACCTTCCTATGTCCTGTCCTAGTAACAATCCCTTGTTTCATTCGTACATCCAGCAGCGGATATGATCAAGAAATAGGTAGTGTGAGGAGAAGAAATGTACTATAATCTAATAACATAGTCCTGCTGGAGCAGACCAAAGGCCCACCTAGTCTAGCATCCTGTTCTCACAGTGGAGAACCTGACGCATGCAAGAGGATTTGTGACAGCTCTGATTCCCAGCAACTGTTATGCAGAAATGTTCAGCTTCTGGCAGTGTAGGCAGCTCCATCAAAAACATTATCCTCCATATATTTTGCCTAATCCTCTTTCTAAAGCCCGCCAAACTTGTGGCCATCCCTGTATCAGGTGAGAGCAAATTTACCATGTGCTGCGTGAAGAAGTTCTGTCTTTCGTCTGCCCTGAATCTTCTAACATTCAGCATTGTTCCAGAATTACGAAAGAGGGAGGAAAATATGCACCCCTATCCACTTTCTTATGCACCTCTATTACATGCCCCCTTACTTGTCTTTTTTTTCCCCCTAAACCAAAAAGTCCAAATATTATAATTTTTCTCCGTAGGTGAATTGCTCCTAACCCTGGATCATTTTGGTTGGCCTTTTCTGAAATTTAGCTTAAGAACATATGTATAGTTAGGGTTTCCCCCACTAACCAGATAGAGTGAACTATTTAAATTGTTTAAACCTTGGTCTATTGTTAGCTCAGTAATGAAATATTTGAAGAGTGGTATGCTTAATCTAGCCCATAATTCATTTATGCATTTAATGTGTTGTGTAAATGCATATATATATTATGTATGTTTCTGCTGGGTTTTGTTTCTCATATTACATAATAACTCAAAATAATAATAAAAAGGGAAAGCACTTGTTCTTCCCCCTTGCAATCCTTATTCATACGCTACAAGGCCAAGAAATTTGAACGCAGGTCTACATAATTACCATTTCCTCTTCCATCTCTTCTTCATCATCGCAAGGAAACAGGTCTTGGTTCCTTGGATGAAGCTGGGCTTTTCGGTTGAGAAGCTTGACCATCTTCTTGCAAAGTTGTGTGATTGTGAGACTGGTGAGAAACATTCCAATATCGGGAGCCAAAAGGCAAATGATGTTCCAAGCATTGAGACTGCTAAACCTAAAGAAAAGAGGGTGCATTAGTATCCCATAGGGTTAAAGGCTTTGCAGGCAATAAGGGCAAAGTTCTCTGAATCTGCCACACATTCAGTGCTCTGTAACTTGCTTAGATATCACTTTGGGGAAACATGCCCCCACCCACAATGTTCCTCCAACATGGTGTACAATAGTTAATCAATATGCAATGCATAAAAATGAAAACGTAAGATAAAAATTAAGTCTTACCTCGGAAAACCAAAGTGGCACAGCACTTTCTCCCATAAGAAATCTTTTTTAAAAAGGAAAAGAACCATAGTTATGGACTCAGAGGGGTGGTCAAGTTTGCTGATGATAGCACATTGTTCAGCGTGGTAGAAACAAAAGCATCTCTCTAATCTAAACTGGGTGAATGGGTATTAAAATGGGAAACACAATTCAACACAGGCAAATGCAGAATGCAAAAACCTAACTTCCCAGTTGCTGGGAATTACAGATGGGCAGAATATTGCAATAGCATCTTTCTTAAACCATTCCCATATGATGTTGAGCAGACATTACCATTAGGTGGCAGGTAATGGAAAACAATCTGAAAAGCTGCTTGAACCACAAGGAAAACGAAGCTAGTGTAGGTGATCGCGCTAAGCATCTGCCCGGTGGACCCTGAAAAATTAAAAATGTAGACTTTATTTTCATGGACCACACCACCAAAAGAGACAGCATAGGAAAATTTAAACTGGCTATACCTTTGAGACCCCACACCTCTGCCTTTTCTGGTGGCATTTTTTGAGGGGAAACGGAGAAATGTTGGAGGGTATGGACCTCCACTCCAGGAACTTTTGCAAGTTCTTAGGGTACAGGCCGGTCCTACTGTTAGGCAGAGTGAGGTGGCCACCTCAGGTGGCAGACACTGGGGTACCAAGAGTGGCAGCAAAATGTTGAGGGTGGGCAGAGCTGTGTATGCACCCTCTAACTAGCTCTTTCTTCTCAGGGGAGGTAGAGAATTCTGTCCTATCACCAGTGCTCAAGCAAAATTCAAATGCCACTCTGGTAGGCCTCTCTGTATGTGGAAATGGAGGGAGGGCAACAAAAAGTTTTGGGTCGGTCCCACTAGCCTGGCTGTGTCCCTACTTCATGGAGTACAGTCCTCTGATTGAAGATGTCCTCTCTTTGAAGAGCTGTCTGTCTGGAACAAGTATTCTTGGTTTGTTTGTTTTTTGATTATGTATTTTGTGTTTTTATATTGTTTATATTGTGAACCGCTCTGAGACATGTGGGTATATACAAATCTAATTAATAATAATAATAATAATAATAATGGTTTAAATGGGGCTATTTTTCAGCCGGAACTCGCCGGAACTCAGTTCCAGCACCTCTCAGGTGGGCGCCATTGCCATTATAAGAGAAGAAGGGAGACCTTCGTGGCGAGTTCCGGCACCTCTTTTTCTAGAAAAATAGTACTGGGTTTAAAGATCAAGAACCCCAGGAAGGGAGTGCAATGAGGGCCTTCAAACTGCCTGTTAACTGTTAAGTTGTGGGTGAACATATCAGACGACACAGCGATTCTTCAAACAGCTCTTGTTTATTCACAGGCCAGAACAGAACTGAACTGAAGGGTTCAGTCAGCCTGCTTATATAGAGCTCCAGTACAACGTAACTGTAACAACTTTCTGTAACTATCCAATCACTGAACGTCACTTTCGATCCCTTATTTGCATATGGGGACCTGAGTAAAAACTATCTACAGTATCCCCCTGCTGGCCCAGGGTGAGAACTTCAGTACATAACACCAACAATTAGCACTTAGATGAGCTCCCCACCCTAGATCTGAAACTTTCAGCAATTTGCCTACCTTTCATGGTGACAGCATTTGGTTTGGGGAACAGTGGCAGGAGCAGCAAGAAGAAGAGATAGACCACAGAAAGCCCATTGTATCTGAAACCTATAGCTAGGGAAACAACCGAGCGTTACATAAGAAAATCCTCAGCATGAGATGCGAGAAAGCCTACAGCTTACCATTTAATAAATAGGAAGCTTCCTTGTTCCAGGTCAGCCTATTTGTACATCTAGCTCAATATTTGAGTAGGAGTGGCTCTCTGGGATCTCAGGCAGAAATCTGCCCATCTCTTGCTATCTAATCCTTTTAACTGGAACTGCCGGAAACTGAACTTGGGGCCTTCTGAATGCCAGCCATGCAGACCCTCCATGTGTCCCTATTTTCCAGGGACGGTCCCAGATTTTCTGAAGCCATCCTGGTTTCTGATTTGATCCCAGAATGTCCCCCTTTCCCTTAGGACGTCCCTATTTTCATCGGAGAAATGTTGGAGGCTATGGAGTTATGCGATCCCTGAGCCAGGGAGATAAGTAACTATACAAATTTAGAAGACATCTGATGGCAGCCCTGTATAGAGAAGTTTTCTAACAGGGGTCAGCAAACTTTTTCAGCAGGGGGCCGGTCCACTGGCCCTCAGACCTTGTGTGGGGATGGACTATATTTTGAAGGGGGGGAATGAATGAATTCCTATGCCCCACAAATAACCCAGAGATGCATTTTAAATAAAAGTGTTAAGTTGTGGGTGAACATATCAGACGACACAGCGATTCTTCAAACAGCTCTTGTTTATTCACAGGCCAGAACAGAACTGAACTGAAGGGTTCAGCCAGCCTGCTTATATAGAGCTCCAGTACAACGTAACTGTAACAACTTTCTGTAACTATCCAATCACTGAACGTTACTTTCCATCCCTTATTTGCATATGTGGACCTGAACTATCTACAGTATCCCCCTGCTGTCCCAGGGTGAGAACTTCAGAACATAACAAAAAGCATGCATTCTACTCATGTAAAAATACCAGGCAGGCCCCACAAATAACCCAGAGATGCATTTTAAATAAAAGGACACATCCCACTCATGTAAAAACGCGCTGATTCCTGGACCGTCTGCAGGCTGGATTTAGAAGGCAATTGGGTCGGATCCGGCCCCCGGGCCTTGGTTTGCCTAACCATGTTTTATAATGTTTTATTAAGCTTTTTATATATGTTGGAAGCTGCCCAGGGTGGCTGGGGCAACCCAGTCAGATGGGCAGGGTATAAATAATAATAATTATTATTATGTAACATGACGTCTCTATTTTCATTGAAGAAATGCTGGTAGAGCCATGTGCTCTACCAACAGAGCCGTGCAGAGCTTCCCTGAGGCCTGGATCAGGAGTATTGTTGGAATAAAGTTATAAACTCAAATCCAAAAGCAGCTAGTCCCTGGTGGAGGCTCCCAGCCAGCTTAGCCCTCTGAGGCAAGGGGCAAGTGTATCTGGCTGCCCACCCCTCTCCACAGGTCTGTCTACCACTGAACGATGGTCCCCTCTCTGAGAACTTTTGCCAAACATGAGCCTTGAAGCACCAACACTGAGTTTAAGAGTCCATCCCAAACAGTATGGCCAGAGCTTGCTGGGCCTTTAAACATAGGCTACAACTTTCTGCAAGGCTGCAAGTTAATGCTTTACATGGGAGTAAATCCCACTGAACACAGTGAGACTGGCTCATTCTGCAGATTGCTGTTTGCACCGGTTCAGCCGTAAAACGCGGGTTTTCCCCGGGGAAGTGTCAGGACAAAAATAAACTGCTCAGATGCAGAGCTATAAAGTGTGGAGCTGTGCCTGGCAAGCCCAGCGCAAAAGGAAGTCCGCAGAGCCCTTACTTCCAGGTAAGTCTATATAGGAATGCAGCAACAGTAGCAATTGTCTGATGTCCTGTGTGCCTCTAACCTTTGCTTGGCTTAGCCCAGAGTGACATTATGAATTGCTGGCTCACCTAACAAATAAAGAAGCACACGTACCTCCTCCTTCCCAAATGGTTGTGCAATTTCCCCATAAAATAGCCTGTCCGATTTCTTTCCAAAGGAATGCATGAGTCCAATTGATACGATTTGTTTATTTATTTCTTTTAATGCCATAGCAGCTACGTATAGCAGGGTTCTATTTTGCGGCGGCAGCAGAGCACAAAAGCCGTTCAATGGGACCTTCTGCCTGGATAGCAGCAGCCATACAGCCCTGGCTAGTCGACAACTATGGTTTCTGGATCCAATGTAACACCATAGAATGTTCTTCTCCGAAACATTTAATCCTCTGGGCATTCTTACACATCGTCTATCAGAAACTTTTAAAGCACAAGAAGCCACATCCCATAAATGTGTGAACTACAGTGATTTAAAATAAATAAATTTCCCCTCTGCAAATAATTACAAAGCAAGCAACTCAAAACTACAATATCACTTTAATTAATGCAATGCATGCACAAAGCTGAGCACTTTTAACTCTCACTGATTTCTGCAGGAGAGACTTAAGTGCATGAATTTGCGTCAGTTTAAAAACTGCTCACCTTTGGCTGGATAGTGTGCAGTTGGTTGAATTCCATTCAACTGACCTAAGTTGCTCAGTTTCATTCCTGATGCAAGTCCGCTGAATTAGTGAAATTTCATTTCCTTGCACTCTCTTATTTCCCTTATAAACACAATGCAACATAAAGTCTTTAAGGCGTAAGTGGAAATGTCTTACCTGCTGCCAAGGGGAGTGACAGACCTAATCTGAAAATTAACCCACAGGCTAAACTATTTGCCATGGTCTCCTCTGTTTAGCATCAGGACGGAGATATCAGCGAAGTAGGTTGCAGCTACTGCCCCAGCCTTCTGACCCAATGGCTAAAGGAAACTGCGCCGAGCTTTTAAACTCTCATTCCAAATAAAGGAAACTGCACCGAGCTTTTAAACTCTCATTCCAAATATGGTCAGCTTACCAATCAATGGCTCTGTATTAATTTTTTACAAAAAGTAATACGAAAACTGGTGAACCTCCAGTAATCTTCATGTTCTGTAAAATGGGAAGTATTGATCTTCCTGGGCTTTCTCCTCCTCCCCCCTCCCACACACTTGAATCCTAATTTTCCTTTGCAGCTGAACAAGTAGGATGGTGCTTGGCTTTCAGGCATCAATCTCCTTTTCTTCCCCAAGTTTCCCTTACTCGTCTGTTTTCCAGATCCAGGTAACCCGTCAGAATAGAATCACCCTTCAATCAGCAGTTAGGAATTTCTCCAATCTCCCAACAATTTGATCTGTTGTTGCTTTTTCCTTCGGTGTGAAACTCCTTTACCCACTGAATGTATAACTCTCAGGAATGATCACAAAACTTTAATTCCAAGCTGTGCTTTAGTTGCAAACCACGAAGGGTCTTGGTGGCACGTGATGAGGTTGTTTGTTGAAAGTCTCCATCCACTTCGTAAATGTTAATCTGATGCAAAATATGTTAACAATCATCCCTGGTAAGTGTACGTAAAGCCTTAAATGGCTCAGAACCACAATAACTCAAGGACCACCTCTATCCATATGAACTGCCCCAGACCTTGCAATCATCACCTGAAGCCCTTTTTTGTGTGTCTGCTCCATGAGAGGTCTGGAGGGTGACAACACAAGAACAGGGGCTTTTCTGCAGTGGCTCCCTGTTTGTCAAATGCTCTCCCCAGGGAGGTTTATATGGCACTTTCATTACATTTTTTTTTATTTTTTAAAAAAAATTATTTTGAATTTTCATTTTACAAACATCAAATAAAAATAGAAAACAATATTATACACACACAAACACACATACACACACACACACACACGCATATACACACACACACACCCCTTTTGACTTCCCTCCCCTCCTTTATGGATCCTTTTATCCTTATGTTACATTTTTTTCTTCTCCATCTCCATTATAATTCTAGTTATTAAAAACTCCTTAGTTCAAATTTTTAACCACAAGTTTTAAATCAATCCTGCTAATTAATTTAATTATTTACAATAGTTTTTCAAATAAATTACTGTAGATATTTTCCCCATTCTTTGTTAAAAATTGATTCTTCCTGATTTCTAATTCTTCCTGTTAGTTTTACCATTTCAGCATAGTCTTCATTGCATATCTTTAGCTGCCAGGCTAAGCAATCCTCTTCTCCCAGGCCTTTGGCTAATTAAGCCAGGCATAGGCAAACTCCGGTCCTCCAGATGTTTGGGACTACAATTCCCACCATCCCTAGCTAACAGGACCTGTGCTGGAGGGCCGGAGTCTGCCTATGCCTGAATTAAGCAATCTATGCTCTTTTATACGGGACAGGGGTATTGTATTGATTTATCTGTTTTGTTGTTATGTTGTGTTATGTCATGTTACAATATGTGTTTTTGTGTTTTTATACTGCAAACCAGGCTTCCTCAACCTCGGCCCTCCAGATGTTTTTGGCCTACAACTCCCATGATCCCTAGCTAGCAGGACCAATGGTCAGGGATGATGGGAATTGTAGTCTCAAAACATCTGGAGGGCCAAGGTTGAGGAAGCCTGCTGTAAACCATCCTACGATCCTTGGATGAAGGGCGGTATCTAAATTTAATAAACAAATAAATGGCACAGTTGACAGGACATTCGTCCAGTGCTTAAAAGCTTGCATGGGCTGCCCGTATGTTGCCAGGACAAGTTCAAGGTTCTTGCATTAATTTACAAGCCCTTAATGCCTTGGATCCAGGATACCTTAAGAACTGACCATTGCATCTCCCCTGCCCTACTGCTGATTTCTCTGGGAGAGTCTCCCAGGATACAGATGCTCAGTTTGTATGCACATGGAGCTGTGTGTTCCGTATCATGGACCCAATTCTCTGAAACTCCCTCCAACTTGAGAACAGACCCCTCCCCCGCATCCTGTTGACTTTCCAGTACCTAGTGAAGACCTTTTCCAGCAATCTTTTAAAGTATGTTTTCTGATCTTCTTCTTTGGTGATCACTCGTAGCCGAGTAAGATTGTCTTCCATAAACACAGTTTTAACAATGACTCCGTAAGTGACTGTGGAGGCCAATTCTGGATTCCACACATCCTTCCACAGTGGGGACATTGGTTTCTGAGCGGGAGTTGATCACGGTGTGGATTTGCCAAGCGTGCCTTCCTCTTAGCATGTTTCGCCCTTGCATCCTGAGTTTGAGCGTCTTCAAAGCCCATGACACTTTTGGTAAAGGCTGTTCTCCAATTGGAGCACTCGCAGGCAAGTGTTTCTGATATTTTCTGATATTGAGGTACTATTGAGTAAAAGCTAGGTTGAATACAACCTCTAATATCTTATCTCTTGCAATGGTAACACACAGGGTTCATCCACATGCCTGTTTGCCCTCCCTGGGGAAGCCCATGGTTTCGTGCTGAATCGGAACAAACAGCAGTTGGATTTCCCACAGATTGCTGTCTGTTCCAATTTAGCACTAGAGAGCGAGTTTTCCAGGGGAAAGTGATGAGGCAAAGGCAAAACCGCCAAGACCTGGGGCAAACCACACAAGCCCGTGCTTTCTAGGTGTGGGGCAAGCAGAAGTGTGGATGAGCCCTCTGTATCCTAAGCCCAGTGAGGGGTGGAGGTATCCCAGGCTGCCACATGTCACTCCTAAGGTCAGAAAACAGAGGAGAATGACAGGATGGTGAAAGCAACATATTTGCTCTCCTTCTGGCAACTGTCATGTGCACTTAGAGCAAGAAAGGGGAAGTTGCAACCCTCAAGACATTGCTAGACTACAGTTCTCATCATCCCTGACCATTGGCCATAGCTGGGAGTTGGAACCCAACAACGTATGGGAGCTACATATTCTCCTCCCCAGACCTGCAGTAGATGATCAACACAAAGGTAGAAAAGGCACATTACTTCACCTTTGCTGATGCTGAACCCCCACATTGTCATCTTCTGAGCCTGGTGAGGCACCAGTAATGCTCAGAATTGCATTTCAGGCTCTCAGTTGCCTGCTTCTATTTCTCAGTGAAGGAGTGTAGTAAAGGATGGCTAAATCGGTCAATTTTTGCTTCTCTCGCTTTCTCATTTTTCTATTCTTAAGTTCAGTTCATCACATTTCTGCATCCTTACAAAAACCAGTCAGCATTTTGGGGTGCATTTTCCCTAATTTCTGCACACAATTTTGCCCAAGATAATGCCTTTCTGTATATTATTTTCACTAATATATGTACTCACACACACATTATTTGACTGGAGAACGGCACAGCAAATTTTGTGAGAACTGTCTCTTGAAGTATAGCTGTGTTTTGGTCCAACGCATTGTTTCAGAAACTGCAAATTAAGTATCTTCGTATTAAAATGTGAAATGAGCTGGATTTCCCCCCACCCCTAAGTGCTGAAGCCCTTGCTCTCCCCACACAGAGACAGCTAAATCGCCCTCTCCTTTGTCTTGCAGTCTTTCTATCTGCTGCACCCTCATTTTCCATTTCGAAATGTGCTTTTTCCTTCCATATCAATTACATCCTAAGTGCTATACTTCTCAGGCTGACAAAGGGTGAATGTGATGACTTGCACTGTTTTGCTGATGGGTATTTTTAAATATGCATTTCCTTTATTGAAAGATGCTTTCCACCGAAACTGTTGCTGCCAAGGTAGATATTTCCATGTCAGTGATCTTTCGGAACAGACATTGTGTACTCTTTGGAGCCTTCACAATAAATAGACAGGATTGTGAGACTGGCCCTTAAGGAACATCGATACCATTTATTTATTTAACTGTATTTAACTTCTATTTGTTTGTTTGTTTAATTTATATTCCACCTTTTATCCAAGGTGCTCAAGGTGACATACATGATTCTCCCCTTCCTCATTTATTTCAGAACAATTACATAGTCTTCTTCTTCTTTGGCGATCACTCAAGCCGAGTAAGATTGTCTTCCATAAACACGGTTTTAACAATGAGTCCGTAAGTGACTGTGAAGGCCAATTCTGGATCCACACGTCCTTCCACAGTGGGGACATTGGTTTCTGGGCGGGAGTTGATCACAGTGTAGATTTGCCAAGTGTGCCTTCCTCTTAGCACATTTCTTTCTTTTTTTTTTTAAATGATATTTATTCAAAGTTTAGGATTACAAAAAAAGAAAGGAAAAACCATACAAAATAAAATAAACATATAACAAAAAACAAACAATAAAAAAGACTTAACAAAAAATATAAAGATACATTGCATTAAAATAAAGCAAAAAACAAATTAAACCTTTACCTAACCTTTTTTCCCTTTACTTATTTCCATGACCTCCTCTCACCTCCCAACTTTGTATTCTAGTTCGAATCGTATTTCCAGCAGATCCTTCTAGCCTTCTTTTCATTTACTTATTTTAACGTTCAATAATGTAATTAATCCTCCTCTATTTCATCAATTTCCATACCTCATTTTTACTTAATCCATTATATCATATCTGCCAAAACGACCTAATATTCTTTTTCCAACCTCTTTCTAACATTCTTTTATATTACAATATTTTTGAAGATATATTTTAAATTTTTTCCAGTCTTCTTCCATCGACCCTTCTCCCTGGTCTCGAATTCTGCCGGTCATCTCAGCCAATTCCATATAGTCCACCTCTTAGCACATTTCTCCCTTGTGTCCTGAGTTTGAGTGTCTTCAAAGCCCATGTCACCTTTGGTCAAGACTGTTCTCCAATTGGAGCGCTCGCAGGCAAGTGTTTCCCAATTGTTGGTGTTTATACTACACTTTATAAAATTTGCCTTGAGACAATCTTTAAACCTCTTTTGTTGACCACCAGCATTGCACTTTCCATTTTTAAGTTCAGAATAGAGTAGTTGCTTTGGAAGACAATAATCGGGCATCCCCACAACATGACCAGCCCAACGAAGTTGATGTTGAAGAATCATTGCTTCAACACTGGCGATCTTTGCTTCTTCCAGTACCCTTCCTCATTTATTTCAGAACAATTACCGTACATATTACAGTAATACTAACGACGGATCACTGGAATGCTTTCCAGCCTTAGACAAGACATTTTTATGATCTGTTTCCATTCTTGGGCAGTTGCTCATCAGTCAGGAAAATTGTTTGCGGTTCTTATTTCCTCTTCTTCTTCTTCTTCTTCCTCCTCCTCCACCACTTTTACTGGATAACTCAGGGAAGAAAATATTGATAACAAAGGGCAAAGAGAGTATCTGGCTTTCTGGGTACATCCCTCTGGGGGAAGTTTCCCCCTTAGGCAAACAGGAAGAAGTGAATGCAGAAATGGAGGGGAGGGGGAAAAATTCACATTGAACAGAATTGATCTGGGTGTTCAGGAAAGGTTCAGAGGATCTCACCTACTAAAAATATCCAGCAGGGAGTTATTTTTAAAAAGAAATGCATCTGAGGGTGCTTATGCTCACACACAGAACATAGCTCCTCATTTATGCAGAGTATTATCTTTGAAAACCTGTCCTGTTTATATCGGGAGTCCCATGGCAACCCGAGATTATTAAAGGGACCACAGTATGGTTCCTGACAACACATGCTACTTTGTCTGTAGGGAAGGAAAGCTGGAGCTGCTGGAGAGACAGGAAATACCTGAGCACTTTAAAGGAGTTGGGGGCGGTGGGGGAGAAGGGGACAGGATGAGGCTAGAATGTTTAACTTAAGATGGTCTCACCTTAACATAATGGCTACAACTGAAACTGCCTTCCCAGGCCTTTAAAAACCCGCATAAGGCAGAACAATCTCAGCAGGTGAAACTTTCTCCCATCACTGTGTCTGCATGTTAAAAATATATATATTTAAAAACCAGCTATTGAATTTCTGGATCAAAAGCCAGGATGGCTAAACGGAGCTTCATTGGTAAGACACCTCTGAATATCAATGGGGTGAGGTGATCAGATCACCATTACACTCTGTTTGACCAAAATAGGAAACAGAAAATAGGACTGGTTTGTGTTTCTGGTTTGTTGTTTGCCATACAGTGGTACCTCCTGTTAAGAACTTAATTCGTTCCGGAGGTCCATTCTTAAGCCGAAACCATTCATCACCAGAGGCACGCTTTCACTAATGGCGCCTCCCGCTGCTGCCGCGTGACTTCCGCTCGCATCCCGGGGTGGAGTTCACAACCAGGAGCATCTACTTCCAGGTTAGCGGAGCTCGTAACCCAAAGCGTTTGCAAGGAGGACAGTGCGTAACATGAGGTTCCACTGTAGTTTAGTGGTATCTTCTGCTGGTCTATGACCATAATAAAGATTTGGATTGGATTAGATGGTTTGTTTTAGCATCATGTCTGAACTCGTTTGTCTCTCCCCGTCAAACCAAGAGCAGTAAACCGAGAACCAAACCTTGGTTACAGCTTGTGGCTTGTTGGGAGCAAGAGACAAACTGCAAGTCTGGGTTTAGATGACACACTGAGAAATGGTCCTTGTAGATTTGGTACCCAGGCCTTTAATTTAGCGCAAGTAACATCTGTCTAAAGGGACGTGGGTGGCGCTGTGGGTTAAACCACAGAGCCTAGGACTTGCTGATCAGAAGGTCAGCGGTTCGAATCCCCATGACGGGGTGAGTACCCGTTGCTCGGTCCCTGCTCCTGCCAACCTAGCAGTTCAAAAGCACGTCAAAGTGCAAGTAGATCAAAAGGTACCGCTCTGGCAGGAAGGTAAACAGCGTTTCCATGCGCTGCTCTGGTTCACCAGAAGCGGCTTAGTCATGCTGGCCACATGACCCGGAAGCTGTACGCTGGCTCCCTCGGCCAATAAAGCGCCGCAACCCCAGAGTCGGTCATGACTGGACCTAATGGTCAGGGGTCCCTTTACCTTTACCTAACATCGGTCTGATTCTTCTCACTGGTTTCTAATAGGAAGAAAGTTTCTGCTGTTTGTAAAACAGGCATTATTATGCTGAAGGTGCAAAATGGGAGTGCTTCCACATGAGGAAGTGGAATAAATGCCAGGTCATACAACTATCATCATGAGTGTTAAGGTAAGTAAACTGCAGGATGTATAAATTTTTATTACGTCTGCAAAGACCTGTGAATACACTGCTGCTTTTCTTTAAAAACACGTAGTTTAGAAAGTTCAGCCTTGTTAACTGCTTCCACATTAACAGCACCTGCTAATGTGTTGGCAGGATTGATCCCCAAACATCAGCTCTGCTGTGGGACTAAAGAGCAGCAAAGGCTTGTCAAGCGTCTACCGGCAATTGTTGTCCAGGAGTCTGCAAGTCTCAAACACCCATCATTCACTGCCTAGGAAAACCAATTCCAAAACCAGTTCCTTTACACAGGTTCCTGTTCCCCACCTCGCCAATATCTAACCAAGCACTTTTTTTCTCTCTGCAGAGAGTAAAGCACTCCCTTCTATTGCATAATGTGCCTTGGCAAATTTACGGGACACTAAATATAACCTCACTCATCTTCTAGTGCTCTCCAAAGCCCAAAGAAAGAGAAAAGGAGAAAGAGCTATTAATAATGTCTGACCCTCATAGTTTCTCTTCATGTTTAGATCCCTTCTTTCTGGTTCTTATTAAGGGTGACACATAGCATGACTCTGACCTCCAGCAGCTGCCAGGGCTCGGACATGGGGGAGCAGCCGGATTGGCCCCAGATAACCACTACCATCCAAAGTGTCAGAGAAAGGGTCATAAGCTCAATGGCAGGACATCTGTTTTTCAGGCACATCTCCAGTTCAATCCCCAGCATCTCCCGATAGGAATTGGTAAAAACCATGTCCCGTTCTGCCTCTCCAGGTGTGTGCTGTTACTCTGCCTGCCCCATTGGCCCCTGAGAAGGCAGTAATGACTCCTCCGTCATCCAGGCCTGGGAGACACCAGTGCAGGCGTCAACAGACATGACTGGTGCAGGCGCCATGGAAAAGTGGTAGGTTGCTTGCTCAGTCTAAGTAAGGATTGGGACCGCTTGCTGGGCTAAGTTCTGCCCAGGGGTTGCAAGGGGTGTGTCATTGTTGGGTCAACTGCATCTTTGCTTGTAGCACCCGCTGTGCCTTTGACCAACGTTTTGCCTGTACATTGCACCGATCTGAGCATTAAAGGTTTTGTTGGAAACCGTAACCTGAGTTTGAGTTCTTCATTGAGCAGGAGCCGGGGCAATTCAAAAAGGTAGGATATAATAATAATAATAATAATAATAATAATAATAATAATAATTTTTTATTTGTACCCCGCCCATCTGGCTGGGTTTCCCCAGCCACTCTGGGTGGCTTCCACAGAAACCAAAAATACAGTAAAATATCACAGATTAAAAACTTCCCTGAACAGGGCTGCCTTAAGATGTCTTCTGAATGTCAGGGAGTTGTTTATCGCTTTGACATCTGATGGGAGGGCGTTCCACAGGGCGGGCGCCACTACCTAGAAGGCCCTCTTCCTGGTTCCCTGTAGCTTTGCTTCTCACAATGAGGGAACCGCCAGAAGGCCCTCAGCGTTGGACCTCAGTGTCCGGGCAGAACGATGGGGGTGGAGACGCTCCTTCAGGTATACTGGGCCGAGCCCATTTAGGGCTTTAAAGGTCAACACCAGCACTTTGAATTGTGCTCGGAAACGTACTGGGAGCCAATGTAGGTCTTTCAAGACAGGTGTTTTGTGGTCTCGGCGGCCGCCCCCAGTCACCAGTCTAGCTACCGCATTCTGGATTAGTTGTAGTTTCTGGGTCACCTTCAAAGGTAGCCCCACGTAGAGCGCATTGCAGTAGTCCAAGCGGGAGAAAACTAGATATTAAAAGTGCAGTGAAACCAACAATCCATGTTTTGCTAGGTAGGCACATGATAGGAGCTGAAGGCCACAGAGTTTTCCTGTAAGCTTGCTAGACGCTGCCAATGTGCCCTGAGTAGCTATACATTCTCCTACCTGCCTGGGGACACCTTCGTAGTCTTTCCACCTCTTTCTGCTCTGCCAGCAATGTGAGGACATCTGCTTAGTCTGAGCACGGAGATCAAATTTTAAGCTAGACTTAGGTATGTCTTTGTAACTGAGTGGCCATTTTAAGTCTGTCTGAACAAAGCTGCTGCATCTGTTACTCTGCAACAAGTATTCTGAGTGAGTAAATTTTTACCTTTCACAAGACCATTTCTGTGATCGTTGTTTTAAGGGAGAGAAAAGGGGGACAAAACAGGAAAACCCAGTCTCCCTTAAAGCACCCTGGATTAATGAAAAGGCTAAAACTAGCCTACCTAAGCTTCCCTTTTAAGCTGCAAAGGGATGGCACTTTGCTGAACTCACAAACATGAGGGAGGAAGGATAATATCTAATAAATATATCCTCTCCTAACATCTACACACAGCCCAACAAAAAAGTGACATGAAATGTAATGTGATGCAAGGGAAGCAACCTTGTTGTCTTTCATAGCCCTAGTTTGACGAAGAGTTCAGGAGGACTTCGGCTCACTATTTTGTGACGTTTTGCTTGGGCCTCCGGCTCCTGCAGACAACCTATCATTGAGGATTAATCCTGATTTGTTTACACAAATCTTATGCAGAGGTTAGACTACAGCCAGTCATTACTGAACATTTTGTACTGATTTGTTTGCAGAGAGGTTGTGCGACAATGAGTATCTGATTGTGTTTGTGCATTGTCCCACTACTCATCTGTTCATTCCACATTTTCAATGATTTCCCCCATCACTTTCCAAACTGCAAAATCTTGTTTCTTTTGAAAAAATGGTTTGTTTTTTGCACTAGGGGGCGACAGAGCACTTTAATCCAATTTTATCAAATCCCTCCCTCAAAATACTGCCCTAGAGGCAGTACCCCTAATAACGCGGAGGGCGGGAGGGGACCCCGTGGCCCTTCCAATACTGCTGGACTACAGTTCCCAGCACCCCTGACCATTAGGCATGCTGGCCAGGGCTGATGGGAGCTGGGAATCCAAGCACAGCTGAAGGACCACAGGCTCACTGGTTCCTCATTAGAAGGAATGTCCCCACTGTGGATTTTGGATAAATAAATAAATAGCACCCTGCCCAGTAGGCAGACCAAGCATGTGTTTAGGGCACCAGCAAAGCAGGGACACACCCTCTACAAACGCGAATTTTATTTTGAAACAGTTATATATATATATAGCATTAAAGTAATCGTCGTGGGAAAAATCAGAACTTTCTTAGACTTCCTTACACTCCACAGTCTTCCTCATTTTTCTGTTCTATTTTTATTACTTCTCCCCACCCAACCAGGGGGCGTCCTATTAACGCAGATGGAAGCAATGCAAAAAACAACAACCCAGATTATGTCGTAAATCGCAAGAAATGCATGTCTTATTTAATATTTTTGTTTTTAATTGTGTTACGGTTTAGTATTGCTTTAAATTCTGAATTTCATATGGGTGGGCACCATCATCTTTCCAGCGCTCGGGGCCTCTGCAGGTCCTAATCCTTCCCTGGCCACGGGTGTGTCACTAACTGGGGAAGGGGGGGAGAGATTTTGTGGGAAACGGGATGTTGTGTTAAGTGTGTTCCGTAATCTCGTTTAATCCTGCCAAAGCGAGTCCCCGCCCCGAAATCCCACTGATTTAAACGGGACTCCGTCGCTGGAACCAAAGGAACCTCCCGGCGTGGCCAAATTATTCCATCCTTCCTTGGGGTTGCTTTAAAAAAAAAAATTAAAACCCTTTTCCTCCCTTATTTCAAAGCAGCAGCAGCAACAACAACAACAGTGCCGTTTGTGCAATTCACCGGGAAGGAAAAGATGAAGAAATTGCGCTAGCGGCCCCGAGGAGGAGGAGGAGGAGCTGGAGACGTCCCAAAGCGAGCCAACCAAAAGACAAGTGTCGGGGCAGAAGGAAGTGACTTCCGCGCCTTCGGGTTTTCTGGAGATTACGGTAAACGCGTCTCAGTCACGTGTAATTACTGGAAGGGGGCAAAAGATGAACCCGGAGTGGCAGGAGAAAATGCGCCCTTGAGTTCCGACGAGACGGTTCCACCTTAAAAGCCACCCTGGGAAAGGGGAGCGCAGGATTCCCCCGGAGGGAAGCCCACCCAGAGTTTGCCTGGGTCATTTTAAAGAAAAAAACCCGTAGGAGCGAGAAAGTGAGGAGGAGGAGGGGAGAGAACTCACCCAGCCTCCCACGCCCCCCCTCCAGTCCCCTCCCTCGGCTCGGGGCGCGCGCACCGCGCATCGTGTCCGGTCCGGGGGTCTCCCGGGTCCCACCCCGTCCTCTTCTTCCTCCTCCTCCAGCAGCATGGGGATGTGCTACAGCCTCCGGCCCGGCGGGGACCACCTGCCCATCCCCTCCTACGGCAACGTGGAAGTGGAGGTGCTGGACCGCGGCGAGTGTCCGGCGGCGATAGCGGTCAAGCTGAAGCAGGACATCAAGGCCAAAGAGAAAGCGGACATCAAGAGGAGCAAAAGCATCGACAAGTCGCTCAAAGCCGAGAAGAGGCAATACAAGCAGACGCACCGGCTGCTTTTGTTGGGTAAGTTCGGGGGGTTCTTGGCGGTGTCAACGTGCCTGTGTGTGTCTGTCTGCGGGGCGCGGTGGGCGAGATTTTTTATTTTCCCCTGCAAGGCTGCAAATGTGGTGTCTGCCAGCAGCAAGCCTTCCCTGTTTATGTTTTTTTGCAAGAGAATCGGCGTCTTGTTCCCTCGCTTGGCGTGTCCGAGCTTTGAAAGGCTGTGTTCATAAGCGGCGGCAGCAAGCTCCCTCTACGGTCTGTATTTGGGTTTCACACTCCTAATCTGTTGTGTTTGGGTTCCTCCCCGCCTCCCCCAGCCACCCCTTCGGCGCCGTTTGGCAGAAAAGTTCTGGCTTGGAGGTTTTGTGCAAAAAGTCCTTTGGGTTGCTCTTGTTGCTGTTGTCTTTTGTTGTGGTCGACGTGGAGTTAGTGCTGCTGCTAGTCTTTAAACCCCCACCCCCAAAGAAACCCCCTCAACCTCAAGATCAATGCATAGATCCCGAAGGAGCTGTCTTCTCCTTGTGGCTGAAAGTTTGGAGCCAGATGGTCCGCTGTTGCAACATGGTTATTCCCACCCCCCTTCAAATGATTAGTAATCTCTGCATATATATATATATTAAAAGCTGGATTTAGTAACGCAGCCGGATGATGACAGATATGCGAGGATAACTGTAGTTGTTGCTGCTTTTAAAAACCTGAGTTTTCTCTGTCTTTTTCTGTAATGGGCTTAAACTGAGAGCCAAGAAACACTTTCCTATTGACTCTCCTTTTGCAAAAAAGAAAGAAAGAAAAAAGAGTTTTGAGTGTCTGCATGAGAAACATGCTCTAGTTAGGTGTGCCGGCAAATCAGAGCACTGAGAGGGGGTGTCTATATGGTTGTTGTTGTTGTTATTAAATCCACAGATGCCACAAACTTGTATTAGTAGGTTCATGTGGCTGGGGGTGAAGCTGTGGCGTCTACAACTCAGGATATGATATCGTTGTTGAGACAAAGGATAAGGGGGGTGAAATATTATAAAGCACTTTGTACTAATTTTACATTTAGTATTTAATGTGTTCTGAACCACAACAGTTGCCTACAAGAAGGGGAATTAAGCTTAATCGCTTTCATTATTTCCCAGACAGAAACAAAGGCTGATTCATGGTTGGTGTGGTTTGATAAGTGGGAGGAAGCTGCAATTATTATTTTTTTAAGATACAGGTTTAGTTCTGGGGGTTTCCAGAATAAGAGAGTGGAGTTTAGAACAGGAGTGACATTGTAATATTCACAACCAGAATCGCGGGCCCTGTGATGAAAATCGGGGCATTTCTGTGTACATATTGCAACCACATTAAGGATCGCTGCCCCCAAATCCACATTGCTGAAGTCTGTGCATTGTATTCATTTTCATCCCTGCTATAAACTATATTAGTGTTGTTGTTGTTGTTTAGTCGTTTAGTCATGTCCAACTCTTCGTGACCCCATGGACCAGAGCATGCCAGGCACTCCTGTCTTCCACTGCCTCCCGCAGTTTGGTCAAACTCATGTTTGTGGCTTCGAGAACACTGTCCAACCATCTCGTCCTCTGTCGTCCCCTTCTCCTTGTGCCCTCCATCTTTCCCAACATCAGGGTCTTTTCCAGGGAGTCTTCTCTTCTCATGAGGTGGCCAAAGTATTGGAGCCTCAGCTTCACGATCTGTCCTTCCAGTGAGCACTCAGGGCTAATTTCCTTAAGAATGGATGCGTTTGATCTTTTTGCAGTCCATGGGACTCTCAAGAGTCTCCTCCAGCACCATAATTCAAAAGCATCAATTCTTAGTAAGTGGGTCTAATTCAGTCTTTCCCCAAATATGGGTTGCATACATGATTCTTCCCTTTCCTGTTCTCACAGCAACCCTGAAAGGTAGGTTAGGCTTAGTAAAGGTGACAAGGTTTCCCAGTGAGCTTCACGGCTGAGTGGGGTTTGAACTCTGTTCTCCTGCGCCCGTGTCTCTAACCACTACACTATGCTGGGTCTCTCTCCAACTATATAAAAGCAAACCAGTAAAATTCTCAGCAGAACATACAAATTAACCATCCAAGGACTAGGAGAAGAGGAAGGTCTTTACCTGGCACTGAAAAGACAGATATACATAGCTGCCCCATAGCTGAAGTACTCTAGGAAGCCAGTGCAGTGTAGTGGATAGTGTCTGACTAGCCACAACCTCTTAACCTACCTCACAGGGTTGTTGTAGGGATTAACCGAGGATGAGGGGATGAACCATGTACTCCTTGAAGAGGAATAGAAATGTGATAAATAAGCTCTTCTGCTTACCTGCTTGAGAAAGCTGAAGGGGCCAGCCAGGTGAAGATGTCAGTCACCAACCTGGCTTCCAGAGATCTCCATGTGGTCACAATGGGACCCATGGTGGTCGCAAAACGCGCCTGGCGCCTGGCTAATTGCTAACGCTGATCCTATCATTGCATGGATTTCCACTTGTGCAGCAGAATGTCTTCCACTTTTCTACCCCGTGTGCCCCTAAATCTGTTCTTGGGACTCCCCTCAACCCTCTGGAGCAGATTTTGGGAAGTGCACATGCGGAGGGAGGAAAAGGGAGGAAAGTCCTGTTTTGCCAGGGATCCTCCTTTCGCCGATAGGCTGCTTACGTATCGGGGGGAAGCCGGAGCGCATGGAGTCGTGATGGTGGCTGAGGCCTGGGGGCACAGGTTCGTTTTATGATGCCCTGTCTGGAATGCGGCGGGGATGACTGCCACAAGGTATCAGCTGATTCAGGATAGCGGCTAAAAATATTGCGAGCTTAAGGCTGTCTTGGCAAAAAAATAAGATTAAAAATCAAGATAATGTATTTTGAGATGCTAAAAAGGAAAATAGATGGGATTGTGAATTGTGTTCTGTGCGCTGTGCAAATCATTGGCCTTGGTAGCGAGGGTGATGGGAACGGTCATCCAATAAATTCCAGAGGCCTGTCCCTAGCTTCATGGAACAAAGTGTATTTCTTCCATTCAGGTTTTGTTTGGCAAAGTTATGGTTATTTGGCATGCTGGCTTCTGAATCAAAAGGGTTACTGGGAACGTGGCAAAGGAAAATGGCGTCCTCCTCTTGATTAGGAAGTGTGTCGATTAGGAAGTGTGAAGAGGTTGTGGGGTTCGAACCCACAACCCTGAGATTAAGAGACTCATACCCTACCAGCTAGGGACGCGGGTGGCTCTGTGGGTTAAACCACAGAGCCTAGGACTTGCTGATCAGAAGGTCGGCGGTTCAAATCCCCGGGACGGGGTGGGCTCCCGTTGCTCGGTCTCTGCTCCTGCCAACCTAGCAGTTCGAAAGCACGTCAAAGTGCAAGTAGATAAATAGGTACTGCTCTGGCAGGAAGGTAAACGGCATTTCCGTATGCTGCTCTGGTTCGCCAGAAGCAGCTTAATCATGCTGGCCACATGACCCAGAAGCTGTACGCCGGCTCCCTCAGCCAATAAAGCGAGATGAGCGCCACAACCCCAGAGTCGGCCACAACTGGACCCTAATGGTCTGGGGTCCCTTTACCTTTTACCCTACCAGCTGAGCTAGTGCTTTTGCCTGGCTGGAATTTGTCTTTGCATGCCTAGATGGAGGAAAAGAGCAGAGTAGTCTTCTGTGCAAATGAAAGATTGCATATGTTTCTCCACTTAGCTTAGCCTCTGGCTCTGCTCACCACTGACACCAGAAGATTGCCCTCCCGCCTTTGAATTACTCTGCACGGTTGTCCCTTCTGAGGAACCTTACAGCTACTTAAAGTTTTGCTAGAACCTCTGCTCTGCATCACAGCGCCGACGCAGACCCCATGTTCCATGCGTGGAACATTCTTTTCTTCTCGGTTGCAACTGACTGTTTTGCCGTGGGCTGCCACTGGCCCTTCCAGCAAACTCTATAAAACAAGGGTGCTAAGGGCCACATTCACCCCATATATTTAAAGCACTATGATTCCAAACGCTTTGCAAGAGTTACCAGAAACCCCAGACTTGGCTGTGGCTTATCTCCTGCAGGCCACGGTGAAACGCAGGAGACCACTCCTCCTTGTCCTCCCTTCCTCGGGACAGAGCATTATGACTGTCTCACTCCTCTGTCCTATCTTTACCTTTCTCGCTTCTCTTATTTTGCCAGCCAAACCCTGTTGGCCATACACATTTCAGGTTTCTCCTGCTCTAGTTTTCCTCCAGCCATCAACCTCTGCTCCATACAAGGCAACTTCTCCTCTGTCTCTGCAATAGGAACTGTTTAAGCCTGTAGTCCAGGCAACACGGTTTGGGTAGCCTGCTTAACCTGTAGCGGCTAACAGTCTTGCTATTTTATTATTTCTTCTTCTTCTTTATTTATTGAATTTATATACTGCCCTATACCCGGAGGTCTCAGGGCGGTTCACAGAAAATATCATAAAATATAAAATCGAAATAAGAATAATAACCTGATACCACCCCCCAAACAAGAGCCACATTTTAAAAGGGTATAGGATGTCCATCAGGTCCATCCAAAGGCCTGGTTAAAAAGGAATGTCTTTGCCTGGTGCCTAAAGGTGTATAATGAAGGCACCAGGCAAGCGTCCCTGGGGAGAGCATTCCACAGACGGGGAGCCACTGCAGAGAAGGCCCTGCTCTTGCGTTGCCACCCTCTGGACCTCTTGAGGAGGAGGCACACGAAGAAGGGCCTCAGAAGATGATCTCAGGGTCCGGATAGGTTCATATGGGAAGAGGCGGTCTTTCCATTTCTGTATGGTCTTTATACTTCTGTATTACAAAGGCCAGGGTGCTGAATCTCTTCATTTTATGCTCACAACAGCCTTGTAAGGTAGGTTAGGCTGAGCAAGAAGGAGTGCTCCACAATCATCCAGTGAGCTTCATGGTTGGGTGGAGTTTTAAACCGTAATCTCAGTCGTAGTCCAATGCTGAAGTGGGGAACCTGTGGTTCTGCAGGAGCTGTGGGACTCCCATTTCCCCTCAGTTCCAGCAACAAGCATGGACAATTATCAGGGATAATATATTAATTTCAGATATGTATATCATTCAGCATTTCTAATGCAAGTTAGATTCAGAGTTGAAGACCAGCCAGCATCATGTCATGGAAGGTTGGACACAGAATAATGGTAGGAGAACCAGCTGCGGAACCCCCAAGGCGAGACGTCTCAGAGCCCAGGGAGTGGCGATGTAAAAGCTACCGGTACTTGCAGAAATCTAATGGGATACAGTGGAATTGATTCAGTTGATTTGTATGCCACTTTCCCACAATGAGCTGTGCAGACATTCAAAACATAAAAATGCAGAGCATTGAAAAATGCAGATGCAAATACAAATACACAAAATACAGAACATACCAGTACATTTTTTAAAAAATGACAAAAATCTTTAGCACTCGTTTCTGTGTTAACTGGTTCCAGAAATAATCCGTTTGCAACTCCATTAACCAGAATATCACAAGAGTAAATTGATGAAATTTGGGGTGGTATACAATTTTTTTCTTGCTGTTTTCATGAGGGATCAGAAGCGTCCATGTGCAGAAAGAGTGGGAAAGTAGGGATGCTGCCCAGCGATGTTCATTGTTGGCCACTGGTGTGAATGAAATTTAGTGTGACACGCTGGTAATATTGGTAAAAAAAGCCACAGCTTCATAATGCAACAGGTACTGCAATATGAAAGAAATGTTAGCAAACAGGACGGAAAAACTAGCATTGTAACCAGGAAATCTAATTCAGTATTTCCCACATCTGAATGTACCCCTTGTGGAGTGACTCTTTGATAAACCCATTAATATGTCCGGAAGAGGAACTGGTATTGAGGTTGAGTGCAGACAGTGAGCCAGGAAAGCCGTAGTTTGTACCTCAGGCAGGAGCTCTCTCTAAATGGTAAGCAACTTCCCTCAGCCTCAGAGCACCCCTCCCACTTCTGCAATGTGGGGGCCGCAGCAGCGTCCCACTTTGTAAAGCTGCCGTAAAAGGTTGCTGAGATAATGTTTGGTGAAGTGTTCTGAGAACTCGGGAAAATGTCATTCTAAATGCTAAGCATTATTTGGATTAATCTATCTTCGAGGGAAAGATCCGAAAGGGAAGTACAGAAAAGGGGAAGCCAAACGAGGAGGAGACCAAGCATGTTGAAATTACTCCTCACTGTGTTTTCTGCTGTAATAAAAAGCAGAAGAATGTGTGGGCTTGTGTTTATGTAGCACAGATCAACTCATTTGAGCGATCCATAAAATGCAGCTTGTAGCTTTCCCTGATTTACCAGTATGTGTGAGAATGCTGGTCTAGACGGGTCATCTGTCTGACCCAGCAGGGCTCTGTTTTCATGTTCTTATGATTCAGACACATCTTGTCCAATAGTTTCAGTGTGTTCAGCCAGGGCTGCTTCTTCAGAAATATTCTGGTTCAGTGCTACCAGCATGAAGAATGGCCCATAACTTTCATGTAGATGCGTTTTAGGAATGGATTAGTCATGTGTTATCAGCCCAGTTCATGCATGCTCCTTCCTGCTCCTTCCATGTTATTCTCTCCCTGCTTAAAAAGCCACATCTGTGGACTGAATTCTGTAATCGACTTAAGAAGCTAACTTGTAAGGAACTCTGAGGGGTCTGAGTTGCAGGATGGGAATGTGGTTTACATTTGGAGCTTTTTTTTGAAACAATTTGTTTCTATTTACTTAAACCCGTCTGTGGTTTGAAATTCTTCCTCGGTTTCTTCTTCTTTGCTCCATCTGGCAATTCCCTGCTCTGTGGGATCCACATAGCTAATTAAAAAGAAATAAGTGGCTCTTGTGTCTTATCAGCATCATCAGATTGCTTCAAGGTAATCAGCTGTCTCGGGTCATTTGGCGAGTGACTTTGGAAAGCACGCTGAAAATCAGTGGCCACAGGTCAGGGGTGATGAGAGCCGGGGTCCAAAGACATCCAGAGGGAATCGTAGAATTGGAAGGAACCACAAGGGTCATCTAGTCCAACCCTGCAGTGCAGGAATCTTTTGCCCAATGTTGGGCTCAAAGCCACAAATCTGAGATTAAGAATCTCATGCTGTACTGTACTAACTGAGCTCATAGCTTTCTTCCTCCGGGTTTAGGGTCAATGCCAGTTCTGTGCTTTCTCAGATTAGAATGCCAGTTCAGTGTATTGATTTAAGAATCCTTCCTTCTGAGAACCGGACGAGCACTGCTCAGAAGTTGAACAGAAAACTGCAAAATGATCCTTGAGGGGTAGGCAAAGAAAGAAAGAAGGCGAGGAGGTGAGAGCAGACCACACAGGTCTGGGGGAAAATACAAGGAATGCCATTCAGGAGCTATTTTGGGAGAGGTTTAGGGACTCCCTTTGGGTTTCCCCTGGATCTTTTAAAACCTGATTCAGCAGTTAATATTGGGTTTTCACTGGAGCAAGCAGCAGAGCAAAAGAAAAATAAGATTGATTCAGATTTCAATGAATATGGATCAAAGGAAAGTGTGGATGATCCCTAAGTCATTACAATCAGAGTGTGCTCACCCAGAGCAATAGCTCCCTGTGTTTTACTGAGCGGAAAATAGGTCTTTATTTTCCTTTCCTTTCCACCGAAATCATAGTACAGTCATACCTTGGAAGTCGAATGGAATCTGTTCCGGAAGTCGGTTCGACTTCCAAAACGGTCAGAAACCAAAGCGCGGCTTCTGATTGGCTGCAGGAAGCTCCTGCGGCCAATCGGAAGCCGTGGAAGCCCTGTCGGACGTTCGGGTTCTAAAGAATGGTTGCAAACTGGAACACTCAATTCCAGGTTTGCAGTATTTGAGGGCCAAAATGTCCGAGTACCAAGGCGTTTGGGATCCAAGGTATGACTGTACACACACACAACCACACACAGCACACATCAATCACTTAAATAAGAAGGCTGCCTTTCATCAGTGTTCCAATGGTGGATCAGGCGCATAAGTCAGTGTGGTGTAGTGGTTAAGAGCCAGTGTGGTGTAGTGGTTAAGAGCGGTGGACTCGTAATCTCGGGAACCGGGTTCGCTTCCTCGCTCCTCCACATGCAGCTGCTGGGTGACCTTGGGCCAGTCACACTTCTCTGAAGTCTCTTAGCCTCACTCACCTCACAGAGTGTTTGTTGTGGAGGAGGAAGGGAAAGGAGATTGTTAGCCGCTTTGAGACTCCTTAAAAGGAATAAAAGGCAGGATATCAAATCCAAACTCCATAAGTCGTGACTCAAGATCAGGTGCATAAGTCGTGACTCAAGTAAGAAACCCCAGTCAATAGAGGACAATTGGAATAAGAATCCACACAAGGCAAATCAAGGAGATCAGCCTCTGTGTGAAAACATAGGAACCCTTATTCTGACTCAGACCATTGTTTTCTGTGTAACTCAGCACTGTCCACACTGAGTAGCAATGGCTCTCTGGTATTTCCCGCATGGCTGTCTCCCAGTCTCACCTGGCTTGAGCCTGACACTTCCGGCTTGCAAGGCAGCTGCTTTGCCACATTGCTGCCACCGTTGCCCACACAGTTTCTCAGTGTTGCAGGTCGCCCTCCTTCCTACTTCACTGTGATCGGGGTCTCCTGGTGGTTCAGAAAAGGAGCAGCTTTCACAACAGTGCTTTCTTGCACTTATGAAACCACTTTAAAAAAAGGAAAAGATTTGTAATGTGGGTTCTTTGCGGTCCTTTTTATTGGCAGTGAGTTTGGGACCCACAGTCCTGCCTAGTCTGTCCAAAGCAGAGCTGAGAGCTATGAGGAAATGGATCAGAAATGAAAAGCGAGGTCATTATATACGTCTACGGTGAGTCGGCGTGTTCTAAATTTGGAGCATTGCAGGCAATTGCGTGTTTGCTGCGCCAAATGAAGAGCATTTAGTAGAGATGGGACAAAAATAGGGCAATTAGAATAGATTAGTTTGCACAAAAATGCTTAAGCTTCTAAAACCGGGGCAGGGAGCATGTGGCCTGGACTCCAGATCCCATCACCAGTGGCAGACTTGGGTACTATGACGCCCTGTGCAAGGCCAAAATTTGAAGTTCACCCAGTCTTCTCTCTGCCCTCCCAAAGGCAGGTAAAGAGGAGCCCGTCTGACAGAGTCTATGTTAAGTTGTGGGTGAACATATCAGACGACACAGCGATTCTTCAAACAGCTCTTGTTTATTCACAGGCCAGAACAGAACTGAACTGAAGGGTTCAGCCAGCCTGCTTATATAGAGCTCCAGTACAACGTAACTGTAACAACTTTCTGTGACTATCCAATCACTGAACGTCACTTTCGATCCCTTATTTGCATATGGGGACGTGAGTAAAAACTATCTACAGTACCCCCCTGCTGGCTCAGGGTGAGAACTTCAGTACATAACAGTCTTAAAGCCTTCTTCTCAAAGGTGGGAAAGCTCAGAATAGGACTCTAGGAGTCTATCTAATGTAAGATGTGCCATGAAGGGTATTTGCATAGTTCTAACATTTGAAGGGCCATAGCTCAGTGGCAGAGCATCTGCTTCTCATGTGCACAAAGTCACAGGTTCAATTCCTGCCATCTCCAGATAGGGCTGGGAATGCCCCACTCATCTGAAATAATAATAGTAATAATAATAATAATAATAATAATAATAATTTATTGAAACCCTGGAGTGCAGCTGCTAGTCAGTGAAGACTGTGCTGAGCTAGATGGGCCAGCTGAGTCGATATAAGCTGCCTTTCTCTGTTCCTGTACATGGGGGGAAATGCAACCTTTAAACTGATTTTTTGGAATAAAAGCAACATGGGTGAGGTTGATTAATTTGCCATTTAAATTTCTGTGGCATACTTGGAGTTCCTTAAGAGAGCTCTTGCCACGCTCTGTACCTTGGCACCCCCATGGGGAGGGGGGTCATTAGGAAGACCAATTTGGCTGGGCCTCTCAGTGTCCTACCTTTCGCACTAGGATTAAACCCACAATAGAATAGCCCAATAGATTGTAAGCTGCCACTACTCACCATAACTCAGCTAAAAGACCAGAGGCAGGTTCAGATTCCTCTTGAATCAAACTGCACCAGCTATGCTTTAAACCATGGGTAGGCAAGCTAAGGCCCGGGGGCCGGATCCAGCCCAATCGCCTTCTAAATCCAGCCCATGGACGGTTCAGGAATCATCATACTTTTACATGAGTAGAATATTTCCTTTTATTTAAAATGCATCTCTGGGTTATTTGGCGGGGGCTGCCTGGTGTTTTTACATGAGTAGAATGTGTGCTTTTATTTAAAATGCATCTCAGGGTTATTTGTGAGGCATAGGAATTCGTTCATATATTTTTTTTCCAAAATTAATCCGGCCCCCCACAAGGCCTGAGGCACAGTGGACCAGCCCCCTGCTGAAAAAGTTTGCTGACCCCTGTTTAAACCTTTGATTTGATTTATTGACAATATATACAGAACATGGTATTGCCATAGCTGTCAACCTTCCCTATTTTTGCAGGAAATTCCCTTATTCCAGCACCGTTTCCTGCCGCTTCCCGCTGCTATCCCGGATTGTTAGATATCCCGTAGACTGTCCCCGGGACAGGTGAGGCTGTTGATCCCTTATTTTCAAATCTGAAAGTTGACAGCTATGGGTATTGCCATCAGTTTAAATCAAAGGTGGTTCTAGCTTCTGAACTGGCTCTGACTACAGTGGTACCTCAGGTTAAGTACTTAATTCTTTCCGGAGGTCCTTTCTTAACCTGAAACTGTTCTTAACCTGAAGCACCACTTTAGCTAATGGGGCCTCCTGCTGCTGCCATGCCGCTGGAGCACGATTTCTGTTCTCATCCTGAAGCAAAGTTCTTAACCTGAAGCACTATTTCTGGGTTAGCGGAGTCTGTAACCTGAAGCATATGTAACCCGAGGTACCACTGTACTAGCATGTAGAGAGATAGCATCTCTTATGTACAAGCTGCAAGATTAGGTAAGCCTGGGATCAGAAACATCGCTTTCTGCCCTCCCTGACTGACTGAATGGCCCTCATATTGCAGATCTAGGCTAAACATTATTTTAGATATTTCCTGTGAAATTGACAAATCGCTTAAACCGCATCAGGATGTTGGCAGGCATGAGACAAAGGTCACAGAGGTCAGCCTTGATTACCCCTTAAGGAAGGGTTGACAGGGAGCAAAACCAGGCACCTCAGGGTGCAACAAAAAGTCAAACTCAAACATTTGAGGAGTTTAATTTAATCCGACACTTCCCAAGGCAACTCAAAACAATTTACAACCAGTAGGCCAAACAAGCAAAAAAACCACATAGATGTATTAAAAATAGGGGAGGGGACCCCTCAAAAACATCCCACCCACTTCTAAAAGGCCACAGATAGTTAAAGGTCAAAGGCCTGGTTATAAAGGAAAGTTTTTGCCCGGTGTTATGTACTGAAGTTCTTACCCTGGGCCAGCAGGGGGATACTGTAGATAGTTCAGGTCCACATATGCAAATAAGGGATCGAAAGTGACATTCAGTGATTGGATAGTTACAGAAAATGGTTACTGTTGCATTCTAGTGGAGCTCTATATAAGCAGGCTGGCTGAACCCTTCAGTTCAGTTCTGTTCTGGCCTGTGAATAAACAAGAGCTGTTTAACACCCGGCATCTTAAGATATATAATGAAGGTGCCAGGCAGGCCTCCCTAGGGAGAGCATTCCACAAATAGGGAGCCGCCACAGAAAAGGCCTGTTCTCGCGTTGCTGCCTTCTGGACCTCTCATGGGGGAGGCACACGAAGAAGGGCATCAGATGATGATCGCAGGGTCCAGGTCAGTTCCTATGCAAAGAAGCAGATATTGGATGAGTTTTGTTATTTTTGCATGGTTTATGCTGTAGTTTATTGCTTATTTCTTTTTGTGCTGTGAGCTTTTTAAAAAAGATGGGCAGTGCCCAGAAAAGTAGCTTCCTTATTTATTCATTTATTTACTCATAAGAGCATTTCTAAATTGCCAAGTCATTAAAAAAACAAAAACCCAAACTCATAAGACATCGTAAAGTTATGCAACTGTAAAATACCGAACAAATGACCCAACACTGAATCAAATTAATTGTCTAAAAATGCTTGGCGAAACAGATAAGTTTTCGGCAGAGTTGTGGGTGCCTGTGATTTCAGCGAGACTGAGAACAGTCTTCTAGAGTACTTGTTCCATTACACCAGAAACCTTAATTTGTACTAAACGCCTTCGTTTGTGTAGAAACTGAATCAATATGTGATAACTGTCAGACAGTCAGGAGATGATCACAGGGATCTGGTTGCTGAATAATCAGATCTGGCAAGGCAGTCCTTCAGGTAACGTGGTCCTGGGTAGTTTAGGGCTAGTTCTCTACACTAACAGTAGTACCTTGAATTTAGTTCAGCAACATACTGGCAGCCAGTATGTTGATACAGAGATGCTTCGCCCAAAAGCCAGTGTTATGTACTGAGTTGAAAAGGATCCAAAATGTAGCAGTCTGATTGGTCCTAGAACAATAGACTCCAGAATGCAGCAGTCTGATTGGTCCACAGGAGCCACCCAATCCAGCTCCAGGTGGAAGTGAATCCGTGACCTGATTGGCCTACAGGAGAATCCTGGAATTAGCCAATCACGTGGGGCCCATTGTGTAAATAATGTATATAAAGCAGACATTCTGGGGGAACTTCCAGTTCTCCTCACCACTATGAGCTGAATAAGGAGCATAAAATCCACTCTTGACTCCGAGTATATTTCAGCCAGACTGTAGCATTCTGCATTATAAAATAAATGTGATATTGCTGGTAACTCTTCCTTGAGTTTGGACAATGGGTGGCAGAATACTAGCAGTGAATTCCAGAACCTGCTTTTAGAATAAGGCGGTTTTTTAGAGCGTTTTTTGTTTATAGAGTGCTGCTAGATCAGTCCAAGGATCAAGGGTCACAGCTATTGGTTTGCGCGTTACCTCAACATTTGTGTGGCACAGTCCGCCAGCCATTTCTTCCTTGTTCTTTGTTCAGCTGAAATATATTCTCCCTGAGCCACCCACAATTGTAATGAGCAGATTGGGTTGTTACTTGTTGCTGTGCAACCATAATGTTTTAATATATGGCTGCTGAGTTTGTCGGTTTAGCATCTGCTTGCCCAATAGCCAAACTAGAGGTAGACAATCTGTCAACCCAGGTTATAGTCACATAGCAGGACTGGGAAATATGCAACAACAAAACTGGAATTAAAAAAATGTTTGAAGCCTATTTTAATGGGTTCTGCTGTGGATTAAAACCACAATTTTTTTCCTCAGTGTCCGTCTAAGCCCCCTTTACTTAAACTTCTGCTCTTGTTTAAAACAGATGCTTTTTCCTGTCAGTGACTCTCCATTCTCATTGAATTCAAGTTTTTTCCTTTTTTATTCCTAAGCTGCTTCATATGAGAGAGATCAAGAATGGGGAGCCCTCAAACATTCCATAGTACATTCATACAGTGAAGGCACTTTCCTCAAACTTCCACCATTGTTTTAACTCCCCACTTTTCCCCTCTCAATGTCCTGCCCATGCTATGGTCTCTATTGTTGCCTAACCTGGGTTCACTTTTGCTCCCTCAGCCCAAGGATTGTGATGAGGCGTTACAAATCCTCTGGGGGCTGCACGGTGATATCCTTACATTTATATAGGGAACAAGACAGGAGAACGTGTGACACAGTCTCTACATAGCCAGCTCCACAGGGGCAGAGCCGGTTCTCGAATGAAATTTTTTGATATCTACCTTCAAGAACAGCTGAGGGTAACATATTTAGTCTGGCCAATGTAAAGGCCCGCCTGAGTTTTGGAATAGTTAAGGTAGACAAATAAGGTGCCCGAAAATCAAAGTTGGAGGGGGGCAGATAAGCGTACCAAGCACTAAATTTCTTAATATAAACCAGATTATTCTGCTGCTCAATATCCTTCATGCGCTGGTCAATAATGGTTTTTGCCTTGGGGAGACCCATTTTCAGGAGATGCTGTGCTTGGAGGCCACATGTAAGTAGTTTTTGATGCACTAGTTTGGTCCACCGACTTCTATGAGCATCTCGTGCTACTAGAGGTAGTAGTCCGGATGGGTTTAAATTTAAGCGAAGCCAATAGTTGAATGTTCTTAACCAGGTTCGGGTTTCGACGGAGGGGAGGCCAGTCTCCAGCCGTAGGGCCGCATTTGGTGCGCATGGTGGAACGGCTAGAATCTGTCTTAAGAATTTAGACTGGACCGTTTCAAGTGTGCGGCAATGATTTCCCGTCCAGATTTGGGCCCCGTAGAGTAATTGCGCCAAGGGTTTTGCTTGGAAGACCTCCAGAGCTGCTGGGATATGTCTGCCCCCCTTCGTAAAGTAAAAGCGAGACAGTATTTTGGCGCTTTGAGATGCTTTTTCCCTAGCATATTTATGATGGGCCTCCCAGGTCCCAGATGACTGGAAAACTACTCCGAGGTATTTGAAAGTTTTGACCTGTTCTATTGGCTGATTGTCCATCTCCCATCTGTGATGTCTGTGTCTCCTAGCGAAGACCATGACTTTGGTTTTTTGATGATTAACCACCAGTTGATCTCTCCTGCAGTAGGCTGAGAATTCTCTTAGTAGCCTTTTGAGGCCTACTTTAGTTCGTGATAAGAGAACCGCGTCGTCCGCATAGAGGAGCGCTGAAATTGATTTTTCGGCCAGTTTGGGGGCATGAAACTCCGGGGATGTTAGGTATTTGACCATGTCATTTATATATAAGTTAAATAAGGCCAGGGCTAAAATACAGCCCTGCTTGACTCCTTTGGTGGCTGGTACAGGGCCAATTAGTTGCCCATTTACTGAGGTTCTTACATATAACTTGGAGTCTTTATAAAGGCTTTTTATCAAGAATAGTAATCTTTTGTCAATGTTGGTAGCATTGAGTTTAGCCCAAAGTTTGACTCGTGAGATCAAGTCAAAGGCCGCCTTCAGGTCAATAAAAGCTGCGTATAGAATCCCGCATGTTTTGTTGACATATTTGTCAATGAGGTGTGCTAATACGAAGCAATGGTCTATTGTTGTTCTGCCCTGTCTGAAGCCGGCTTGCTCCTCTGCCAGAACTGCCTCAGTTTCCATCCAGTCAATTAGTTTGATGTGGAGGTGTTTGGCATACAATTTGCTGGGGATAGTAAGGAGGCTAATGGGTCTATAGCTCGCTGGATCTGCCATAGGACCCTTTTTGTAGATTGGGATGATTACTGCCTCTGTCCAGCAATCAGGGATTATGCCTGTTGAGTCGATGTATGTAAATATTGACGCCATTATAGGAGCCCACCAACTGATATTGTTCTTCATGAGCTCTGCTGGAATGTGGTCTATGCCCGGGGCTTTGTTGTTTTTCAGTTGGGCAATTAGTTTCCCCACCTCCTCTATGGAGACAGGAGGCCAATATGGTAAGTTCTCGGAGTAGGCACTTGGATCATTGTGCTGAGCTTTGTCGTCATAGAAGAGGGTTTGAAAATATTTCATCCATTCCTGGGGTTCTACAGTACATATGGGACCAATCCGCTCCTGGCCCAGGAGGCCCATAATGGTACGCCAGAAGGAGGTTGAGTCTTTCTCATTCGAGGCCTTCACTAAATTACACCAGGCCAACCTCTCAGCTTTTTGTTTTTTTACCTTTAATAGCTGTTTGTAGTTTCGTCTTAAATAGATATAAGCCGTAAATAGCGAGGGTGCTCCGGTGTTTCTGTAATTGCGATAGGTTGATCTCAGGCGTTTCCTTGCTTGTCTACACTCCAAATCAAACCATCTCTCTTGATCCATTGCCCGCTTTGTGACAGAATTAAGTATCTCAGTTGTTAGGAAGGTCTTTAGTCTTACTAATAACTCGTTAAATGAGTCCATGGCCTTTCCCCCAGTATTAGCTGATACAATGGCTAAGTAGATGGTCTTCACGTCTTCCGAATGGAGGAGATAGGTTAGCTCTGTATTGAGCATGGGGGTCCATTTGATTCTTCTGGGGGCCAGTGATCCCAGATTAACGATAGGGGTGTAATAAAGGTTAGCCGCGGGTTTGTTAAACGGTGTTTGTCCTTTGATGCTATGGCCTGTTGGCTACGCAAATAAAGTCTTTGTTGTTGTTGTTGTATCCTTACATTTATATTATATAGAGAGAAAATTTTAAAGGGAAACGCAACAGGAAGTTTTTGAAACACAGATTTCCTTTTTACTTTAGCATTTCAATAATTTGTTTTTGTTTGTGTATAGAAAGAAAACCTAATTTTTAAAAGGCACTAAGAAACACACAATTTTTTAAAAAATTTTTTGCTGTTTGCTCTGTTTGTTTGCTTAAATACATTGTAATTATACACCGTGTTAACTGTTTTCATAATTTTCTCTACACCTCCCTTGAATCTTTGGGGGAAGGGCAGCTGCAAAATGTTAAATAAACCAAGAAACAAAGAAATCTATTATGAATAGATAAATATAGAAGAGCTTTGTGGAAAAGGGAAATTCTGCGAGTGGTTTCATGTACATCTTAATTCATGTGACTACTGTGTCGGCTTAGGAAAGAAAAGCAACCTGATAAGTTCTGTACTCTGCCACATGCAGTTAAAAATATTATTTGAAATATAAACTTCCTTGTCTGTAGACTAGCTCTTTGCACCACGTTACAACAGCACAAAAGTCACTTCTCCTGCCTTCGCCCTCTAAGTACACTTCAACACTGCTCCATCCTGAAAATTATACAGGGCATGTGTCTTAAATGTTTACTTTGACTCCATGCCTGGGACCAAGTTCCATGTCTTTCCAAGGAAGTTCTCTAAGAAGATGCTCAACAAGAACCCAAACCTTGCTGAGCAGAGTTAGGTTTGAGAAAAGAAAAGGGACTGGAGCATATAGTTGGGGGATGCTCAGTCATTTTTTGTAACTGAATCCTCCCTTTCTCATGCAGAGTAAATGTGTGCTTATGCAGGAAGAAAAATCGCTTTACATAATACTTATGTGGTTGATCTCCTTTCCTGTTGCTAAAAAGCTAATGATGGACTAGCCATGAACTGCTCCAGTGCCAAGACATTTCCATTAATTCCAGTGGAGCAACAACTATGTAAGATGCAATTTTATCAAACTTCCCAATGGTAAGGGTTGTTCAACAGTGGAACAAGCTGCCTCAGGAGGTGGCCAGTTCTGCTTCGCTGGAGCTATTTACACACATGTTGGTGGGCCATCTGTCAAGGATCCTGTAGTTGAATCCAGCGTTGCAGATGCTGCACTGAGCAACAGTTGGAGGGAATGATCTTCAAGAGTCCATCAAACTCTGAAACTCCACAATTCTTTGAAATATCTGGCTCATCTAACTAGCAGCCTAACCATGTCTGTGCATGTGCACACAACCTCTTTTCTGTGTTCATTGAGAGGCATGGCAGACACACAAGGGCGGCCCTCTACAAACCAAGCAAAAGCTACAGTTCTCCCATATAAACCTGCCCAGGCTTTGATTGCTTTGCGTGAACCTCTTCTCTCAGTCCCGATACCCTCACAGGCATATCTGATGGGGACATAGGAGAGGGCCTTTTTGGTGGCTGCTCCCAGACGTCGGAACTCCCTTCCTAGAGAGGCTAGACTGGTTCCCTCTTGGTTGTCCTTCCTCTGGCAGGTGAAGACTTTTATTCTGCTTTTGGGAACTCACTATTTTTAAATGCTGTGCTGCTTTTACTATCAAGGTTTTAATAGCTTTGCTTTAATAGCATTTTCATTCAATTGTAGCTGAATTATTTTGAAACTATTTTCCCCCAGCTTCCTGTGTTTTATTCATGGGAGGCTTAATTTTATTTTTAGCCTTGTTGAGTCTGGAAAAAAGGCAGAAAAAAGAAGTATAACAACAACAACATTATTTGGAGACTGGCATAGATCGCCATTACTAGGTACACTTTCCACCTCCTTATCTCTTTTGCCCTAATCCTGCCCCTCCTTTGGCTGCATGAAGTTGCTGGGGAGTGGATTATGGTGATGTCCAAAAACTTCCAAATCAGCTCACTCTGTGAAGCATTGGAAGGAATCCCGAGTAAACCTTTTCTCACAGGCGAACTTTTTCCTCTCTAGCAGGAGGTCATGTTATTTGGAACCCTGAATTGCATCTGCAGGAAGGAGGGTGGATGGCTGCCTTTTGCATTCCTTCCCGATTGCAAATCACGGCAGATCTGAATGAGCTGGGTAAAACCTGCTATGGGATCCGGCATCTTCCCTTGTGATATTTGGTAGCTTCTGTCTATAACAATGTGGTGGCAATAATACAGCGAGTCAGATTATTTCTCCTTTTGTTTTCTCCACAGCAGCTATAAAGTGGCTGCATTGTTCCGTGAACAGCAGCCTAATCCTTCAGAATATGCCTTATTGTGCACTGCAAATATTCCACTGCTCCCCCAAAATATTGCATCGTTAGTGCATGCAGAGACGCGCTGGCAAATCAATAGTACAGTGGTACCTTGGGTTACATACGCTTCAGGTTACAGACTCCGCTAACCCAGAAATATTACCTCAGGTTAAGAACTTTGCTTCCGGATGAGAACAGAAATCGTGCAGTGGTGGCGGGAGGCCCCATTAGCTAAAGTGGTGCTTCAGGTTAAGAACAGTTCCAGGTTAAGAATGGACCTCCGGAACGAATTAAGTACTTAACCCGAGGTAACTCTGTACTGAACTCCACATAACCATGAGAGGGCAAGATAAAGTTCACCCACAAGCCTGTTATGCAAGGACAAAGGCTTGCATAAGGAAACTTCCCCTTGTTTCCTGCATGAGCCCAATGGCCTCCTCAGATCTTCTCTGGAGGGTTGGGGGAACCCCCAGAACAGATTTAGTGGGTGCCCAGGGTGGAGGAGAGGGGTTCTGTTGCACAAGCTTAAAGGAGCAAGCTATTTAGCAGTTGGACAGTCTGATTTAAATGAAATGGGGGGGTCAGATTTGGGGAGCTGGCCAAGTGCAGAAAAAAAGGGAAATGCAGTGAGACCTAGAGTTAGGCTTGCCATACGTCAGGAAAATTCCTGACATGTCCTGGTTTTGGGGTGTAAAAATGGCACCAAAGAATTGTAGGGTTGGAAGGGATCACAAGGCTCATCTAGTCCAACCCCCTGCAGTGCAGGAATCTTTTGCCCAACATGGGGCTGGAACCCACGATCCTGAGATTTGAGTCTCATGCTCTACCGACTGAGCTATGTCCTGCTTGTGTTGAAGAAGGAAAAAAAATCCATAAATGATTGACTAGCCAAGAAATTATAGGAAAAAGAATATATAAGTCAGACTGTGCTCAGTTTGTATTACTGATACCCTTGTGGTTGACATTATTCCCCAGGAACAAAGCATTCTTATTCCTCTGCCCTTGCCCCTGCTCCTGAAGCCCATACAAACCCGCCTTGCGGTGGTTCATTTTTGACAACTGTAGCCCAAGGCAATGCAAATCTTGTCTCAAATCAATTCGCCACACATTTCTCAAATCATGACACTTCATAAGATCTCGGATTCCCCCTACGGGCAACCTTTTGAATAAGGCAGTGAACCAGAGCAAAGGGGTGAATAAGAGCAATGCATTGATGAGTTCCTAAAAGGAGTCTCTGTTTACTTTGGGGCAAACAGAAGTTGCAGTTCCGCCTCAGTCAAAGGATGCACACCCGAGTCTTCTGCACAGCCGTAAAAATGTCTCCCTCCCCTTGCCCTTGCCAAAGGCTCTTGAGATCATCACAGTTCATGGGCTGAACTACAACTCCCAATGAACAACAACTCCTAGCATCCCATGCAAGATGAGCTTGAGCTCTTGGTACAGCAAACTAAATATGACATAATAGGCATCACTGAAACCTGGTGGGATAAGTCCCACGATTGGAATGTAATAATGGAGGGATACAATCTATTTCAGAGAAACAGACCAGACAAGAAAGGAGGAGGAGTGGCATTATATGTCAGGGATGTGTATACCTGTGAAGAGATCCAAGATTTAGAACCTCAAAGCCAAAGTGAGAGCATTTGGGTCAAAATTAAGGGAGAGAAGAATAACAGTGACCTCATTGTGGGAGTTTACTATAGATCCCCAAGCCAAACGGAGGACATAGATGATGCCTTCCTGGAACAGATGGCCAAGCATGCAAAAGGAAGGAAGATAGTAGTAATGGGGGACTTCAATTACCCGGATATTTGTTGGATGTCAAACTCAGCCAAGAGCATAAGGTCAAACAGATTCCTCACTGGCCTTGCAGACAACTTCATTGTCCAGAAAGTGGGAGAAGCAACAAGAGGAACAGCCATTTTAGATCTGGTCCTAACCAATGTTGATGACCTGGTTAGTGGGGTAGAAGTGGAAGGATCATTAGGCGCGAGTGATCATGCTCTTCTGAAATTTATTACACAGCGGAAAGGAGCAGCCAAGCATACTAGGACTCAATTTCTTGACTTTAAGAAAGCCGACTTCATAAAACTTAGGGAAGTGCTGGGTGAGATCCCATGGACAGTAATACTAAAAGGAAAGGGAGTTCATGATGGCTGGGAGTTTGTTAAGAGGGAGATAGTAAAAGCACAACTTCAGGCAATACCAATGAGACGGAAACATGGAAGGTGCCTAAAGAAGCCAGGGTGGCTATCTAAAGAACTTTTAACTGAGTTAAGATTTAAAAAGGATGTGTACAAAAAATGGAAAAGGGGGGAAACCACCAAAGAGGAATTCAAATAAATAGCCAGCAGGTGTAGACACAAAGTCAGAAAAGCTAAAGCACAGAATGAACTCAGGCTTGCTAGAGAGGTTAAAAGCAACAAAAAAGGCTTTTATGGGTATGTTCGTAGCAAAAGGAAGAACAAAGAAACAGTGGGGTCGCTCAGACGAGAAGATGGTGAAATGCAAACAGGGGACACAGAAAGGGCTGAACTCCTCAATGCCTTCTTTGCCTCAGTCTTCTCCGATAAAGAAAACAATGCCTGACCTGAAGAATTTGGAGCAAATGATTCAGCAGAGGAAACACAGCCCAGAATAACTAAGGAGATAATACAAGAATACTTGGCTAGTTTAGATGTATTCAAGTCTCCAGGGCCAGATGAACTGCATCCAAGAGTATTAAAAGAACTGGCAGATGTGATCTCAGAACCACTGGCAGTCATCTTTGAGAATTCCTGGAGAACAGGCGAAGTCCCGGCAGACTGGAGGAGGGCAAATGTTGTCCCTATTTTCAAAAAGGGGAAAAGAGAGGACCCAAATAATTACCGCCCAGTCAGTCTGACATCAATACCAGGGAAGATTCTGGAGCAGATCATTAAGCAAACAGTCTGTGAGCACCTAGAAAGGAATGCTGTGATCACCAATAGTCAGCATGGATTTCTGAAAAATAAGTCATGTCAGACTAACCTGATCTCGTTTTTTTGACAGAATTACAAGCCTGGTAGATGAAGGGAACACAGTGGATGTAGCCTACCTTGATTTCAGCAAGGCATTTGACAAGGTGCCCCATGATATTCTTGTAAAGAAGCTGGTAAAATGCGGTCTTGACTATGCTACCACTCAGTGGATTTGTAACTGGCTGACTGACCGAACCCAAAGGGTGCTCATCAATGGTTCCTCTTCATCCTGGAGAAGAGTGACTAGTGGGGTGCCACAGGGTTCTGTCTTGGGCCCGGTCTTATTCAACATCTTTATCAACGACTTGGATGATGGACTCAAGGGCATCCTGATCAAATTTGCAAATGACACCAAACTGGGAGGGGTGGCTAACACCCCAGAGGACAGGATCACACTTCAAAACGACCTTGACAGATTAGAGAACTGGGCAGAAACAAGATGAATTTTAACAGGGAGAAATGTAAAGTATTGCACTTGGGCAAAAAAAATGAGAGGCACAAATACAAGATGGGTGACACCTGGCTTGAGAGCAGTACATGTGAAAAGGATCTAGGAGTCTTGGTTGACTACAAACTTGACATGAGCCAACAGTGTGACGCAGCAGCTAAAAAAGCCAATGCAATTCTGGGCTGCATCAATAGGAGTATAGCATCTAGATCAAGGGAAGTAATATTAATAGTGTATTCTGCTCTGGTCAGACCTCACCTGGAGTACTGTGTCCAGTTCTGGGCACCACAGTTCAAGAAGGACACTGACAAACTGGAACGTGTCCAGAGGAGGGCAACCAAAATGGTCAAAGGCCTGGAAACGATGCCTTATGAGGAACGGCTAAGGGAGCTGGACATGTTTAGCCTGGAGAAGAGGAGGTTAAGGGGTGATATGATAGCCATGTTCAAATATATCAAAGGATGTCACATAGAGGAGGGAGAAAGGTTGTTTTCTGCTGCTCCAGAGAAGCGGACACGGAGCAATGGATCCAAACTACAAGAAAGAAGATTCCGCCTAAACATTAGGAAGAACTTCCTGACAGTAAGAGCTGTTTGACAGTGGAATTTGCTGCCAAGGAGTGTGGTGGAGTCTCCTTCTTTGGAGGTCTTTAAGCAGAGGCTTGACAACCATATGTCAGGAGTGCTCTGATGGTGTTTCCTGCTTGGCAGGGGGTTGGACTCGATGGCCCTTGTGGTCTCTTCCAACTCTATGATTCTATGATTCTATGCTTGTTGACTAGGGCTGGTGGTAGTCCAGAAACATCTGCAGCACTGCAGACAAGTCTGTTCTTCTTGGTCTTCTGGATACGGTGCCATTTCCCGGAAGAACACAGACCTGAGACAGAAGGGGGTTGCCAGAAAGGCCTGCCATCAACTTGGCTGGGAGGTGGTGATTAGCAAAATGAGGACCCTGTGAGAAATCCAGCCTTTGAGGGGGGCGACGGCTTTCCAAACTGCCAGCCCTGAGGCGAAAGAGGTTCATGAAGGGAGCTGAATTGGTGACAACGGGTTTCCTTGCAAGGCAAGCCAAAGCAAAGAGTGTGTGCATCTCTGTGTGTGTGAGAGTAGCTGTGCACACACCTTACATGTAAAGCACCAAGAATCCTGGGAATTGTAGCCTGTTAATTTCTGTAGCCAGGAATTGTAGCTCTGTGAAGGGTAAACAACAGGATTTTTTGGGTGGCTGGGGGGGAAAGACATGTACTTTAAATATGCCTTAAATGTACAGGTGGATGTGCAGCTTGTGTCAGGGGCAGCATTAGAAGTTGGCATCATTGGGCACCTGGCAATGTTCACAACCCAGTGTGGGGCTCAGTGCCTGTCCCTGGAGCCTTCTGGCATTGCCGCTTGCCACTCCTTCACCAAGGGAGAGCAGTAAAAAGGAAGACCCATCACCTTTAGGGTGTCCTCTCTCGGGGAGATATAGTAGCTGTCATCGTCTCTCCTTCTGCTCCCAAATAAGTGGAAAGAGCTGTAGCTCAGTGGAAGAGCATGTGCTTGGCACGCAGAAGGTCCCAGGCTCAGTCCCTGGCACCTCCAGGTAAGGCTGAGAAGGATTTCTGCCTGAAACAGTGCAAAGCTGCTGCCAGTCACTGTGTAGACAATGTTGGGCTAGGAGATAGACCAGCCTAAGGCAGTTTCCTGGGTTGTTAATGGCCAGCAGCGACTGCACAAAGTGGGTGTACAGCAAGTCCATTCCGGGAGGGGCCTCCACTCAAAGCATCTTTCCCAATTCAGACCTGGGCCAGCCTACAGTTGGCCCAGGGACCAAGTCTAGCTCACCTCCCACCAAGGCCACCTTGATGTTGTGTCAGGAGCCGGAGTCAGGTGTAGGTCAGTGGTGGGGGGAAAAACCCCACTGTGTCAATGAAGTTAACTCTGTATTCACAGAAACCAAAAACAGCAACTCTTCCCAATGAGGCAGTTGTGAGGAACGAAAGTCCTCAGCAGCCTAAGTCCCCTCCTCTCCAGGGTTCTTCCCCAAGCAATCGGAGACTGCATCTGTGTGGAACCATTCTCTCCTCTGCTGTTTTCATTTCTCTGCCTCATCTCCGCCTCCTGGCTCCCCTCCTCTCCAGCCTCTGAGTCTAGACTGCCCTCTGTCACAGCCTCTTCCCACTCACTAAACCCTGTTCCCTCTTCACCTCCTCTTCCCAGTCCTGAATATCCTGGTTTTGGTAATGCTGTGCTGAGGCCTTGCCTTGCTGACATGTAACAGAGCAGGCTGGGGTGTGGCAAATCATTTGCCCACTGTATTTTTTTGGGGGTGGGGGATTGCATCTTCTAGGGGAATGAATCGTCTCCTCTGTTAATTTTGTGAGAATCCCCTTTTTTCATTTCTGTTTGAGTGGCTATAAAACACAAGTCAGTTTTGTTTGGTGGATTATTCTCAGATAGCATCAAATTTTCCACTGGGCCTCCTTGCAGAGTGCCTCCTCGGCTGCCGTTTAAAAACTTTTATTATCGATTGTAAAAGCCAAATAAACTTTTTAAGGTTGGCGTGCGGTCCTGCTCTGATTGTAATAATAACAATGCTAATATATTTCTTTTTAAAACCTGCGATAAATATTGAACCTTTTCCTTGTGAAAATGGTGTTTGGATTTATGGTCAACTGATCTCTGGGTGAATGCCACGCAGTGCAGATAACGGCATGCAGTCTGGCTTCTCCTTTGCTCCGAGGTCTTCAAGCCAGTGTATATAGTTCTCTCCCTCTCCGTTTTATCCTTACAACAACCCTATGAGGTAGGCTAGGCCAAGAAACTGGCTGGCTCAAGGTCACCCAGTGAGCTTTGTTGCTGAGCTGGGATTTGAACCCTTCGCTTCCATGCCCTAGTCCAACACACTAACCACTACGCAGTGCTGCTGCAGGTATGTCTTTAGGCATATTGATCAAATAGCATCTGAACTAACAGCTGCAGCCAAGGATCCCTGGAAGAGGGATTTACATACAAAATTATATTGGCCTTGCACTTCAACGCCATGCATTCTCCCACAAGGAATCCTGGGAATTATAGCTTGATGAGCTGCTCTGCTAAAATACAGTGGTACCTCGGGTTAAGTACTTAATTCGTTCCGAAGGTCCGTTCTTAACCTGAAACTGTTCTTAACCTGAAGCACCACTTTAGCTAACGGGGCCTCCTGCTGCTGCCGCGCCGCCGGAGCACAATTTCTGTTCTCATCCTGAAGCAAAAGTACCCGAGGTACTATTTCTGGGTTAACAGAGTCTGTAACCTGAAGCGTCTGTAACCCGAGGTACTACTGTAGCTGTGCTTCACAGAACTACATTTTCCATAGTCACTGGGGAGAGGGAATGGGTGCTTAGACTAGTTTTACCTATAGTGTAACTATGGAACTGGGGTTCCCCCCCAATGCAGGATGTTTACTTTGCCTCTAACACCCCTCTGGAGTGCAGGGTACAAATGGGGAGCTGTCTACTTCCACATGTTGTTGTCCCTGATGGGATTCACTGGTCAGGGATGATGGGATTTGTAGTCCAGTGCAGGGCCGCAGATTTCCCCTGCATGTCTATTGTTAAGGCATCACTAGAGACATTTGTGGTGGCATTCTGACCCACCTGTTGCTGTTGCAATCTATGTAGCGGCCCAGAGCGCTCGCAGGCTCACGGAGAACAGGTGGACAGGTACAGTGGTGCCCCGCAAGACGAATGCCTCGCAAGACGGAAAAACCGCTAGACGAAAGGGTTTTCCGTTTTGAAGTTGCTTCGCAGGACGAATTCCCCTATGGGCTTGCTTCGCAAGACGAAAATACCTTGCGAGTCTTGAGTTTTTTTCGCTTTTCCCCCTTTATCTAATCTGCTAAGCCTTTAATAGCCTTTAATAGCCTTTTAGCAGCTAATCCCCTAAGCCTTTAAGCCTTTAATAGCCGCTAAACCGCTAATAGCGCTAATAGCGCTAATCCGTCAATGGGCTTGCTTCGCAAGACGAAAAAACCGCTAGACGAAGACTCTCGTGGAACGGATTAATTTCGTCTTGCGAGGCACCACTGTATTGTCCCCACCCTCCTCCTCTCTACAGTGGTACCTCGGGTTACAGACGCTTCAGGTGACAGACCCCGCTAACCCAGAAATAGTACCTCGGGTTAAGAACTTTGATTCAGGATGAGAACAGAAATCGTGTGGTGGCGGCGGGAGGCCCCATTAGCAAAAGTGGTACCTCAGGTTAAGAACAGTTTCAGGTTAAGAACGGACCTCCAGAACAAATTAAGTATCTCACTCTTGGGTTGTGGGCCCAGTGATACTTACTCTGGATACTCGGCCCCTGCCAAGAGCGCTCTGCTGAAGTCTCTCATATAAGTGAATTACTGCTAGCAAATGGGGTACACTGTAGTGAAGGAGGAGCAGGAGAGGAAGTGTGGCATAGTGGTTAGAGTGCTTCACTAGGACCCGACAGACCAGGGTTCAAAACCCCGCTAGGCCATGAAGCTCACTGGGTGACTTTGGGCCAGTCACTGCCTCTCAGTCTGACCTACCTCACAGGGTTGTTTTGGGATTTAAGGGAGGAGGGGTGACCCATGTACACTGACCTGAGCTCATTGGATAAGAAGGGGGGATCCAAATGCAATCAGCCAATAGTCAGAATAAGACACCGAAATCTCTGTGTTATTGGAGGTTCTTTAATTCCTGCCATTACGGTTCATTATTTCCTGCAATTAACGGTACATTCCAAACATAGAGGAGGGTTGCAAAAAGTACAGGCAGAACTTTCTTCTGTAAACCCAGATATGAGCAGAGTGTTTTTTGCTCTCCCTTCAATTTTTCATTTCTTCATGCAAATATTATGGGATGATAACGTGTCATAGCCTTGAATGTTTTTGCGCTGGGCAGCCAAACATCTCTTCCTTGTTTGGAGCAGGAGCAGGGCCGCTGTGCAGGAAAACAGGACTGCTGACGGCTCTTTGCAAGAGTGGACTATAGATAGCTCAGGACAAAATAGCATTCCTCAGCAGAAGCTGACCAGACCAACCGTTCCTCAGAAGGAGTAATTATAAGTATTGCAGCAGTGCCACCAAGTGTCGGGACAGTTGAATGTCTCTCACGAGCTGCTACAAGAAAATAAAAACCTCAGGGAGAGCTCACGTAGAAGAATTTCACGCTGGGCTGATGATTCGCATGTGAAATTATGAGAGAGGGAGAGAATTGTTTCTTCCTCCCCCCACCCCCCCAAATATGTGCTTGTGGGATCAAGATGCCCCGTTATTCATTTCAAAGTACAGTTGCTTACATTCATTTAACTTGTGCACATTCAGCTTTGCATGTATGGTGAAAAATATAAATATAAATAAATGGGGAAAATGACTCCGGCAATCCCCCTGGCCATTGAACCTAACGCATTTGGTCTATTTATTATTATTAGAGTGTTGTTTGTGCTGTACTTTTGTACTGTTTTATTGTTGTTAGCCGCCCTGAGCCCGGCTTCGGCTGGGGAGGGCGGGATATAAATAAAATTTATTATTATTATTATTATTATTATTGGCGATTTTGGCTTTAGGCGCGATCCGCAGAGCGTAAACCCTGTGTAAGTTGCAGACTTGCTGTAGTTAAACTTACATAGTTGTTGTTTAGTCGTTTAGTCGTGTCTGACTCTTCGTGACCCAATGGACCAGAGCACGCCAGGCACTCCTGCCTTCCACTGCCTCCCGCAGTTTGGTCAAACTCATGCTGGTAGCTTCGAGAACACTGTTCAACCATCTCGTCCTCTGTCATCCCCTTCTCCTTGTGCCCTCCGTCTTTCCCAACATCAGGGTCTTTTCCAGGGAGTCTTCTCTTCTCATGAGGTGACCAAAGTATTGGAGCCTCTGCTTCAGGATCTGTCCTTCCAGTGAGCTCTCAGGGCTGATTTCCTTAAGAATGGATAGGTTTGTTCTTCTTGCAGTCCATGGGACTCTCAAGAGTCTCCTCCAGCACCATAATTCAAAAGCCTCAATTCTTCAGCAATTAGCCTTCTAGGTGTTTATCTGCTGGGATAGTTTGTGTGTTTCTGTGTTGCCTTTGGCAACCCGATGCCCTCCAGATGTTTTGGGCTTTGTCTGCCAGCAGCCCCAGCCGGCACAGAAGAGACAACAGAAGAAACTGGAGATTGGGGGGGGGGGGACAGGGATAAACAGGAAGAAAAATGTGTTTATTTTGTGTTGCTATTTCTCTTCAAGAAAAAAAGCAGAGAGCCCCAACCAGGTAAAAGTTCCTCTTTCGATCAGCATAGCACCACCAGTGATTACCTGTCTTCCTTTGCTGCCTACTGCTTGTGAACCATACCTGCTGCCTTCCGGGCATTTTGAGTGGGGTTGGCCACCTCCATGCATTGCAAGCATTCCTCCTGTTACCCAGAGCAAGCATCCCATCTCTCTCATGTAGAGCAGACCCTTCCTTCTGCCTTGTGATTTTCTTCTGTCTGCTTCTTTATGGCCAAGCCTAGAGTGAAACCAGCTTGGTTTATGCTAGAAGCAAAGCTCCGTCAGCACTGCAGAAATGATTAAGAACCTGCTTACATCAATGGCCCTGGGACGTGGGTGGCGCTGTGGG